AACCCCATGAACAAATCCCATGAATCCCCCACATATATTCGCTGTTCATCCAACCTAGACGTAATACCTCTGTCGTCAGTTATAATTACATACATTTGACATGGTCAATAAATACTTTTAAAAGTATGAATGACCTGAGCATCTTCACCCAACTCTATAGTTACATGTCCCAAAGACATATATCGATGTATGCACGTCTCTGCATGTCCACTTTACACATTCGAATATTTCAGAACAACATAATGTTTTTATCGGTATGAAAGTTTTTTTCCATGACTTTACTGGAGCATTGGTCAAAATTGTCTGCAACACAATATCACATAATGAGGTACGTGAATATTATGTTTTGAAATCGGTGTTTAATTAATTACTTTTCTACATTTGTCACTTCATTGTATAGTATGCAAAGGGACATTACACGAAATGTCGTTTTTGAAAGCCAGGTCTAGTTATATAGCTGAAATAAACGGATGTCGCCGTCACGCGAAATTGATTTAAATGCTCGGTATTATATTAATCGAAGTGCTCATGTCCTGACGCACTTTGTGATTGGCTTGTCCGTTTCGACGCACGGCGGCCTTGTTGTCGGTTACTAAAACATGCGAGTGGTGACGAATGGCAAATGCTAGACATGACTTACAGTTCCTTCGCTTTGACCATTACCGGCACGGCTCCTGCAATGCAATGATTCGTATCGATGCAGTACGAAGGTAACCCAATAAGCCGAGTGGACCCAAATCATGCTGAAATCGTCAGTGCGAGACTCTCTTTCTCCTCAGCATGTATTCCGCAAATAACAAAAAACTGCTCGATGAGAGCACGAAGCCGTTGGATGAGTTGTCTCCCGTTGACCTATAGCCGAACAAGCTTCTTCCAAGTGTGTGACACCTTCGCTGCTACTGATGCTGGTCTTTGTTATCAAACTGGTTTTGCATTAACATGTCTGCAAGAATTTCCTTTCTGAGAATGATGGCGACCTCACACACCATATTAATTACGATGCTTTAACACAAACTACATTGGATATCTGTACACATGACGCAGACAGTGAAAGCGATCAAAACGGAAGTGAACGCCGAATTCCCTATTGTAGAATTGCATAGCTCCCAGTAGGCGGCCAGCATAACCCTTGTGGACAGGACATTTTGAAGCATGTCTACCGAGATGACGATCTACGAACAAGGATTGTGTGGAGTGAAGCACGATTAGTAGAAAAGGAAGCCTTCAATACATTATCCTTCGAGGCGAGAAGGCTGTTAAAAACAGAACTCAATATTTACAAACCGGGAAATGGCAGTAGGTAAACCGGCATTGTTCCAAATCGAATGTACTCGTCCAAGCCCCCGCCCCCCTCCATATCTTTCTCTGTCTCACGCACGCACGCACGCACGCACGCACACACAAACGATTAAACAGGCCCCGATTAAACGATCACATCGTCGTTACTGGGGAAAACTTTACAACGCAGATGTGGCATTTGTTTAGGGAAGAAGGTGTTTAGTTACGAAGACTAAGGGGCATGGGGGAAGTAATGAAAAGCCACAATCTGCAGCTGCTGCCACCGCCATCGCCACCAGCTCCCGTTTGAAGTAATATTTCTCATTGATTGTCTGACCTCACTGCAGATAGTCAATTTTCTTATCGTAATGTTTCCACGTTTTTCTGACATTTTGGCATTTTGGCAATGTGACGGACCCTGGTCTCCTTTCTGCATTCTCGAATAATTCTAATATCAAATTATAATATCGGTAAAAAGTGTTTTGCGAGCAGTTTTTTTATAGAGGTGCTCAAGTAATTGATGCGCCTCGCGAGGTAAGACCCGTTTAAAACAATAACGATCTTGTTCAAAATGAGGTACACGGAAGGGACATTACGCGAAATAGTCACTGGTGGCGCTACGTTTAAGTCACGAAATTTCAGCCTGGTTAGGCAAGGGTGAAAAGTGGACTTTTAAAGTCAGTTAACTCCCTTCCCTCCGGAAGATGGTGATCACTTGATTCATGTAACTTTCCACCACGTTAGGGTCGGTGGTGGAAATAGATTTTACATAACTTTTTAAAACATTATTTTGCAAGTATTGGAATTGTCAAACGGGTGAAACAGAAGCGATGTTTTAAGGATGAGTCTAAGGGTGACTTTGATGTCTATATTGATCTACATTGAATTGTTTCCATAAGCTGTAATTTCATATTTTGGGATAGGCGTCCATTGTATTCCTTGTGAAACCGGAGTTTATTTCTAAATCTTCTAACCTGATTTTTCTAATTTTTAACATGTAACATCTCAAACAGTTTGTGATATACGCTCAATGGTGCTTGATTTTAGAATCTTGACCTTGTTCAGGAATGAGTTTGACAATGTTTGGTACCAATTGAACGAACTAAGTGATTGATTTTTGATACAGCGCTATATAGCGCGCAGATGTAGCTTCAGATGTTATCTGTGTTTTACAGAACCTTGTTAAATACACCAAGCACTGCACTATCCTACTACTCAGTGAGCTTTCTGACTATTTGTACGATGCTATTAACAGTATCAGGAACAGGTCTGTGATTGCTGCCATCATCACTTTCCTTCAATAACGTGGCACAAACATTCATTTTAGAGATGAACATTCATTTTAGAGATGAAAGATAGACAACTTGAACGTGTTTCCTCGGAGAACAATGTATTTGAACTCCGCATGTGGGATTTAAGCCCTAACTTCCCACAGAGCAGTGTTGGCATGTTTGGGAACTGAATGAAAGCGACAGAAACATGTCCCTAATATTTAGCAATCACAACTTATAGCAGAGTCCATTGCACGATTCAGACCATATCATAAGTACGATATGTGTTTATGAATCACTGTCGAATAGTGATGATACCAGGTGTTCGCGAAAAGGTGAGCGTATCATGCCCCACCGGTGGCACCTGTCACAGACACATGTAAAGGCAAGGCAACTGTTCACCTGACAAAACCCACACAGGTACATATGGTCAAAATAAGGTCAAATAGGGAATTGCATGGAGCATCATTTTTGTAACTGATGCGTACAATTTAAGGGGTTTGGGAGAAGAGTCATGTGTTTCTTCGTCTTTAAGGCCTGACTTATTCCTTCTTCATAAAAGAGAGCTGAGATTTTTGTTTTACGTCACATTTCAAATTCAACCCACAGAAAGAATGTTAAAACTTTCTCACTTTTCACTGGAACATGATAACTGAAGGTGATGTGAAAGCAGAGCGATGAAAGTAATAGAACAATAAAGTATTTATATAATCGTTACAACAGAATGTATGCAGCTGTCTTCAAATTGACAGAAAACTGGTCAACTTAACATTTTTCTATCACAACTGATTGAAGAATGTGCTAGTACTTGTCAATTTGTTAACGTTCGGTCCAGACCCTTACAAAAGGGTCGAGAATCAATCGCCCAAACACAACCAAAACCATTTGCTGAGTAACGAACATGCTACACTACCCAGACCAGACCTCATGAATTATGAACTGTGTTGTGATAACCCGACCCCTAAAGGGAAAGCTGACTATTAGTATTATGGAGAGTTTTCTTGTCAATCACATATATCTACATGTGAAACAGGGGAGACGGTTTCACTGGACTCATTACCTTGTTTTGATTTTGCCAGTCCGATTTATATGCATAAAAACATCACCAAAAAGGGGAGCTAAAATGGTGCCAATGGGGATGCCCCATATTTTGCCTTAGTGTCTTATCCCCAAATCTCACATATATGTTACCAATGAGGACGTCCATCATTTCACTTATTGTTTTCTCAGTAAACTACAGATGGTATTTGCTTTAATATTTTGAAAAATTGTCCTGAACCTTTGAAGACATAGATGTAACTGTATCTATGGTCAAAACGTTTAGTGACAAATGTCCCATGGATTAAGGAATGACGTTTTCCTTTAAGTTTTAAGTGGAGGAAAGTGGCGTACAAAATTGAAAAAAATTGTTAGTATATAATGGAACTTGGTTCTTTCCGGAGATTGCCAAAAGATGTGCAAATCCTTTCTTGTTTTGAGAATCCACATGGTATTACTTTCAATTGTCACAAATACATTCTGTGAAAATAAAGAAATTCCTACCTTGGTTGTATTAAAGATTAGGGCATATCTTTGTGACAGGGGTTTAGTGGTACACTTGCTGGACACAGCCTTATCTCTCTTTGTAAAGATTTATTTTGAGGTTTGGAATCCAGTACAAAAGAGGAATGGACTTATCTTAAGGTTTTAGAGTCAAGTCAAAAGTTGATAGTAGTGAAGCGTGGTATTGGCAGATTTCTTCCTCAGTTAACATGCTGGCCTTGTTTGTGTCATTATTTGATATGTCACTTGGTTCCTTCACTGAACAATTCATGTAGTGATGCTTTCGTAAAATGGCTATGTTATTTGAGGTGTTGTCAATGGGAACGACTACAAACTGTTCATACAGGACAGCCAGACCATCTGTGAATAGATGGCTGGGGCAGAATGAATACCTGTTTACTGACGTTTTGTATAGGATTATGTGATACTGGAGACATAATCCTTAAATTACTAATCCAAGGTGTGTTAAAAAACTAAGTGTCGGAGTAGAAGAGATAATCCATTGCATAGATGATAATTAGAATAACACCTTACTTATCAGTCAACCGATCATGTTTTATAGAGCTATAAAGCACACCATTTTAAAATATAGATATCAAGATATTTCAAATAACATAGTTATTGAATATAAGAAGATTAATGTGTTGTTTCTGTTCGCACAAATCGTCAGACCTACGTATGGGCATATATTGTGATGACACATAAGCATATAACAGTTTCTGAAAGGTTGTTAAAATGAAAATAGATTATGTGTAATGCTGATACGACTGTCTTGTATTATTGCAAAAGGAGACTCGCGTGTCAAAGCTTCAATATTAGTACGAATGCAGTTTGTAACACCTCGCCTACTCCGTGTGACTTGCCAAGACACAATAATGAGTACAAAAGTATATGCAGAAAAGCATAGGGTATAATATGATTTCATGTTCAGACAAAATACAGAAATACACCCATCATTTAACATGGATATTATCCAACCACGGGAACAATTGTGACTCCAGATATCTTCATGGTTATGACTCTGCTCTTACGTTGATTTGATGGTGATCTGAAAACAATAACAATATTTTGCATTAATGATCACATGAAATCATTGTGGGGAGACCAAAAACACTTGTTTCGTCACCATTGACATTTCGACTGGTGAGAAGTCTAACAATATTAATGTCTGGACTGTGTCTTTCTTTCAGAATGTGCAAAGCGTTGATCTTGCACCATTACAAGTGGATTAGGCCCCGGCAAATGGTAGCCCTTTAAAATACTAAAGGAAGTATAGGTTGGGTTTTACATGTAGATAAAACCTAGAAAACAAAATATTTTGTTTTTTAAAGTAATCAAATTAATTTCATGTTATAAAGTAATCACTGGATGTTCGTCGTTTAGGCAGGCGTTGTGATATTCACAACATTCAAGATAAAATCAGAACTTAAACACACAGTAAGGGTAAGAACGTCGACTTTTCACGGATATGTGAACCTGAAATTAATGTCGTGAAGCATTTTATCTTTATTTTATGAATCAAAATAGCCATAATAACTTGTATGAACTCCCGCTGCATTAACACAAGCAATCAACACGTCTTCTCATGGATGACTTCAAACATCGGATGACGTAATTTGGTATTTAGTATTTCTCCTCTCAGTGTCTGTTCCACAACGACGACAGGGAATTCATCTGCCAAGCTGATCCCACAGAAGTTCTATCGGATTCATATCCGGAGAGCATGCAGGCCAGGGAAGAACATTGACGTTGTTCTGATTTAGACAGTCTTGTGTCTCTCTGTCAGTCTGAGTACTGGCGTTCCGTGGTGAACACTGTGCGCGGACTTATGCGAAGGCTTACGCCGTTGACGTCACGAATCTATTCCGGAGATATATCGTGCGAAATATCGGTATCCTATGACCACTATGCGATCTGTCTTGGGTCCCTTCTGTCTGGCTGTGTCATTGTAACAATTTCAGAGGGGTACACCAAATTGTTCGGGAAGTATGGACTTGCTCAGCACCCATTTGTTCCACTCTCTGTGTGCACCGAAGTCAATCTGGCAATATGTTTTGTGTTTTTCTCAGCTGTGATACTAAAGCTGCAAATTTATACCCGATTACAGCACGTGCATTTCATACTGCGAGCGGAATACAGGGTTTACACATTTTCATGACGTCAGCTGTACGGTAACGTGTTTTGTGTTTAAGTGATGTGTTTTTCATTATCTGTAGTTGGACGATTCTAGTGAACCAGTTTACTGTCTATTACATATTAAATAGTTTTGAAAAATTGAAAATAAAAACCTATACTTTCTTTTGCTTAGTTAATGTATTAGACGTGAGCATGACGCTGATAACAACATTTGGATCTTGACAAATATTTGTTGACAGACCACTAAGCCTAGTCTTCCTTTAAAGGGAGACAATGCTCCATGGTCTGGTACTTATTTTAAGTCTAGGTCTAGACCTTGCAATAAGTGTCATGCATGAAACTGAGACATTGCCTCTGTGTGTGTAATCAGGATAATATTTAAACAGCTAGATTGCAATGCATCATCATCATAAACATTGCGTTTGCAGACAGCTGAACTCATGTACGTACAACTTGAATCTAGCTTGCTAGGACTGCTAAATTGCCCACGCCTAATCTCCCTTTAATCTAAAACATTGATTAAATCTCTTATTTTTCCTTATAATTGACATGTTGACAAGTCAATGTGTCGCAACGTTGGTTGGCGGAAATGTACCAGTGGTGCCAATAAGGGTTATATGATGCTCTGGCAGAAACATGGACATCAAGCAATACGACAGCAGAGGATAATACATCTATAGTGAAACCTCGTTAGTCAGAACCCCGTTAATCCCCACCTCCAAGGTGATTACTGCTGGGGGCAGCTACAAGTATTCAAGTGGAGGCTCCTCGTAATGTTTTGTTAATCCGGTCGGTTTCGGTTGGAATGCTAGGTCTGGATTAACGGGGTCCCAATGTACCTTGTTCTTAGCAGTACAGTTTGTCCATCAATGACCGTCATGCCAGAAACTGGGTTGACTGTGATCCAGGACTGACCAGCGTCTACGCTGGCTTCGACTGGAAGACCTGGGAAGGCTGTGTTGATGTGTAGCTGAGGCCCGGATAGTCTACAAAGAGCAGGAAACAAACATTGTTTCATGCATAATCCTAACAGTGTCGAGTATGAGAGCATAATACTCTGGTATTTGCCATCTAATGGTTGGTGTAAATTTTCTGAGGTTACTCCTTTTGTAGTTTGCACGTCGACAATATTTCCTTTATGCCATTAGGCATTTTTTCCAGTCTTTGATAAATGCATTTTCCCCAAAACGCTGGGTGATGGTTAGAATGCAAGTAAATATTATTCACTAGTCATTTTGTGTAAATATAAAAGAATTGTAAATTTGATGTTTATATTAAAAGTAAAGGGGTACATTCCCTTCTAATATTGTCTTATTTTAATTTTATAAGAACTCAAATTAATAAAACAACTCGTTGGGAATAAAAAAGACAGACTGTTGTAAAAAATTGTTACCAGGTAACTGAACAATAATCATGGCAATTGAAATTATGGATTCTTACCAGAAGTACATTTGTCAGACATTATTTCCTGAATTACAGATAATTTTCAGTGAAAAGACCTGGTCGGTATGTAAAAGAATTGATTGTTGTTTTTTTTGGGTTTTTTTTTTTTTGGGGGGGGGGGTTGTTTAAAATGTTTTATGAATATATTGACGTGCAAGCTAGGTTTGTCTCGTCGTCAGTCTTGAAGTTTAACCTATTATATGCACAATTTTTTTGTACGTTTACATTCCTCGGATTTGTTTACATGGTTGGGTCGGCCAAAACCGTAAGCCCGTGAAAAAAGTCTTGTTACAGGGGTTAGATATAAAATCGACAAAAAACTTTCCCTAGCCACAAGAAAGATTGTACAGTTCCGACTGTATAATCGGCATGTGCTTATAAATGTGCTATCAAATATTGATGATATCAGATATCGGAAAGGGGAGCATGTACTGCCCCACCAATGACACCCATTAGTGATGAAGCTTGTGGAAAATATATTACTGACGATGACTTGGTTTATTAAGCATCATGTTAATATTTTCCATTTTATCAATTTTCCAGCGACAGAGGACACGTTTGACAAGTGATATCCATGTTTGTAATCAAACCAAGGTATTCAAATTGAGCGACTGCTTTAAGTACTAGGCTACAATATTGTTTTAGTCTTTTGTGTAACTCACTTGGCTCCGGGGGGTGGCAGGTGGTAGGTGTAGTTGAGTCGGTCCAATATCTTCATCTCCTGCAAACCTATACTAGAGGAAAACTGCAGCCAGTCATCATCCCGCCTTGAATCTGAGTATTTCAAATTCTCCCATGGTGCTTTATGCCAAGCTCTCTCAGCCACAGCCAACATTCTAGGTAGCAGCATTTCAAAGAGTTGTTGCTCTGTTCTGATTTCATCTGTCCAGAGCTGAGCTTGCATGCCTGATGATCAATGAAAACATGCTTAAAAATAACCCCTGTAAGACAAATCCGATTTTCAAATGTTTCAATCGGATGATGACTTATTTTCATAATGTAACTGTCATAACCGAATTACCTATTTTTCAAACATGCAGCAAAATTCAGATCTGCTCAATTCTTCTCTCGCGATCACACGTATGCTCTCGGTTTATACCCATGTACTCCATGATATTGCTGGAATATTGCTAAAAGCGGCATAAAAACCATACTCATACACTCAAGCCCATGTACTCGGTTCATACCAATGTTCTCAGTTCAAACCTACATGTATGTTCCTGTTTCATACCTATGACGTTCTGTGGCCGAGTCAGTCTTGGGCAGATGGCGTTACTGTTCCCACACACGCGCTCCCTTGTCACTGTTATTCCCTGAGAGTTCGTGTGTATGTTACTGTAGATATCCCCAGGCATAAACTCGAACACCTTCTTTGTGTCAGTGTACCTACTGGCCCAATATTCTCCTCTTTCCTGGGGGTCGGGCTCATAGGGTGTGTCAAGGTTCAGATGTTTTGACGAAGCCACCACAAGCTGCAAAGAGTGAATGAGTTAGTGTTGACAACAAGGATATGACGTATTCGGCAGATATGTTTGTTGTTTAACACATCACTCGGCAATATTCCAACTAGATGACAGCAGCCTGTGAATAATCGAGTTTGACCAGATAAACCAGTGATTGAATCTGTGGGCAACTTCCCACTTCGCGGACGTACAGTGACACACAATTAAGTAGACCCGAGGTTGACCATCCGATTCTTTCAATCGACCTCCTACAACAAGCTTAGTTTACAGAGGCACATATTCGAACTCGACTGAAAATTGAACGATTTCATGGTGAAGAGACCCCAGAACTCATTTAACTGCCCAAGTCTGCCTTACATCAAGCAGAATACATACAACACGTCTTGTACATACACAACAATTTTCAGGGTAGCGCAGTCGACCCCAATAATGGGCTTCACATATATTAGTATACTTCTAAAAACAAAGTATATGCAAGAACCGGGTGCTCCTTAACAATGAGGGGCTATCTGAGTTTATGTGAAGTGTGTTGAGAGGATCAGCAACCCTGCAGAGTCCTTCGCTTGGATGAAGTCGGCTGGCCTGAAAAGTGAATCCGAAGTCTTTCTATTTGCTGCTCAGGATCAGTCACTTCTCACTCGAAACCGTCAGTGTGTGATTTTGCCTCAAAATGTAAATATGAAATGTAGATCATTCAATGAATTAAATGAAACTGTCCAACACATTGTCAGTGGATGACAGCTTTGTCACAAACACAGTATCTTAAGTGACATGATGGAGTGGCTTGATCATTTTATTACCGTCTTCGCCAAGCTTGTGGTTTTGACACAGAGGTCCACCTATGGTACGACCCAGAATGTGTTGAGGGCGTCATGGAAAATTATGAATACAAACTTCTTTGACATGGTCCCGTATACAGCCTGTGACAAATTCAGACCAGCAAACCTGATAAATTCATTGAAATCGTTTATAGCATTGAATTTGTTTGGTCCCTTTTGACACTCATGTGATTGACAACATTCAGGAACACCATGGCAAATATGTCGACCTCACTTTCGAAATATCACGCTTGCATCCCAAGTACCAAGTTGTCCGACCCCCATTGTTCTCGGTGCCTTAGGTTTAGTACCTCCCAATCTGTTGACTGACATTGTGAGAGTACCAGAGTTTGCTGCCAGGAATACAACCCCCTCTGACAATCTGAGTAATGCAGAAAGCTGCATTGTTAGGGAGTCTTCGCATTCCCCCGAATATTTCTGGGTGGGTTTGACTAGGCAGCGCTTCCTGGGAGAAGTCCCTTTCGCTGACTGAGCTGCGTATAGATGTTGAAAGGGCCCTGAGCTGCTGCTGAGCCTGACTATGCCAGGATCACCCAAACCCTCTTTGCTGCATTGATGTTTTTTTAAAATGTAACAACTACTACTACTGCTACTACTACTACTACTACTACTACTACTACTACTACTACTACTACTACTACTTATGTACCTCATAATCATCGTTTGCCAGTAAATAAGCCTGAGAAGCTGGAACTGATTGATCTGCCCAGAAATCCTTCCACTCATATGCCATCACACGTCCAGACAGCTGCTGTTTGGGGATGATATCGTAAATGTTGCTCATGAAGCCTTCTTCAAATCCAGCCAAGGTTACATTTTTGGAGCTTACTATTTTGGACAATTCTTTTACCAGTTTGATTTGAAAACTGGTCGCGCTAAGGGAATTCATGATATGGTCTACAACAGCATCTGACCATGCATGTATCGTTGCTTCCCCTCCTCCGAAATGCATGGTCTTTAGTGGGTTAATGTTTTGATGCATATTGTAAAGTTCATCAAACACAAGAGAGAAGAAGTCAAACGTTGACGAGAGCATGGGATTAATTGTGTTGGTTCCAATTGGTACATCTTCTTTGAACGGTATACTTGTCAGCATGAATTCTTCGGAACTATTAAAATCACCAACATCTAATCTGGTTTGTTTTCTGATAGCCATTGCTTGAATGGCTGCATGCGCGTTTCCAGGCAGACTGATTTCTGGTATGACTTCAATGTGGCGATAGGCAGCGTACTTCAGGATGTCTTCATAGTCTTGCTTCCTGTAGAATCCGGATGTGCTGTTGGTTGGACCCGATCCAAATTGGGGGTAGAGGCATCGTAACCACACTTGATTGAAACACCGCTGACTACCAATCTGCAACATTGATCGTTAATAATTTACTCATGTCAACGAGCAGTTCCTGTCAAAATTCACATAATAATTTATCTCCTTTTTACAGATTGTGCAATTGATTGGATGCAACATCAGCCTATGCTTGTTGAACTGTTAATTTCATTTTGTTTGATATTTATGTATTGTGATAGATAAGCTGGATGATAGGTACTGATAGAATACTAACACTAGGTACAGATAGATATGCCATAAATGCAAATATATTGATTGAAAATATGCTTTGTATTAAATCACCTTCGTGTTTCGCACGGTGTGAGTGCTGGACATATGGGATGGAAAATATGTTTAGAATAAAGCCACAAAAGATCTATATAGTGCAAAGAATTACATAACATGCTCTAACCTGGCTGAGCCCGTCAAGTCCAGAAACCTCAATTCGCCATGCATAATTATTGGTCAGGTGCAAGTGTAGTTTATTCATTTTGTACATCGCCATTAAATCCAGTACCCGAAATAATGTTTCTTTTGGATAGAAGTTACTTGCAACATCTAGCAGGAGACCACGGTAGTGATATCTGGGTTTGTCCTTCACACTGACTGCAGACATGACGCCAACCTTGACACCTCGCAAGGCAAGACTGATCAGCGATTGAATACCGTAGAATGCTCCTGCCTTAGTCGATGCAGATATAAGAATGCCTTGGTACTTTGGCTCCATTGTCAACGTGTAGCCATCTTCAGACAGTGAGACGTCCTCCTTGATCCTAATGTAGCTTTGAGCAGCAGTATTGGCAGAAAGTGTCATTGTCGATAATCCCATTGCGCTAAGTTGATCTGAAAGTGAGCAATTACAATCATGTTTAAATCTTCCAGTAACCAGCTTTCAGGCCTTCACCTCATATGAAAAACACCATGACTACGTCACCATGCACGTCCTTATAGCACTGTGGATTCAATTACAAAGCTTACTCTCAAAGAAAGGCGCAAGGATATCAATATCAGCAAGCAACAGATAGTAGATATATTGACATTGAAGTTTGACACCTAGCCATGGATATGTATAAACCTATAACCAATACACACCTTTTAAGAATGAAGCTTCTCTGGTAAAAAAAACGTCAGAAGTAATAGTCCAGCAGCATTTGTCGAGGTATATGGTAGCCATGTCCCCCTCCTTCACAGATGTCAAGGACATGGGCGTCGGGATCAGGGTCTTGTGGGAATCGGCTTTACTGGCAGGGTCAGGATTACGGTTAAATCTGTCCTCTGGTGAAAACGGTTTGTATACATCAGTAAAAGCATTCTGAAGTGAGAAACATCGTTTCCATTTGTTCGGAGTATCGAAAGCACTCACGAAGTCAAGACTTTCGCCAACAGTATTTGGTAATATCCTTGGTTCCAAACCTTCTGCAGCAACAAACCAATTAGGCATCTGGTCGTACTTTGAGACAGACCATGGTTTAAATTCACCATTCAAAACTCGCTTTTCATTTGGCATTATGGGTTTAAAGTCTTTCTGGGGTTTGATTGCAAAGAACCCTTCATTGAACTCTTCAGCTGTCATACCAGAGTCTATGTTGTGTAGGACAGTCTCACTGTTGAAGTAGATTCCCCAGTTCCCTGGTTCTATAGGAAGTGTTCCATTGTTGGTGAGGGTTAGCTGTGCTTTGTAGGAGGTGCATCCATCGTAGAGATTGTCAATGACAGAAAAGTTTACAACTAGACTATCAGCAATTCTGTCGAGGGTTGGCTGTGCAATGTAGGGCGGAGCTGTGTGATTAGGTAAAGAAGAACGTGAAACCAAAATGCATGCAATGCTTGAAATAAGAAAAAAACCATTTACAGTTGCATTATGTCACTAACTGTATTAATGTTAATTTCTGTTGCTTTGGGATTTAAAAGAATTGGACGATGCTATAGTATCGTATTCCAAAACGTTATTACCAGGCATACTTCAGTTTACATGTTACTTGCTTTTATATAAATAATCTAATATACTACTGAATAATATATTTAATACACTACGTCAGAATAACTAACACCATTAGAACAGTATGGAAAACCGTGACACTTGTACTAACATGTGCCATAAAATCACATAAGATTAAACGCGTGCCATAACATGTCCATAAGATTCGCGATACTTACACGAATCGTATTTGACAGCTCGACTGTAACGTTTTCCATCAGCTGTTCTGAAATGGCGGGAAATTAATGAGGCTACAAAATGACAGATACAACTAATTGCTGTGTAGATACATATTAAACACCCCCAAGGGAAACATGAAGGAACTGTGCAAGACAGACAACAGAAAATTCAGATATATTTAACATAAGTACAACATTGGGTGATATTCACCTTGTTCGAATAGGCCTGTCAGTGCTTGAGTTGGTGAAGATATCAATCCAGTTACCATGCGAGTCCTGATACTGCACCCGTAGGCCTGGAAACTCGGTAATCGGTACCAGCAACCCATCGACAACTCTGCACATTGGAACAATATCGCATTGTCTTCACGCTGAACGTTAGAGTAATGTAAACGTAGACATGATAAGGTTAAATATCACAAGAGAGTGACATTGTTTTATATCCAGCATTGCGTTTATTTTATATGAGTATGACATTCTGTCAGCGGTGATATCAAAGTCACACCTTGCTGCCACCACAGAAGGTATTGTGGTTTAACCAAACAAGACTTTGAATGCTCTAAGTCAAAGGATATCAATGCACACACACACACACACACACACACACACACACACACACACACACACACACACACACACACAGAAACACACACAGAAACACACACACACACACACACACACACACACACACACATATGAATGCACATCGCTTTATATTCATCGTGTTAGTGGTACGTTACATACCTTGCGGCGGGTGGTGCAACACGATAATCGATGCCCTCTGAATCCAGCCAAGGGAGTTCTCTCAACCCAACAGCTTTCACATAACTTGACCAGTCGTCATGTCTGGCTTGATCACGTGTCGTAGAGTTATCCATTGATTCCCAGTCAGCTTTATGCCACGCCCTCTCAGCCAACGACAACATCCGAGGGAAGGCTCTCATGTGCATATCTTCTGTGCTGCGTAACGTGTCAGACCACAGATGCCCCTGGATTCCTGTCATAGGTGATTTTCAAAAGTTGGGTGTTTGGTTTCACGCCGCTTTTAACAGTATTACAGTAAAATCGCGGCGTGTCGGCTTAATGTGGGAGGAAAGCATGGAGGGAGTGATGCAGGTCAGATGGTGCTGACAAACCTAGAAACATAATCGGGGCGAACCGGGATTCGAACCCACAATCATAGGTCACCACTACACCTCCTAAGTTTATAGACCATGCAGATTCTTTTAGTAATATAACATGCCGTTGGAGTCTGTCATGAAATAGGTTCACGGTACCCAGTGCTTGTACCAACGAATGAGGATTGGGTGGTTACAATGTATGACATGACAGTTTGTGATTCACCTTTCCCTGACAGGGTAACTCATGCTATCAACAACATGATATTCAAAGGCTATCGTAATAGGGCTGTATATTGCGGCTTAAACCAATTTACACTCGCTTTTGTAGTATAAACGTTTAAGATCAGAAGTAGTTTGTGTATCGTGTCTTCCTCTGGGTTTTAGTTTCATTTTATGGTCAAATAAAATTATCCCCCCTCAAAGAGTTCATAAATTCAGTAATAATTTAATAACATTAAAAAAGCACCAAAGTCAACATGGAAAGGGAAATATTTTACTTGTTTTCTCCTGTGTGACTTTTTTTTTATTCAGCCGACCGGTAATTATCAACAATGACTTTGAAAAAACCAAACGTGCATTCAAACTTGATTTTATTTACTTTTGGCCCGCCGCAGGCTATTAACAGATATTAATTAAAAACGTCTTACCGACAATGTTGCCTGGTTTGAGCAAAGGGGGACACTTTTCATTGTTGCTGCCACAGGCCTCCTCGTGGCTGATGGGTTCTCCAGAACGCTGAGTGTCGATGTTTCCGTACAGGTTTTCTGGCATGAAGCTGAAGGCTTTCCTAGAGTCGATGTACCTTGCCGCCCAATAGTACCCACGTTCAAGAGGATCAGGTTCATAAGGGAAGTCGAAGTTAAGGAGAGTTGCTGGACACATCACCACCTGAACAGATGGCACGCCCAATGTAACAATCTCTACATGTGTACCTACTAAATACTATAGGAAGTAAGAACTGAGAGAAAACTTTATAAAGGTAAAACATCACCACTCTTTTCTCTATCACACGATGTGTGTAAAATGCGTTCACATTTATTTGAATGTAAAATCTTTAAAGGTCAAGTGGCACATCAGTAGCTTTATTAAACACACGAAACGAGAAATCTTCAATCTAAAAAGGACGAATATATGGTGCTAAGAACATGATTATCGTTACTTTGGTACTACTTTGGTCTTACTTTGGAATATATATAGAGTATGACATTATATAGAGTATATCATTCCAATGAACTAATGTTATTTGTCACTTGTCCACTCAGGTAACCTACCTTATAACCATTGTTAGCTAGGTTATAGGCACGGCCCGCATTCCCCCATTCCCATATATTCTGGTACACATAGGCGTACACATCGTGACTCCCGTTTAGGCTGAACATTTTGTAGCCAGTCGACTGGTCAGGAGCGCCCTACAGAAAAAAATATAAGAGACGAGGAATTAAAACAGGATCCAATCGCACAACCCCTCTCAACTCAAAACAACAAAAGAATCAAACCTACTCAAGTAATTGATTTGAGAGTGTGGTTATAACAAATAGCACACTGAACATATCTTTTGAGAGAATGAGTGAGTTAATTGATTTTTACAGCGCTTAGTATTTCCTTTACAACATAATGCATCAGTCTCATGCACCAGGAAAGTCAACAGTTGATACACCAAGACGTATCTGGTATTCGAACCGTCATTCCCCGGCTAAGGGGTGCACCACTGCATCACGAAGTTAGGCCCCTAGCTGATACATCTGGGCCACCAGAGTAAGTAAGGAACACTTACAGTCATTACAAAGCCGCTCCCCTCTTGGAGCAACCCATCTTCCCAGGCTGCAATGTCTAGGTTTCGACTCGACCCGAGTCCCACCACCTTTCTGAAGAAATGCTCCTTGACTTTGGGAACATTGACAACAGAGGAGTTGGACACTTGTCTACAGGCGGTAGAATTGTCCCAGGCTCCCTCCGCCACCTCGTCCCCTCCAAAATTGAAAATCCTCAAAGGCTGAATATCCCGATGCATGATGGATAATTCTTCCATCACATGATTGATGAAGCTATAAGTGGATTCAATGCAGGGATTCACTGCATCATCAACATACATCTGAATAGATAGATACTTTGACCAATCTTTGATTCCACCCTCAACAAGTCGATATTTTAATGCCTCTGTGTCATTGCCGGCCATCTTCAGATTGTTATATCTTAGTTCCATCGACTGAACGGCGGCGCGCGCATGTCCAGGGAGGTCAAACTCTGGGATTATTTCGATATGTCGATCTTTGGCAAACCGTAGAATTTCCCTGTAATCTGCCACAGAGTAAAAACCAGATCCCGAGGTACAGTTCGTTGGACCTGAACCTATTTGGGGTGGCAGGCATTTGTTACCACTTGGGTCGAAACATCGCTGAGAGCCAAACTTGAGCAAATAAAAAGTGGAGTAAGGTTATTAATATAATAATCTGTTTCCAAACATCCTGGAAAAATGATTAACAAAGAACTTAAATCGTTCTCTGGAAATGATGGATGTTCTAAAGAATAATTCCTTCATTGTCTAAAAGACAATAGTTTTCAAGGCAGACTGAAAATATATCATGTCGCAAATAAAACACATAATCTCCCACAATATTAAATGATCAACTTCTAATAGTTTCTGCATGGTCCTTATCGGAATTGTGGTATGGTGTCAACACTCCGTTTCAATCTCATTAAGTCAGACCTTAGTTCTTGCTATTGCTAAACAAAGATCTGAGGACATCCCAATACGGGTCATGTCAGAACGACCTTTTTTCCGACCAAATCAAGCGTCGCTTACCTGATCGTGGAAGTGACAGTCGGAATGCGTTTTCTAATCATGCAACCTCGAAAACGTTAACGTATTCCGAACAACAGTTACGTCCCGTACGACTGATTCCGTCAAAATTATCGTCTATCTCTCGCTTACGTTGGGATAAACATTGAAGGGAGGAGGAGTCGCATAGTACGTGGGAAGAACTGCCATACAATCTCAACCATATATTAGAAATTCTGGAATGTTCGTTTGTTCAGTTTTCAAAATCTTAATCGAGAATGGTGTCAACATATTTTCAAGCGTTGTCTGAAGTGGAATTCGCCAGGTTGAAACGAGTGCCGTGAAGCTCGAGAAAGCTGCTTTTTATTTGGCTGATGTCGACTTCTTGTTAGTCATTTCAGTGGTCGGTCAGAGTTCGCGAAAGGTCGTTCTGACATGACCCGTAATGGAATGTCCTCAGATATTTGTTTAGCAGCAGCGAAAACTAAGATCTGATTTTTATGAGATTGCACTCCGTTTTTTCTCGAATTATCCTAGGACAGGCCACATAGTACAATGCTTCGAATAATGTTCCAATATTCCAGCCATATGACGACGGTCTGTAAAAAATCACGTCTGGACAAGACAATCATGAGCATTGATCAACGCAATTGGGATACGATGACATGCATCAACCAAGTCAGCGAGCCTGGCCACCCGATCACGTTAGTCGCCTCTTAAAACAAGCATAGTCGCCTTTTAAGGAAAGCATGGATGGCTGAAGGTCTATTCTATCCCCAAGGGAATGGTGGCTGTTTGCGACAGACAGTTTGTCTTGTAACAGTAAATGGGTTAAATGAGAGAAATGTTGGCATTTCACCTGTGTCAACTCCTGAAGTCCGGGTATTTCTAGTCTCCATCCTTCGTCATCCGATAGATGGAAGTGAAATTTGTTCAACTTGTAGGACGCCATTTTGTCAATCAGACCAATGACGTCATCCTTCGGGTAGAAATTCCGTCCAGCATCCAGGAAAAGACCACGATATCCATAACGCGGTGCATCGCGGACAAGCGTCGTGAAGAGCTTACCGTTCGCCTCGCGTATCAGCTGAAAACATAATTATTACACGTATATACAATGAAACTTCGCTGGTACAGAAAACAATCATGCCCGAAACTTTTTGAATGTTTGAATAAATACAACTGAACATAACTCCGAACCTATGAATTAATTTAAATATTAAGTTTGGTTTTATCATTAATATGACAAATACCATTTTTTATATTAAACAGTGTTTCACTGACGGCATATGAGTGAGTAAGGGATCCAGTGGAAATTGATTTGCGCCGCTTTTTGCAATGTTTCTGCAATGTCACTGCGTGGAACATCAGATATGTCCTCGGATACTAATGTGAGGGATTGAACCCTCGGTGTGACGACGACATCAATGCAACCGGTCAAGTAGGACATGCCTACCCTTTTCGCGAACATCTGGTGTCATCACTGATATTTACAACTATTATGCATTTTACGCCCTATGGAATCATTTGCCTGATAAAGGTGTTAGGATCTACACCGAAACGTCGCACTAATTGTAATAAAGAAGTTTTTCATCCATAGAACTTGTCTTTCTTCAACACACCAACTTCTAAATGCCACTCAAAGAACCCATGGAATCTGTTAAGTAACTCAAGATAATCGAGATTAATTGTTCTCTGGCGTTGACGTTTTATATTATAAAAGTAGTCTAGCCAACAGCCCCTCTCGTATAATATGTACCGCACACCTGTAATAATGTTTGAATTCCATAGAGCACTCCGGATGGTTGAGACCCGATAATGGTCACTGTCGACGACGTTGGGTTGATGTCTATGCTGTAAGCGTCGTCCATGTGGTAGAGGCTTGTATTTTTTACTGTTACGCTCCCTATCTGTAATTTTACCGATGCGGTGGTTGTTGTGCCGGGTGTGGGACGAATGGATTTTAATGCTTGCTCTGCAAATACAAATATTTACTTATATTATGCGGACGATTACTGAAATGTACGCCTAAGTCAATTTTGATAACTATTTTCAATTTACGACACAAATCTATTTGTAACAATTACATATACTAAGATGTCATGCTTGTTTCCTCTGTCTGAGGTACCAGGTGTCACAGAGTGGAAGAAAATATAAATTTTCATTTCTTTTCATTAAAATTAAGTTTTATAATGCAGTAATGTTTTTTGAGGAATCAAAATTATGTTTTTGTCACTGTTTCAAGTCATTCAATTGTTTTTCCCCGCATATCCGGTATATATTATTATTTATGGTAAAATCTGAGGCGAAAATATTTAAACAGAAATATCAGGTTTCACCCAGAATATCAAATGACCTTCACTTATAGTACGGGGGCTTACTAAAGATTTGTTCCTCTGTGTCTAGCCCAGACTGTGAATGCACAGCAACATTAGACACATCCATCTGGAAGCTGCGGCGCCTGTTCAATGTCATCTCCATGGGTTTGGGGATGACGCGGATCTCTCCACTGTCATGTAGATCATCCACAGCAAACCGACTGAACCTTTCCTCCAGAGAAAATGGCGCAAAACGATCATAGTTGTACCTCTTAAATTGCTGTGGCTGCGTGATTGGCTGGACAAAGTCCAGAGTCTCCCCGACAGTGCTGACCAGTACATGGGGAACCAGACCCGCAGCAACGATGAACCAATTGGGCATCATATCTGTCTTAGCTGTCACCCAGTAGATGAGTTGCAGCTTTATCTATAAGAAGATAATTCAAACGAATAAATGTCAGCTGAACAACATACACTTCGTCCCACTTCTTGACCCATGAGTTCGAAACCCAAGACCGCCCTGACTAAAATTCTTGGTTTGTCAGCACATGTCCGTGTTTATGGGTTTCATCAAAGTGATTCACTTCTAAGACTAGCATAACTTCGGGCTTTCCTCCCAGGTCACGCTAACGCACCGGGATGTAAATGAATCCCTGTGGCGATAAATCAAACTGAACTGACTCACTCACTCACTCATTCACTCACTGATTTCTCATGTAGCATTAATAGAATGCACGCATAGCCGAGCGGGATATCTCTTTGCAGAGTTGCGTCCATTGACGTTGCCTGTATTATAGATTATCCTTGATCTGTCAGCATCATACCCATGCGCGTGAGATTTCACAATATAGATAAACTCTTCTGACGACCTGCGACAATTCATGCGTGTGACACATCGGATCCTCACGGGGTGTTAATATTGGTACCACGGACCCACATCCAATTTAATCATGATTATGAATGATTGAATATCTATCTCTAAATAAAACTCGTCCATGCAGTAAACATCACACGATCACTATCTGTCTGTCAATCTATATGTGTCTCAGTCTCTCGCTCTTTTAATCTACAGTTAGACTACGTAAACAATTTCACTATAAAACTATAAAACGACATCTACCTTTCTGCTTCTGCCAGGAAGAAGATCAAAGAAGCTGTCCGTAGGTGCTATCGTGAATTGTGTCCCTACAAGATGGTTGATCCTGATTCCTTGACCCGGAAGTTCATATCCCCCAGGTCGAGGCAGATAGTCCGGTTCTAACAAGAAGATTGTGTCGAGATGAATTCGCCAGTCTCCGTCTTTAGAGAGTGTTGTGTTGCCATTGTTGGTAAGAATTATTTCGGCAAATGCTCTTGTCTCTGTTTGGGTGTTGTCCTTGATAAGCCATTTAATCTGGAGATTTTTACCAAGGTCATTGAGGCCTTCCTGATCGAGAGCCATACAAGAGGCTATACCTGAAAAGTATACAAGTCATATATTTGACGTGTCATGAAGCCATAGCAGTGATCGGGATGTCCTTGTGTATTTGGCGTCAGAATTCTCATTAGTATCACCATCTGATGCAATATACACAGGAGAAACAGTGGCAACACATTGTCATTTCTTTCATGATACTTTCTAATCATATTGACATGACAAAGCTGTGTCTTTTTACGATGGTCTGGTGTTTGTATAACATAATCATCAGTATCACTGACTTCTGTCAATGCCATTCGGACCATGGAACCTAGCACGTAATGGTTGATCAGGGATTGGCAAAAACACTAAGATTGAATCACCAGGTCTGAAATTTCTCTTTTGAGACTTTTTGTCATATTGTACTTTCATTTTGCCCTGGGATTCCTTCAAGTTATCCCCAGCAACTTCATAAGATTTTGAAAGACATACTCCAACAAACTCATTTCAGACCAATCATTAAGCCAATGCTCCTTTAAGTGCTTTAAAGGACTAAAAACCTAGGGACCCCTGAACTGACTCCCTCACAGCAAACAACAACAAATGAATGCTTTCACTCCAATCCTTCTCAGTCTCAATACAGTAAGTCCTTGTCATATTCTTAAGAGTTTGATCAAATCGGTGTAAAGCTCCTTGAGATTCAAGATAACATGCACTTGACTTCACCTGAGTTATGCCTACCTGGTGCATAGCCTGTTCGAAAACACCTAGAGCCCTGATCTGACCGTATAGTCTTCAGCAAACCAACCATGGTGAAAAACCTTAGGAAACCCTTGATAATAACCTGAGCTGTAATTGTCCAAATTCAGCCACATCATGCCGTCAATAAGGCCAAAGTCAATTTTTGTCAAGTTTTGTTCACACTCAAATGACCTGCCAAAGGAGTTTCATGTGCCAAGCTCAAAACATGCTGTTTATATGTATATGGAAGAACTATTTTTTAGAAAACCTTCCATTCATTAACAACAGGTACATCTGGCGGTATCAATTTCCTCATTTCCTTGAAATAGCAAACTGGAACCTTATCTTCTTCTAAAGAGAGTGCCCTGTTGGCAACAGCTTTGAGTTCTTGATCTTCCCCTCTAACTTAAATAACTGCTCCCTACCCAGGGGTGGTTCCTCAACAGCCAAACTTTCAGAGTTTTGAGTTCTCTCCTCGAAAATTTAGACAGGTCAAGAGAATGATCCATAAAAATCCAGCCAAATCATAAATGGAATCATTATAAGAAACGCTTTGCGTAGCACCAGTAACAACACACAAAAGAAAGAAGAACTTTACTTAGCCATAGTAAGAACAAATGAAGGTAAACTAGCTGTTTTTGTTCTTTCCAAGATTTTCAGAACTTTCAGAATTTTCAAGCAAACATCTTACCCCTGCCAAATCATTTCCAATGAGCAAGTCCACACCTTTAACCCTTTAACAAAACCTCAGAGTTTGCCGATGACTCCAAAGAAAGTGGCAAATTCTACCCAAAATCAGAGGTTGAAGAGCACCAGTATCCCACAATATGGTTTAACATTGGAACTGACACAAAACATTTACTAACAAAAGTAAGTACACCTCTATCACAACAGCAGACTTTGATGACTGGTCTACAACAGCTGACTCCTCATTAGCCGAACCACAAAAAGGCTCTGACTTGACATACACAAAAGCATTCGGGGAAGAATGGCCGTTTTAGAAAGCGAGCCTTCTACATTTAGAAATGATATGCCCTGGCTTGTGGCAATATCTACAAGTAGGCTCTGACGAAAATCCAGATATATTTTTAGAACCAACTGGAGTAGAACTTGACTTTATGTCAACAAACTCAGAACCAAATGAACTATCCTTTCCTGATTTGTTACCCTGCGAACTCCTGCCTGTATGCCCTGACTGCTTAAAACTAACCCTGTGAGTAACGAATCATCATCAGCCAAAGTAGCAGCCTTGTGTAACTGATCCACTTTCTGCACATCAAGATATGTCTCAAACTATCAAAATCACCATGACCTCCTTTGAAGTACACCACCTATCAAACAGAGTTTCCTTCTCTCTTGCAAACTCTACAAAAGTTGAACCATTCCTTTTCTTAGTAGACCGAAACTTTTGTCTGTAAGCTTCAGGAATCAATCCATAAGCCTTCAAATCTTCAGCCTTAAAAACCTGATAATCAGAACTCCTATCAATAGGTAATGTAGAATAATCTTCCTGAGCTTTTCCTCTGAACACACGTTTTAATAACAAACATGGTCCAATGATTTTGAGGCCATTTCAAACTGTTAGCCACCTTTTCACAATGTAAGAAAACCTTCTCAACATCATGTTCAGAGAAGGGCGGAACAAGTCTAATCTGCTTGGAAAGATCAAACAATCCATCACCTGCTGAGGCACGATCATTCTGTAGTTCAAGCTGTTTTAGCCTAATTTCTATCAGCTCTCAATTTTTCATTCTCAGTTTAAATTCTCATTTTTTTGTATTTTCAGCTTCAATTTCTTAAGCAGAAATTCTCTCTCTTTTTCTGCTTCCAATTCTTTTAGCCGAATTTCTATCCCGGACGAGCCCCCAATTTCTGTTCCATGTCAATTCCCACATTGAAACAATATTAGGCTTACCTAGAACTTATTACGTAAAATGACTTAGTGTTAAACCAACAAACAACCAACAAGTGGAATACAATCAACAAATGTATTACAAAATTAACTAAATTTACAAATCAATACAAATAACAGCACAGCAATAACAGTGGCAGTAAACAATAGAGTCGTAGCACAATATTCAATGGTAATATATAATATAATGGCAGCGGTGAGCATCTAATACAAAAATACAGTAGTGATAACACAAAACCCTGATAATAATATTTATTAACCCAGCGGAGACAGTGGTCAAGCTTCCAAGACGGGCCTATGCAGGGAATCTGGGATGAAAAGTGATCTTCACACGAAAGCTGGTCTTGGTGTAATGGAATGTGAGAAATACGAAATGTGTGATACGAGATACGAGAGGCATGCCCTTGTCCCCTTATATACACTCTAACTAGCTACTGGATTTGTTTACACAGTGCCCTCACAAAATAGAATATTCCACATGTTTCACATGAATAGAATTTTCGCACTATCACAATCCGAGGCATGACACCAGCATCTTAAAATAGGAACTTCCTCAAAACTGCTTACATTAAACAGTACTATATTCCTGACAACTAATCACTATCCAAACACAATGCAATGAGCGTCTACCGAATCTGAACAGAAACAATGTAACACAATTAGAATCATTGCTCAGCAATTATAACAATGTCATGAGCTTATGTCATGGATAAAGGTTTTAGTAAAATGATACATTTTTGTTCATTGTTTCTCTTGATGGAATTTTTCTATCAATTCTTGCATTACTTTAGGATACATCTTTCTAGCTGTCCTTTCTTTCCGAAACAGTTTACTATAAAAAAGACCACTTCCACATGGTCTACAAAGCTGTGTCACTGTCTGAACGCCAACTCCACACTTGCGACAGGGCTTTGGAATAGTGCCCCTTTCCTTGTTATTGCACGATAATGTTGACGACAGTCATGTTTACAGTGTTTTCAACACATGACGTTTAAAACTAGCCAGTGGCACGTATTTGTTGCAATGATTGTTCACTCTACTACCATATTACTGTTTGTCATATGACGCGTGGTTGTTCAATACACTGATAAGTGGACCGCTGAGAAATGCGCTATCAGCTATGATAACTGTTTGCCCCACTTCCTGATGTCTCAATTCAAAAAGGCATTACAAAGATTATGCATTAGTTGTGTAAAACTGTCAAAAAGCTGTGCCCTTAATAAAGTTATTTTGGCTGTATCCAAGAGTTAAACAAGATGAAAGAGCCTTTTGTCCAATATTATAACTTTATATTGCATTTGTCTGTAATTATCTTGTTATATTTTTTTTTAATTAAGGCATTTACCGAATACAGAAGCAATGTCAATACATTAATTTTGAAACCGATGAGTTCCTATCCGATCTTTAAGGACATCGAAAACAATCATTGAATTGTAATGAAAGTATCAGCGTTATCAGTAACGGAGAAACGGACTTTATGTTGTGTTCACTGTTTTGACCCACTGCCAACATGGCTGTGGTGCGGAGAAGGCAAGCTGATAGCGAGCTTAGGCAAGCCATGAAGCAGTGCACTCAGCTCCCCTGCTGTTGAACAGATGTCGATCTCGTTACGTAACAGTTATCAGTAACGGACAAACGGACTTTATGTTGTGTTCACTGTTTTGACCCACTGCCAACATGGCTGTGGTGCGGAGAAGGCAAGCTGATGGCGAGCTTAGGCAAGCCATGAAGCAGTGCACTCAGCTCCCCTGCTGCTGAACAGATGTCGATCTCGTTACGTGGCTTTGATTGGACTATGCTTTACTTGTTAGTCCAACCATAATATAACTCTAGTGTGACATGAGAGCTAGAATCTAATTGGTCAGTAGGATGGACATGTCAAGCCTATAACTCGTAATGGACAATGGTAGCGCTTCGATCGTGGCACGAAATTCCAGCAAAGTTCAGCAAGGGTGGAAACTGGATTTTTATAGTCAGTTGACTCCCTTGCCGCGGGAAGAGGGACATTGCTGAAAGCAGCCTTATGCCAGAGTGTAATGAAGCCCCTCCATTGCTATCGGTTTCGGGTGGGTAACACTTGGGTTCTAACGCTGATTTGAAACCGTGTGTCAATTATATAACAGCTTGCGGGTGAAAACAACAAACAAGTGCAGGTCTTAGGTGAAACAAACGAGTACAAGTGTGTAGCTGACAAACCCAGAAACCAAATCTGGAAGTCAGCATTTAAACCCATGCCCGGGTACAGGAACCCCGACGCCATTGGGCGTTGCTTATGATACACACAAGAATACTTTTCACGCGTGGCACCAAAATGGCAAACAATCAGTTTTGTCAGAAAAATTTTAAAATGAAATAATTTCACCAAAATATATTGATAAACATTGTCATGTTTAAAACCATATGTACATGTCCTTTCATGTCTTACATCTTAAACCATGTTTTTCACTACAATGCGATGACCTCAACCCCACCCCAACCCCCTACCCACTCTCCCTCTCTATGCATACTGAATTTCCTTATCAGTGTATTTCCACATTCAGTCGAACTCCGCTTGTGACGAACCGACATGTAGGCTCTGTCTCCCTCTCATATGCGGTAAACATTCAAATGAATGTCATGTAGTTCATGGTTTAAATGTACATAACATCTAACGACATATGGCAACATGTAAGAACCAGTAAACCAATAATGACATGTTATAAACAAATGCTTAAAAAAGAAGCATGTAATTTCTATTCAATTACCCAAAAGACCATGTTTCAACTACCCACAAGTCCCACAGAAAGCCGTGGAATAACTGGATTGTCTGACTATTTATAAGACGTAGCGGGAATAGTGCTGAGCGCGACGTTACAAACAAACAAACAAACAATTTAAAAGCACACACAACAAATAGAAAACAACAAACATTATGAAGCCGATCAGTATATTGGTATTGGTGTATCACTGTAGATCCAACAATACTCACATAAATATGCCCCGAGAATCCACATACTTACACTACTGTCTCACCTCACAGCAGTGTATTTAACCAAAGACATGAAAGTGACACTACTACCCTACAAAGACGAGTGATAATGTCGCCTCATTTGATTGGACGGTGTCACATTGATAGCAGTTGGTCACTTTAAATGCACTGTCGTGTGCATACATGCAAACTTAACATACGAGTATATCCAATTTCCCGGTTTGTGTTTCGTCAAGAACAGTCGTGTCCCTTCAATGTCCATAAGAAATCTCCACTTAAGCAGAGTCCTTTGTATGATTCCTGACTATAATATGAGCATGTCTTTCTGAATCAGTATCAAATATGATGATATCAGGTGTCCGTGCAAAAGGGAGCTAACCATGTCCGACCGGAGGTACCCGTCACAAACACATGCAAAGGCAAGTCAAGTGTTCAACTTAAAAACACATATGGTACGATGTCAAAATAGGGAATTGCAACGGACATAGTTTTTGTCACCTTGCGTCAGTTTTAGAAATGTGACCCACAAACCATAAAGCTTTGCTTGAAATATGGTAGTTAAAATATTTCTTCTAAGGCTGACTACTTAATGGCTGTGTTTGTTTGTTGTTTAACGCCGCACTCAGCAATATTTTAGCTCTATGACGGTTGTCTGTAAATAATGGAGTCTAAATCAGACAATTCAGTAATTGATATCATGAGCATCGATCCACGCAATTGAGATACGATGACATGCATCAACCAAGTGAGCGAGCCCTACATAGACCTCTCACGACAAGCACTGGTTGCTGAAGACACGGAACACCAAAGGTAGAAAATTCAGAATGCAGCAGCGCATATTACATTCACCAATGAAGTTTCCACGATAGAATTAAATACGTTTTGGAATTTTCAATGCAAAAGTATAGTATGATGATAAATATGATAAAAGTGACTAAATACATATGTCTTTTGTTCATCGTTGTACTTGGAGTATGCACCTCCGTTTCATCAAAATGACTGAAAATGTAAACGAGACGATGGAGAGTAGTTGATAAATGATTACCTTGTCACAATGAAGCCCTAGGTTCGATTCTCCTTATGTGTGCAACGTGTGAACCACATTCTATACTACTAAAGCCGTAATAGTGTCGCTATTTCCGAGCCGTGATAGCACTTACAATTCTGAACACGGACATATTACCGAAATTAATTATCTTATGTATGACCTACATATTTACTTCTCAGGAATACAATAGTGAAAAGAAAATGAAGGAACAGCACACTTTAACAGGGATGCTTTGTCAGTTAATTTGATAAAGTGAATAGGTTTCAGGGCATTATGCAACTGAACATATGAAAATCTTAAAACTCGCAATCGACCATTGGTGAAGCTTACGTTGACCTTTAGACCAGGAAGATGTTCCACAAAGAGATCTCATCGCTAACACGACCGTAACTCCCACGCTATAACACTAATTCACGGCAGTCGCTTTGTGGAACGGGGCACAGGTGGGCTTGATGACAATTACAATGGACAAGTTGCAGATGTTAGTTCACTTTCCTACTGCCATTTCACATTTCTGGCTGTGTTCAAGCTTTGTCAGGAGTGTCCTTATCTGTCAGAACAGTAATAAAGTAAAATCGAGTCACAAGGTAACTCAGTATATTTCTATTTAAGGTACAAAGATAAAGGTAATAGATAGAGATTATGGTGAATCGTTGTAATGACATAACGAACATCAAATAGCAATTTGAACAACGTTCATAGTGTTGTTGTTGACCTTGACAATTCAGCACCACCTTTGTTTAATATTTGATTGAATAATCAAGTATTATATAAGTACTGATATTAAGACAAGTGTACTGAACACGGTACGAGGAAGAGAGACCGATATGAATGACTATGACCTTATTGGCCGGCATTGTCCATTGACATTGAAACATGGGGAAGACCATTTGTGTCATGCCGATGGATTGGAACGCTTTCGTTGTTAATGGCCTATATCAGTAACTCTTCAGGATTAATGGCGGCAAAAGAATCCTTATGTCATGTGTGTGTGTGTGTGTGTGTGTGTGTGTGTGTGTGTGTGTGTGTGTGTGTGTGTGTGTGTGTGTGTGTGTGTGTGTGTGTGTGTGTGTGTGAGTTACTTTGGCCTAATTCTGTCACATCGTGGGGGCCATTGAGTTTCACATAATCGTTACCCATCTGGGAATCGAACTCGCGCCTTTGACGGGATAAGGTTTCTTTTATTCCAATAGGCTACCGAATCGTCCCAACATGGATGATTGTATTTCACGAAAGGCAATATTTTCATTAATCAAGTTAGAAATCGTAATCCTACATGAAAAACTCCGTCGTGGTCTGAACGTGGTCCGAGACAATGTGCACAGAAGCAGTCTCTCGTGGGATGGGTACGAATATTTGACCCCCCACCCCCACTGGCGTTAACAAGGCAAATAATTGACTCACCTTTTGAATTTAACAACACTGATATTTGATTCACCCTGCTGAAGTTAACAATATTGATATTTGTCTCACCCTGCTGAAGTTAACAATACTAATGTTGACTCACCCTGCTGAATTGACAATACTAATGTCGACTCACCCTGCTGAAGTTAACAATATTGATATTCGTCTCACCCTGCTGAAATTAACAATACTAATGTCGACTCACCCTGCTGAAGTTAACAATATTGATATTTGTCTCACCCTGCTGAAGTTAACAATACTAATGTTGACTCACCCTGCTGAAGTTGACAATACTAATGTTGACTCACCTTGCTAAAGTTAACAATATTTATATTTGTCTCACCCTGCGGAAGTTGACAATACTCGCGAAAATTTGAGCGTATCCTTCACCGCCGCTGGCACCCGTCACAAACACACGAAAAATCGTCTTCACATATAGACGACATCTTTCATACAGGGAACATGTCTCTTATTTTGAAGACGAAAAGAGACAGTCCCACACAATACACTGTAAGTTGCCGAATGTGCAGCGGGAATAACTCGTGTGACCATATCAATTTGTGTTTATATTGGAAGTGTCAGTTTCATGTTCTATACTTGTTTAGATTCTTGAATGTTTTTTTGTTGTAATTATGTAATGTTTTAAATGTTTATATAAAATGTTGTTACTAATACACCATCAACAATTTTATTATGTTTGTGTATCACGTAAATGTCATATTATTAAATTGGTTGCACTTTTCTATTTTTATGTCTGTATTCTATATATAGTCAACACTATTGCAACATTGGCAACGCATGTTATTGTTAAATATTATTATTTTAGTTAGGCTAGACAATTTGTCTACAATCACAATTCAAAAAAATGATAAACGTCGATGTTTTGCCATTGTACGCAGAAGCAGGTAATGCGAGTAACGCATCTTTGATGAATATAATTGATTTGAAAACTCAACAAAAGATTTTATTCTTATATCTAAATTGTATATTATTTTAAAAAAAAAAAGTCTCTTACTGAAATCTCATATTTGCGAGACAGCCATGACGTCCCTCTGGCATGCAATGATGGCATGATATAATGGATGACGTCACATGCTTCCATAATTACTGAACTCGCCTAGCCTGCAAAATATGCTGAAGTTGACAATATTAATATCTGTCTCATCCTGCTGAAGTTAACAATACTAATATTTGTCTCACCCTGCTGAAGTTATCAGTACTAATATTTGTCTCACCCAGTGAAGTTGACAATACTAATATTTGTCTCACCTTGCTCATGTTGACAATACTAATATTTGTCTCACCCTGCTGAAGTTAACAGTACTAATATTTGTCTCATCCTGCTGAAGTTGACAATACTAGTATTTGACTAACCCTGCTGCAAAAAACATCCAAACTACATCAAAGTTGTTCTAATAAATATTGACACCACTTAATATTTAATTTGATTAATAAAATGTATGTCTGTTTCAAGGTGATGCAGTGTACCCTATATAAATATATGCATGCATGCTTTCAAATGTATGTTCTAATGAAAGCGATTGCAGAATCAGTTCTATACTAGCGTCTTATTAATATCTTACTACAAAGCATGTCAATCTGTAATATTGTGATATAGTAACGAAATGCAAACATTTTGAACAGAGAAGAGGCGACTATCGGGACCGGGTGTTCAGGTTCGCTGACAAGGTTGATGCATGTCATCGTATCCCAATTACGTGAATCGATGCTCATGATGTCATTCACTGGATTGTCTGTTCCAGGCTCAATTATTGGCAGACCGTCGTCATATAGCTAGAATATTGCTGAGTGCGTCATAAAACAACAAACAAATAAACAAAGCATACCCGCAAGCCGCTATATGGCTGAAATAATTCCGATGCGACGTTAAATTGTAACTCACCTTTCTTTCAATTTCTCTCAAGAACTCAGATTTATTCAACATATTGTATCTGTACGCAGTAATACACCGGCAAACATTAACGCATGAAAACATTGGCTGCATCCCTCTATAGATAGAATAACGCACGACAGAACAAGAATTACATTATACACACAAACAACCTGGTCCTCCTATTAACAACTGCAAGCTGGGTCATAGTGGCGACATCCTGTTATCTTCGTAGAGAGTGTTTCCCGTCTTTACAACCGAGATATACGCATGGCCGGAAATGTGACGACATGCAAGGTATATTTCACAAACACTTGCGACATAATATTCACACACACTTGCGGCATTAGGTGTTCATCTTTCACCAGTGATCGGTGTAAGCCTGTTATTCACCTTCATTGTGCAGAAGGCTATGGTATTCGGAGCATCGAGTTTTGACTTTACATTTGTGGTATTTGTCTTTGCCTTCTTCAATGGTAAGTTATATTTATTATTTCGTATGACTCTATATTGTCTTACTGCTTTGAGTTACAAATGTCAATTGCGTGGTGTGGCGTATTTTACGATCTGAATGGGCTCGTAAAATTCCGTCCACCCTGCTAGTTTTTGTTTGTTGTTGTTTAACGCCGCACTCACCAATATGCCAGCTATATGACGGCGGTCTGGGCCAGACAATTGCAATCAAGTGATTGCTAACATGAGCATCGATCCACGCAATTGGGATGCGATGACATATATCAACCAAGTCAGCGATCCTGACCACACGATCCCGTTACTCGCCTCTTACGACAAGCATTGTCGCCTTTTACGGCAAGCACGGGTTGGTGAAGATGTATACGGGTCCCAGCCCGCTGTTGACACATTTAACGAATTTAGAATTACGAGTTTGCAGGTTATAAAACCGTTCGGTGAAATAGATTTGTGTGAAATTCCGACCAATCTAGATCTGTCTGTACTAAGTTTAGCCTGTATAACAGGGTCAGTCGTAATGTGACAAGTAAGTAACGCTATGTTGAACATGATGACGTCACGAAGTCTGCACAGACAGGGCGCCGATATACAAGATGGTGACTGGCCAGTACCAACATTTTATGATAATATATGGCAAAGACAGGCATCATATGAAATAGTGTATTGAAAGTACAATGTATGTTAACAGTCACATTCAATCACTTTGTTTTCATCCTGGAATGGACCGCCTCCAGGGTCTACTGGTAGAGCGTCCGCCCGGAGCGCGGAAGGTCCGGGGTACCAAAAGAAGTTAAAAGATGGTATTTGTTGTTACCCTGGCGCTCGGCATTCATGGGATAAAACAAGGACTGATGGGCTCGGGATCAGTATACTGTGTCTGAGTGGGGTATTCATGTTAAACTACGGCATGGTATCTCGGTGTGCTAGCACTACAAATCGGCGTCAGTCCGGAGTAGTACAAGCAGCCACACACACGTGCATGCAAGTCGCTATATAAGTGCAATAATTTTGGACGCGACGTTAAACCCCATTTCACCTCACCTCACCATCCTCGAATGAGGGACGCCTAGTGGATCAAGCGTTAGCTGGTCACGTCAAACACATGGGTTTCATTCACGATGTTAAACGCCACTTTTAGGGTTATTCCATGTGTGAAACCCATTTCACACGACTGAAATAATCCTAAAAGCGGCGTTTACTCAACACACTCACCCATCCCTTTGGACATACATATATACAAAAACACGGTAAGTGTGGGAGTCACTGTTTGAAGTCATGTGTATGAATTATTCTGCATAACCACACTTTAATGTTGTACATGCTCAACAGACGATTCAACATGCATGTAGGTGTAATATCTTTATCATATTGTTAAAAGCGTCTTCTTTGTTGTTGTATGGTATATGTGTTGTTGTACATTATATATACTCAAATCTACTACATGTATATAAAGCCAGAGTATAACAGTCGCGATTATCGGCCGGAACAGATTCCACTGGGCGTAAAGGCAAGATAGCGCTGAAAATGGGTCACTGAAATTCAGTGACGTCACCTGTTGTTCGCGGAAAGACACTTAAAGGCAAACGTATCTGTATCCATGTCTTCATTTATCATATTGCCATTAAGCTCAGAAGCACAGGCTTAAATCTTTCCTTTTCCTTCAAGACCTAAAAGTGAACTGGTATATATTTGATTTGGCCGAATATGAATTTCCCAGGCTTTCTGAAGATTTTAATTGTTAAAATATAGTTTCAAGAAACATCCAATTTCAAATTCAGTGTTGACGAGAAATTCTTGTTTAAAGTGAAATGTCAGTATATTGTGATTTTCTCATGTACGGCAGCTTGAGATGGATCCGAACAGGACATCAAGCTTCCCTGGCCCGACTTGGTCTGCTGGTTACACACTTACATGTACAGGGTTGGATAACCGTATCATAAAATAACTATTACCTTCAGTTATCAGTCAATTGCATAATCCTTTTTCCTTGAATACCCGTGCGTATCTGTGATCTTTGTTGTACATGTGACCCGTGAAGACCCGGATAATAAGAGGTCTTCAGCAACCCATGCTTGTCGTAAGAGGCGACAAACGGGATCGTGTTATCTGGTACGCTGACTTGGTTGATGCATGTTATCGTATCCGAATTGCGTGGATCGATGCCCATGATGTTTATCACTGGATTGTTTGGTCCAGACTCGATTACTTACAGACCGACGTCATATAGCTGGAATTTTGCTGAGTGCAGTGTTTAACAACAAACAAATGTACAAATATGTACTACATGTGCATCACAACAATGTATCTACTCTGTTACAACAGTGGAAGGGGACGGATGCATCAGTGAAACATTGACAGCGACCAAGGAAGCAAGATATCTAACATCGCCAGGCTACCCACTGAGGTACCAGAAGTAAGTATAGCTGTACACAGCAGTGTGTTAAACAGAAGATGCCTTTGATGCATTATGAAAGTAACCTGGATGTCTGTGGTTTCATTTAGTGAATCACATGAACTGGTTGATCATGGTTGATTGAGACAAGCGGAAGTTACCGGAAATTCAATATAGCCATCGCGTTTCTTGGCAAATGTCCCTGGTGATTATGCACGAAACAATCTTAGCGCTACGACTGTCGTAAGTCTGTCTTAAGGTATGGGAGTTACGATCTACTTAGCGCTAAGATCGCCCGGAATCCAATTGTCGCTGGTCCGAATCCAAGAAACGCCTTGATTAAGATTTTTGGTATGTAGCGCAATGCCGGTTCTCGTTGGTTTCGCTAAATTAGTAAACGTCTAAGACTTGCATCACTCGGCCTATCAGATATGATAACCGTTAACAAGCGAAAGCTCGAAATTCAATATAGCTGCCGCTTTTCTTTCTAATGATCATATTTGTAGGCGTGTCGGAATCTGATTAAGATTGGTATGTAGCAATACCGTAGTTCGGTGGACTTGCATTACTTCGGGGTTTTAGCCCACATGAAGCGGACACGCCGAAAAGTAAGAGAAATACTTCTCCAAGCAGTGTAAATCGAAACTCACTCGTTCAGTACGTGTGTTTGTGTGAGAACCTCTGACACAATCTACGTGAGACAACACTTGAGAAAAACCTATCATTTTACTTTTGCAGCAACTTAAATTGTACTTGGGAAATTATCGGACCCCAGAACAGCAAACTGAAAGTGAAGATCCTCAGCAGTGACATCGGCCGGCAAGTGACCTGTGAAGGAGACTACGTCCAGGTGCTTGATGGTATGTTGTTTTCCGTTCAGTCCAGGTGCTTGATGGTATGTTGCTTTCCGTTCAGTCCAGGTGCTTGATGGTATGTTGCTATACGTTCAGTCCAGGTGCTTGATGGTATGTTGCTATTCATTCAGTCCAGGTGCTTGATGGTAGGTTGCTTTCCGTTCAGTCCAGGTGCTTGATGGTATGTTGCTATACGTTCAGTCAGGTGCTTGATGGTAGGTTGCTTTCCGTTCAGTCCAGGTGCTTGATGGTATGTTGCTTTCCGTTCAGTCCAGGTGCTTGATGGTATGTTGCTTTCCGTTCAGTCCAGGTGCTTGATGGTATGTTGCTATACGTTCAGTCAGGTGCTTGATGGTAGGTTGCTTTCCGTTCAGTCCAGGTGCTTGATGGTATGTTGCTATACGTTCAGTCCAGGTGCTTGATGGTATGTTGCTATACGTTTAGTCCAGGTGTTTGATGGTATGTTGCTTTACGTTCAGTCCAGGTGCTTGATGGTATGTTGCTATAGGTTCAGTCCAGGTGCTTGATGGTATGTTGCTTTCCGTTCAGTCTAGGTGCTTGATGGTAGTTTGCTATACGTTCAGCCCAGGTGCTTGATGGTGGGTAGTTGTATGTTCAGTCCAGGTGCTTGATGGTAGTTTGCTATACGTTCAGTCCAGGTGCTTGATGGTGGGTAGTTGTATGTTCAGTCCAGGTGCTTGTTGGTATGTTGCTATACGTTCAGTCCAGGTGTTTGATGGTATGTTGCTTTACTTTCAGTCCAGGTGCTTGATGGTATGTTGCTATACGTTCAGTCCAGGTGCTTGATGGTATGTTGCTATACGTTCAGTCCTGGTGCTTGATGGTATGTTGCTATAGGTTCAGTCCAGGTGCTTGATGGTATGTTGCTACACATTCAGTCCAGGTGTTTGATGGTAGGTTGCTATACGTTCAGTCCAGATGTTTGATCGAAGTTTGCTACACATTCAGTCCAGGTGTTTGATGGTAGGTTGCGTTCCAATCAGTCCAGGTGCTTAATGGCAGGTTGCTATAGTATCAGTCCAGATGCTTGGTGGTAGAGTTGCTATAGGTTCAGTCCAGGTGCTTGGTGGTAGGTTTGCAATAGGTTCAGTCCATGTGTTTGATGGTAGGTTTGCGATAGGTTCAGTCCATGTGTTTGGTGGTAGGTTTGCTATAGGTTCAGTCCAGGTGCTTGATGGTTGGTTTGCAATAGGTTCAGTCCAGGTGCTTGATGGTAGGTTTGATATAGGTTCAGTCCATGTGTTTGGTGGTAGGTTTGCTATAGGTTCAGTCCAGGTGCTTGGTGGTAGGTTTGCTATAGGTTCAGTCCAGGTGCTTGATGGTAGGTTTGCTATAGGTTCAGTCCATGTGTTTGGTGGTAGGTTTGCTATAGGTTCAGTCCATGTGTTTGGTGGTAGGTTTGCTATAGGTTCAGTCTAGGTGCTTGATGGTAGGTTTGCTATAGGTTCAGTCCAGGTGCCTGATGGTAGGTGTGCTATAGGTTCAGTCCGGGTGCTTGGTGGCAGGTTGCTATAGTATCAGTCCAGATGCTTGGTGGTAGAGTTGCTATAGGTTCAGTCCAGGTGCTTGGTGGTAGGTTTGCAATAGGTTCAGTCCATGTGTTTGATGGTAGGTTTGCTATAGGTTCAGTCCATGTGTTTGGTGGTAGGTTTGCTATAGGTTCAGTCCAGGTGCTTGATGGTTGGTTTGCAATAGGTTCAGTCCAGGTGCTTGGTGGTAGGTTTGATATAGGTTCAGTCCATGTGTTTGGTGGTAGGTTTGCTATAGGTTCAGTCGATGTGTTTGGTGGTAGGTTTGCTATAGGTTCAGTCCAGGTGCTTGATGGTAGGTTTGCTATAGGTTCAGTCCAGGTGCTTGATGGTAGGTTTGCTATAGGTTCAGTCCAGGTGCTTGATTGTAGGTTTGCTATAGGTTCAGTCCATGTGTTTGGAGGTAGGTTTGCTATAGGTTCAGTCCATGTGTTTGGTGGTAGGTTTGCTATAGGTTCAGTCCATGTGTTTGTAGCAGGTTGCTACAGGTTCAGTCCATGTGCTTGGTGGTAGGTTTGCTATAGGTTCAGTCCAGGTGCTTGATGGTAGGTTTGCTATAGGTTCAGTCCAGGTGCTTGATGGTAGGTTTGCTATAGGTTCAGTCCAGGTGTTTGTAGCAGGTTGCTACAGGTTCAGTCCAGGTGCTTGGTGGTAGGTTTGCTATAGGTTCAGTCCAGGTGCTTGATGGTAGGTTTGCTATAGGTTCAGTCCATGTGCTTGATGGTAGGTTTGCTATAGGTTCAGTCCATGTGCTTGATGGTAGGTTTGCTATAGGTTCAGTCCATGTGTTTGGTGGTAGGTTTGCTATAGGTTCAGTCCATGTGTTTGGTGGTAGGTTTGCTATAGGTTCAGTCTAGGTGCTTGATGGTAGGTTTGCTATAGGTTCAGTCCAGGTGCCTGATGGTAGGTGTGCTATAGGTTCAGTCCGGGTGCTTGGTGGCAGGTTGCTATAGTATCAGTCCAGATGCTTGGTGGTAGAGTTGCTATAGGTTCAGTCCATGTGCTTGGTGGTAGGTTTGCAATAGGTTCAGTCCATGTGTTTGATGGTAGGTTTGCTATAGGTTCCGTCCATGTGTTTGGTGGTAGGTTTGCTATAGGTTCAGTCCAGGTGCTTGATGGTTGGTTTGCAATAGGTTCAGTCCAGGTGCTTGGTGGTAGGTTTGCTATAGGTTCAGTCCATGTGTTTGGTGGTAGGTTTGCTATAGGTTCAGTCCAGGTGCTTGGTGGTAGGTTTGCTATAGGTTCAGTCCAGGTGCTTGATGGTAGGTTTGCTATAGGTTCAGTCCATGTGTTTGGTGGTAGGTTTGCTATAGGTTCAGTCCATGTGTTTGGTGGTAGGTTTGCTATAGGTTCAGTCCAGGTGCTTGATGGTAGGTTTGCTATAGGTTCAGTCCAGGTGCCTGATGGTAGGTGTGCTATAGGTTCAATCCGGGTGCTTGGTGGCAGGTTGCTATAGTATCAGTCCAGATGCTTGGTGGTAGAGTTGCTATAGGTTCAGTCCAGGTGCTTGGTGGTAGGTTTGCAATAGGTTCAGTCCATGTGTTTGATGGTAGGTTTGCTATAGGTTCAGTCCATGTGTTTGGTGGTAGGTTTGCTATAGGTTCAGTCCAGGTGCTTGATGGTTGGTTTGCAATAGGTTCAGTCCAGGTGCTTGGTGGTAGGTTTGCTATAGGTTCAGTCCATGTGTTTGGTGGTAGGTTTGCTATAGGTTCAGTCGATGTGTTTGGTGGTAGGTTTGCTATAGGTTCAGTCCAGGTGCTTGATGGTAGGTTTGCTATAGGTTCAGTCCAGGTGCTTGATGGTAAGTTTGCTATAGGTTCAGTCCAGGTGCTTGATTGTAGGTTTGCTATAGGTTCAGTCCATGTGTTTGGTGGTAGGTTTGCTATAGGTTCAGTCCATGTGTTTAGTGGTAGGTTTGCTATAGGTTCAGTCCATGTGTTTGTAGCAGGTTGCTACAGGTTCAGTCCAGGTGCTTGGTGGTAGGTTTGCTATAGGTTCAGTCCAGGTGCTTGATGGTAGGTTTGCTATAGGTTCAGTCCAGGTGCTTGATGGTAGGTTTGCTATAGGTTCAGTCCAGGTGTTTGTAGCAGGTTGCTACAGGTTCAGTCCAGGTGCTTGGTGGTAGGTTTGCTATAGGTTCAGTCCAGGTGCTTGATGGTAGGTTTGCTATAGGTTCAGTCCAGGTGCTTGATGGTAGGTTTGCTATAGGTTCAGTCCAGGTGCTTGATGGTAGGTTTGCTACAGGTTCAGTCCAGGTGCTTGATGGTAGGTTTGCTGTAGGTTCAGTCCATGTGCTTGATGGTAGGTTTGCTATAGGTTCAGTCCAGGTGCTTGGTGGTAGGTTTGCTATAGGTTCAGTCCAGGTGCTTGATGGTAGGTTGATATACCTTCAGTCGAATTGTTTGATGGTAGGTTGCTACACGTTCAGTCGATGAATTAATCAACACGTGCTCATCTCTTAAGAATCTAATCCAGTAAATATCGGATCGGGTTGCCAGTCTCGATTACTTGGATGGTTGCTCATGATGTCTACAAGTAATCAAATTAAACAGATGAACATATTACGTTTAAACATGGTATGTGATATACGTATAATTCTTTTGTTTTACCAGGAAGCAAGGACGCGGCCTCGCTTGGGACCTTCTGTGGCGTCAATACACCTTCGTACAGAAGCAGCGGCTCCACCATCACGATCAGGTTTATATCTGATGGATCAGGAACTGGTAAGGGTTTCCGGCTGAAGTACAACTATACAGGTGAGTTGTTAACTGCTGCGTTGTTGCATTCATAGCATTCAGACGCCCTCGTGAAATGATGGGATAGAATTGATCTTCAGCAGCCAGTGCTTGTCGTAAGGGGTGACTAACGAGATCGGGTGGTCAGGATCGCTGACTTTGTTGATGCATGTCATCGCATCCCATTTGTGTAGATCGGTGCTCATGATGTCAATCACTGGAGTTTCTTGTCCATACTTGATTATATACAAACCGCCGTCATATACCTTGAATATTGACGAGTGCGGCATTAAACAACAAACAAACGAACTAATTACGTTCAGATATGTTTTTACAACATTTTTTTAACTAGTCACATTGCTGTCCCGACAGTGTCCATTTATCGTACCTTTTATACCAGTAGTAAATGAGTAGGTGAATGTTACAAACGTCGCATGAACAATAATCAAGTTATATCACGGCGTCCTGAAAATACGTTTGGACCACACAACAAGTGAGTGAAACGATCCCCGCCACAGGCTTGCAGACTCATGATGTGGCAGCGTGATGCACGGGGTCGTTATGTCGGTTACTTTGTATATACTGTGTGTATAAATAGAGAATCTCACCCTCGTGTCTTTTGATATCAAATATATCAACACGAGTTGATAAAAGTGGAAAAATTCAGGCTTGCCGAGGATTTTTGCCACTTTTATCAACGAGTGTTGATATATTTGATATCAAAAGACACGAGGGTGAGATTTTATTTATCATCCAACATCATTCTTTCAACTTTTTCAATTTGTAGACAGTAATTAGCAGTGTCTTCAGTGTAAAAAGATTGCACAATGGTCTGCAAAGCATTGTGATGTAATTTCATTGCAGCGATATCTACAGTGTAGATATCGCTTGATCTCATCCAAGCGATATCTCCTGTGGGAGCCAGTTTTGGATGATAAAATACATTCTCTCGTTTCAGACTCACAGACGTATACCTCGGCGTTCCTTTGCGGTATTGGGATATGTTCGGGTTTCATTTTATTCTTCTTTGTTCTTTGCAAAACTGCCTCCAAATGTGCAAGGAAAAGACACGAGAGGAGAATTGAACTTGAAACTCAGCATCAAACTCCGCAGGCAGAGATGCCTACAGGGATTGTGGCTCCAAATGGTAATGCTACAGAGTTATCTGCCCCTCCTCCGACATACAACGACATTGTTAATAGCAACATCATGAACAATAACAAAGACAATATGAATGACACGTCACCACCGCCTTATTCATCATTACGCATATCGGATACTTAAGACTTACGCATAGTTTGTTTGTTGCTTAACGCAGCATTCAGCATAATTCTAGCTATATGACGGCGGTCTGTAAATAATCGAGCCTGGACTGGACAATCCAGTGTTGTGATATCATGAGCATCGATCTACGCAAATGGGATGCGATGACATGCATCAACCATGTCAGAGAGCCCGATCACCCAATCCCGTTAGTAGCCTCTTACGAAAAGCAAAGTCGCATTTTACGGCAAGCATGAGTTACTGAGGACCAATTCTAACCCGGATCTTCACGGGTCACTTAAGCATTGAGAATGGAAGATATACTTATACCCCTGTCGAAGAAAAGTTATACATGTTTTTAGCTGTATTTATTGACGATGAAATAAATGTTTTATGTCCTTGTAAATTCGATCTGATACTCCTTCTAGCCATGAAGCACATAGCAAACAACCTTGATATATCTCCTTGTTAGCAGATATGACAATATCCAAAATCTATGGTTTTTTATGATGTGTTATTAAACTCATGAACTCTTTTACTGTTTCACAGCAGAAAAAAAAAAATTGTATGTAAACTTTAATAATCACTTGTCATGAGTATGCATATTATGGTCTTAATACCGATTCAACCATAACACTGAAGGTTGATCTCATTTGATTGGCTACTTTTACTAAATCAAAAGTGGTTAACGAGTCACTGCACTGAATACGTACACAAGAAAGAACGCTTTTGGTCATGGTAGGACGGAAAGATTGCAGCTATTCGTGGCGAGAAATGTCTACATTCCTATCATTGGGAAACAGAATCAACAAAAGAAATTTTGAAGACGACTCAAATCTCAATCAAATATCATATTAAAGGGAAAATTTACCGTTCAAAATAAGGCAAATATAGAAAATAATCTGGATAGAACGTAGTTTATCCAAATTATACTACTACTACTACTACTACTACTACTACCACTACTACTACTACTACTCCGATCAACTTTTCACAATACGACACGTGAAGATCCGGGGTAGAATAGGTCTTCAGCAACCCATGCTTGCTGTAAAAGGCGACTATGCTTGTCGTAAGAGGTGACTAAGGGGATCGGGACGTTAGGCTCATGATATCAATCACTGGATTGTCTGGTCCAGACTCGATTATTTACAGACCGCCGTGATATAGCTATGTATTCATGTAGGTCGCTATGTGTCATTGTCGGAGATGAAGTTTATGCGCGATCAAGGGAGATCATTCTAAATATTCTCGGGGGGCGATTTAACCAGGAACTGGCAAAACAAATGTTGCGAGGCTGTATTCGTGCACTGGTGGTAAAATGTACGTTCTGAATCTTCAGACATTGTGTTTTGAGAGATCGAGCGACATTTTATTTCGAGGACACTTGAAGAAATAGATAGCCTGCAATAAAACAAGTCAGTTTATCTATATTCTTACTTTGGCGTTTCCAATGTCTCCGGAATCGTAAACGAAAGATTAAAAAATAAATCGGCTTATGATCAGGGAAAATGGTTTTGTCGTTGAAAAGTATGTGATTAGGACGACGTCCAGTGATTATAATTATGAGGCTTGGCGGGTCATGATTTCTACTTTTATTCTCAAGTACCATCTTTGACGTCTTTTGGTATGACGCGGCCGGGGATAGAACCCCGACCTTTTTCTGTCCGAACAGCTCTATCCGTCAGAGCACACTGACGGCCACTCGTGTTTCTTACACACCCTAAAACCGCACCATTTAGCATCGAATCGATACATATCTTGTCTTTTCTCATGATCGCAGGGGCGGTCGGGTAGCCTAGTGGTTAAAGCGTTTGCACGCCACGCCGAAGACCCGGGTTCGATTCCCGACATGGGTACAATGTGTGAAGCCCATTTCTGGTGTCCCCCGCCGTGATATTGCTTGAATATTGCTAAAAGCGGCGTAAAACCATACTCACTCACTCACTCATGATCGCAGTGGCGTATTAATACATAACACAACGGTCATGGGTGGCTTACTGCTTGTGACCCTCCACAAGTTTCCGCCATATGTGTTGATTACCAAAGCGATGATGATAATGCAAACTCGATTAAAGAACATTTATTAACCCTCTAAAGCCATAACACTTCTCGACACCGACGTGGGGGAATTCGACTGAAGCTCGAGTTAGAAACATATCGATGAAATACAACCAGAGAAGCTGTCCGTCATTAGCTGACCTTTTGTCATCACCATGGAGCAGCCAATCACAGACCTGGAATTCGATGTCACACATGTTTGATACCAATTATCTCAAATGGCATTCCCACCCACATGTGTGGAAGGCGTGTTGTAATCAACCGATAGGCGTTGGGTTGATTTTATGTGCGCTTTACTGAAAATGTTCTCCATGAACAAGGACAAACAATCTATATATCAATCATATGGTAATAGACTGGTCATTTATCATGGGGGCCGGGGTTGGTGAGATTGGCCTTAGGACTGTATCACATTTTGCTGACACTCCCATTTGATGAAACATTTTTTCATGTCCCTCCTTCGTATCATAGATGACCAGTCCCTAAATTACGTTTGTAGTTTGAAAACATATATCTGTGTCATTTTTTCATGGCCCTGCCGACCCGTGAAGATCCGGGTAAGAATTGGTCTTCGGTAACCCATGCTTGTCGTAAGAGGCGACAAACAGGATCGGATGGTCAGGCTTGCTGACTTGGTGTGGAGCAACTGTGTGGATCGATGCTCATGATGTTAATCACAAGATGTTCTGGTCGAGACTCGATTATTTACAAATTGCCGTCATATCGCAGCACTATTGCTGAGTGAGGCGTTAAACAACAAACAAACAAAAATGGCCCTGCCCCATATAGTGGTGATGCATATTGACGACCCCCGACCCCCCGCCCGACCCCCTGGTTGTTTCATCGATTGACCACATGTGTTGAAATACGAGTGTATCTCAAATAAAGAATTTGTATCAAGGACCTGTTCATGTCATTTCACAGACACATGACGTGTCGTCCGCTTCGTCTCTTGCACGGACGATTGTTAATTTGAGTTTCGCCGGCACCACGAGGCTGTCGATTTGAGCTCGGCTGTCGAGGGTGACAAAGCGGCTATTGCGAACTCGCAATGATTTGTAGCTTTTCATTCAAAGAAACTAACATGTAGAACGGAAATTACTCTTCGCTTGATCAGGGCTGATTTTGCATATAATTGCCAAACAACATGGGCGAGTAATATTTAAGTATTGATAAATATGCTCGAGTTGGTCCTGTAAGATTTGTTTACTTGCCCCGGGACATGCATTTCTTAACCCGAATCGCCAAAGCGCGAGATGCACGTGTGAAAGCACAGGGAACATATTTCACGTGCGTCACACAAAGGCGACCCACATAGTGTTCCTACGGTTAAGCACACAGTTCTTGAATATAATTTAAAGTACTGTTATCAAAACACTGCTGTTAAAACATTTTAGGTTGTACAGTTCGCTGAATGTTGGCTATGGTTTAAATAGGTTCGAGCACTCGGACCATAGTGTTTAATCGTTGAAATGGTTAGTTGAAGTTGAACTGAATTAGTTGAAATAACTACTGGTATTTCAACAATTAGACACCAGGTTCTCGTGCTCCAGTCAATACACAATGGTACAAGGTGTTCGCGAACAGTTTAACATATACTGCTCCACCGGCAAAAAAAAGGACATTTTGATAGTTGAAAGACATTCAACGGGTTCTTCTTCTCATGTTTGGCAGATGCTTCCACAGCAGCCATAACGATTGTAAAGCTATCAACGACTTAACCTTCTTTTCAGTCTAATAGCATTTTGATTACATGCGGATCAGCTCCGATTCTAGGGCCGCGCTTGCGTTTTGGGTAGTAAAGTGCCACCAAACTGCAGCGTCCATGCGTGGGGAGTTTGCAACCAATTGGTCATGCGTATGTCTGTGAAAAGACAACTTTAGTTGCACACATCTTGCCATGGTAATCCGATGAAGATATGTGCAGCGCAGTTTGGAAATTTACAAATGCCCTTTTGTCCAGGAATGATTGAGTGAGTTGGGTTTAACGCCGCTTTTAACAGTATTCCAGTCATATCACGGCGTGCCAGCTTAATGTGGGTGGAAAGCCCGAAGTGATGCAGGTCTCGGACGTTTACCACTTCAGTGAAACCCACGAGCACGGGTATGGTGCTAACAAATCTAGAAACATAATCGGAGTGAACCGGGATTCGAACCCACAATCATGGGTTTCATGCGTTCCCGAGCACGCAACTCTGCACAGCAAATTGTGGCGCATTAGACGACTGGGCCACCCGTGACCTCTGTCCAGTAATGACCTTCTTGGGAGTCGTACAAGGATAATTAAACGTTCTTTAAATATGTCATGTACATGTGGCGGTCATTAAATTTGTCCACATTACCAAAGAGGTTAACCCCGTCAGCAACGTGGCATGATGAGGATGTCATCTGTGAAATAAATCCACGCCCTGCTAATACTCCCCACTGACAAAACACACCCATCAACCTCGGATCGGCGGGTGCGACTTATCGGCAGTCATTTTGGAGCAGACTAGACCAAGTCGTAGATGGTGGTGGGTTGCTAGAATAGTCCATTAACCGAGTTGTAGGCATAAAATGTTTGATATTTTAAAGCTGTATTACGCATATGACAGTTAAGCATACACCAAAATCATCTCTGAGCAAGTCCGACCTAATAACACCCTGCTACATACAGGTGTATACAAAAACGATCTGTTGACTTGGTGATGACAACCAAGTTTATTATTCCTATAAGATGATAAAACGTACACAGCAACTGCTGCAGTGTCTGTGTGCTGAACGAACAGACAATCCCGTGATTGACATCATGAGCATCGATCCACGCAATTGGGATACGATGACATGCATCAATCAAGTCAGCGAGCCTGACCACTCGATCGCGTGACTCACCTCTTACGACAAACATATCCGCCTTTTACGGCAAGCCCGGGTTGCTGAAGATCAATTCTAACCCGGATCTTCACTGGTCCTGAACGTCGTCAAATGTTTGAAGTGTGATATATATAATTCCACAAGAAGTGCTCCTTTCCTCTACGTCCTAGTGTAGGACAGCAGCTAGACTTGTAACAAGTGCCGTGACAAATCTCCTTTTCCTGTCGTCTTGCGAAACGTTTGCTGTGAGTGATTGTTTCATAATAATGACTGTGGGATTTGTATATCCTTGGTAGGTATATACGACTCAGAGTTCAAAGGTTGTGTAAACTGCTGTGAATTGCAACAGTGTTGTAAAAAAAAGGTACAAGTACTATTGTAGATTTAGAAACATATGGTCACTTGATTCTTGTTAGCTCATGCCTTTGTCCTCGGTATATAAACAGAACACCCATTTTACAGGCAATGCAGGTGGCAATTGTTTGTTACGTGGTTTGTTGTAACATGTAAACAGGGTATCGGAGATCCACCCCTCCGTGGAGTATAGGGAGTTGGACGTTTGACATCGAGCGGAAAATGTCTCATCCCTCCTACATCAGTATCTCCCAGAGTGTCATGTCATGGTTCAATCACGTTCGTGCAGTGGACTTCAGTGGACGAGGCGCACTATGATGAGTGAGTGAGTGATTTGCGTTTAACGCCGCTTTTAACAGTATTCCAGTCATATCACGGCGTGTCAGCTTAATGTGGGAGGAAAGCCCGAAGTGATGCAGGTCTTAGACGTTTACTACTTCGGTGAAACCCACGAGCACGGGTATGGTGCTGACAAACCTAGAAACATAATCGGGGCGAACCGGGATTCGAACCCACAATCATAGGTTTTTTATGCGTGCCTAGGAACGCAACTCTGCACAGCGAATCGCGGCGCCTTAAAAGACTGGGCCATCCGTGCCCCCCGCACTATGATGAAATTAAATTAGCAGGGTTATATAACGCATCAATTGTAGGGCTTTGGATGCGTTAGCCTGAGTATGAGAGTGAGTGAGTGAGTATGGTTTTACGACACTTTTAGCAATGTTCCAGCAATATCACGGCGGAGAACACCAGAAATGGGCTTCATGTTTCATGTTGTTTATCGCCGCTCTCAGCAGTATTCCAGCCAGCTGTTGCCTCGAGCGTGCATGTTTATCGATCATGAATGGTCATGTAAGAATGCGATCACTGGATTGTCAGTTCCAGATTCGATTATTTACAGACCGACGTCACAAAGCAGGAGTATGCTTTATTGTTAAACAATGAACAGAGAAAGCCTTTTGACGTAATTTGGAAAACTTGACTACACAAAACAGCCTCAAAGCAATGCTCTGTGACGTCAGTCTAGCAACTAACTGGGGTAATTGACTCAGTGTAAACCTCTGACGCTGGAACATCTTTAAAAGCAAAGAGGTTGAATTATATGAATTTTCAATAAACAAATACTACAAATGTTTTTGCATTGCTGTGTCTGTTTTGGTGTGTGAATTTAATACGTGGGGCAGTTTTGTGTATTTTTGACACGTAATATATGCCCCATTAATTTAAAAATAATAATAATTTGTATATATTTATCATTAAATGATAATTTGTATGCTCAAACTTTTGCCTTGGTCAAGGGAGACCCAGTCGTGTGAAAGTTGTCCCCAGATAATACATGTAAGTAAACTTAGGTGCATTAAAACCCGATCAGACTAAGTTATCTCAATATACACATCTAGCACATGGGTGGCACCCTGTGCACATCCGGGTTAGAATAGGTCTTCAGCAAACCCATGCTTACCGGAAGAGTCGACTATGCTTGTCGTAAGAGGCGACTAACGGAATCGGGTAGTCAGGCTCTCTGACTTGTTGATACATGTCATCGTATCCCAATTGCGTGGATCGATGCTCATGTTCAGACTCGATTATTTACAAACCGCCGCCATAGAGCTGTAATATTGCTGAGTGCGGCGTTAAACAACAAACAAAACAAATCATGTTCGGCAGTTGTTTCAATATACATGATTAGCACATGGTTGGCACATCGTTATCCGTAGGACCTGAATGATCAAAAACCGAAGGTCCTAGTTTTCGCATACTGAGGTCGCCATGACTAATAATTGTTTTGTTATACCGAAAGTAATTTATAAAGTGATTAATTTCATCTTTTGGTGTTACTGCTATCCCTGTAGTCAACGGGATATTCTGCAGTAAGATCGGCGTGTATGCCACACGAAACTTCCGTGTTGCTTTCTTGCCGATGAGGTCCATATTGATCACGTGATAGGTCTATAGTGATCATGTGACTAGTCAAAATTCGAGGTCAGAGTCAGTGGCGTGATTTGACCAAACCTTTTTCAGGGCAGTATTTTTGTGTCAGGTTGGCATTGAAATATATTGTTTCGTGACATGATATGGATTAACCAATTAAAGGCAAAGATTCTTAATCAAGTCGAAATTTGAAACGTAACACTTCTGATGGACGACATGTACACACACTCCCTTCCCATATCCTCACTCAGTATATATCTTACACATTTCCTGCAGTAGGAAGTCGGTCCTTTAGCTGAGTGTGATACGCCATTGTTACGTTCCGGAATTATTGGACAGATGCTTATGTTAAAGTTCATCTGTTTCTGTTTTACATGGTAAAATACAAAACACTTGTACTCCGAGATTTAACATTTAATTATGGGGGATATTTTTTATAAATAAATTAAATTAAAGCGACAAAAAACATTTCCATAATCATGCGAAATATCTTCTAAAAGCGGAGTCCATTTGTACGATCTCGAGTATATCATAAGCATGTGTTTGTAAATCACTATCAAATAATATTTATATCAGGGGCTCGCGAAGAAGAGGGTATCCTGCCCCGGCGGTGGCAGCCCTCCCAAACGCATGCAAAGGCGAGTCAATTGTTCATCTGAATAAATACTGGAGCATATGGTACAAGTCAAATTAGAGAATTGGTTCGGACATATGTAGGTTTATATTACAGATCAGGTTGAATACAACCATTACTCTGTAACACATCGAGTTTGTTTATGTTATTACAGTCACAATCTTACAGCTATAGGACGACGGCGTGTTAAAAACCGAGTCTGGATGAGACAACTCAGTGGTTGATAAAATGAGCAACGCCGTCGGAATATGCTGACTCTCCCCAAGCCTTTGCCATCCGATCCATTTAGTCGTCTTTTACAACAAGTTCCTATTGTGTAACCTAGAAAGTGTGCTATCTGTTTAGGATGACATAGATGGGAGCTGATAATGGTATTTGATCTCAGTCCACACGGGATTATTTCCTTAAATGAGAGCATTAATAAAATGCAAGAGAATCGGTGTGAATAGGTTATGAAACTGTGAATGTTGTATGCGTACGTACAGGAAGTCAATTGAAGAGAGCTACCATTGTTGTCAGCGATCACAGTCTATCCTGTGTGGTGTCACCAGCAGGCCACATTGCTGCTGCACTGAGTCAGACGCTGCGACCATGGAAGGATGGACGGTTATCTGTGGAGCTTTCATCGCGATCTTCTTGTCGGGGTTTGGATCTGAAGGTATGTATCATGGAAAAGTCAATGACATTGATTGAATTGAAAAAATCGATATGAACCGCGGTGAATCACAGTCTTGCAATAAAAGCATGTATGGCGTTGAATCACTGTCGTGTAGTGAGCTATGTATCAGGTTGAATCACTGTCTTGTAGTGAAGGTATGTATCAGGTTGAATCACAGTCTTGTAGTGAAGGTATGTATCTGGTTGAATCATTGTTCTGTTGAGAAGGTATGTATCGCGTTGAATCATTGTCCTGTAGAGAAGGTATGTATCAGGTTGAATCACTGTCTTGTAGTGAAGGTATGTATCAGGTTGAATCACTGTCTTGTAGTGAAGGTATGTTTCTGTTTGAATCACAGTCTTGTAATGAAGGTATGTATCTGGTTGAATCATTGTTCTGTTGAGAAGGTATGTATCGCGTTGAATCATTGTCCTGTAGAGAAGGTATGTATCGGGTTGAATCACTGTCTTGTAGTGAAGGTATGTATCAGGTTGAATCACTGTCTTGTAGTGAAGGTATGTTTCTGTTTGAATCACAGTCTTGTAGTGAAGGTATGTATCTGGTTGAATCATTGTTCTGTTGAGAAGGTATGTATCGCGTTGAATCATTGTCCTGTAGAGAAGGTATGTATCGGGTTGAATCACTGTCGTGTGATGAAGGTATGGATCTGGTTGAATCACTGTCGTGTGGTGAAGGTATGTATCGGGTTGAATCACTGTCGTGTGGTGAAGGTATGGATCTGGTCGAATCATTTCCCTGGAGTGAAGGTATGTTTCAATCTGACCACATTGGCCGAGACGGTACCAAATATGCCACGCAATTACCGCAGGGTCATTTACCGATATCACCTTAACTGGCAGCCTTGCCCTTCGAAAGTGCTTTATGACATAGTCCGCCAATCGTGATGGTTCAGGGAGTTGGGCCTGAGGGTACGTATGGCCCTTTATGATGACACGCTTCTTAAAACTCCCAAAGGAACTGTCTGTACCAGAACACAGTCGTGCAGTATGTGCAGTCGGATGTACGTGCCTGTGTGTGCGTGGCTGTGTGTATGTCTATCTGGTTCAAATAGTTGGGACACCTCACTGTGCCCTTCTCCTATTGTTCTGAGTAAAAGTGCATTCAGCCTTGGTAAATGGAGAGACTATAGGCTGATTAACTATAGTCTGTTGCAGAATATCATGTATTAGTTTATTCATTTATACATGCACACAATACACATATACAGACAAAATACACTATGCGATACAGTGCAAGAAGCATAGATTAATCAGATACACATTCTATTGAACTCAATTATATGAATATGATTATTGATTTAATAAACATATAATTATTAAGGTCTACATACATCATCTTCAAAGATTTACGATACATATTCCAGAACATAGATTCTGAAAATCTGTTACATGAAAAGCTTTGTAATGAACAAGACATTGATTGAGTTGACTTACTTACTGATTGATATGTACAAACATCTTCAAACAGGCCAACAATATTGGGATACAGCATCAACATACTTAATTGGAATTGTTTTCTGCCGGTCATTGTTTGCGATGTATTCCTCTCGTTGGTGGATGCCTGTCACCAGTCTGAATCTGGAGCAGAAATAAATTTTATATGTATAGAGTATATATACGATCTCATTGATTACTTTTCAACTTGTCAAAACAAGGGGCTTAATCATTGCAATGTTCAATATAGTGAACATCGTTCACATTATCGTAGATATCCATCCAGCCTGCGTTCAGTACACTCGCTGGAAGTGCGGACCCCCCACTTGTAATAACGCAGTAACCGTGGCGCTTGTTTACTACTCTAAATTCATTTTTCATTGAATTAAATTAAATTATCACATTGAATATCTAAAATTGTATATGTAATTTATATATGTAAATAAGTTTAAAACATTGTACAAAATCAAATTTTATATGTACTTAAAAGATGATATTTTCCTACACGTTGCGACATTTCACTAACAGTTAGTTAATACCCCTTTTGTCTCCTCATTTTCGATTCTCATATACTGACTGCACTTGTATCCAGAACAATAGCTGGTGGCAAAACGAGAAGACCAAGCTGTATAGAGATAATTATTTATCGAAGTACATTAATGACAAAATAAATACTCATTTGAATCTTCAAGCACATAGATTCGACGTATTGTTTCTGAGTAAGCAATTGAATAGCCATAGTATGACAAATTAAATAGCACATTTTAATTATCAAGCAGTTAGTCAGTCATTTGAGGTTTTACGACAGCTCATATGATAGTCTTAAACCTATATTTCTGTAATCATTCATAATCTGTTATAATACTTATTCATTTAACTTATACATGCCCATTCTCAATACTTACTCTAGAATAGTTCTACTTTTTCTTTACTTATCAAACTACGCTGTAAGCTTTAATAATTGTTTATTTCATTTTTTTATATAGTCATATCTTATATATTTTCTTAACTTATACATGTATATTTTTGGGTCAGGTATTTACCTTTATATTGCCTATATTTATTATTAACTTAACCCAACCTGACCCCGTCTAAGAAACGAAGTGAACGATAAACCCTTAAATGATGACGATAGGTTGTAGAGGCTGAGTAAAAGAAAGAGACTGTTTTTGTACTGTGAAGGTAAAGCTTGATAGCGTTGCTTATGGTCAGAATGATAACGAGGACTACGGTGGCCCATAAGGGACATGGAGTCTGCTTTGCAATATTTTGATATTTCACTTACTTTTATCATAACCTTTTGCAAATTAACACAATTTGTCATACAAATATGTGAAAAATCATGTATAAAAACAACCGAAAACACGGAAAATGTACTTTCAAGTAACTATTGAATCGCTGAAATGTGAAGCGAAAATGTCAAAAACTAAAATGAAAATGTCAAAAACAAAAACGGAAATGTCAAAAACAAAAGCGAAAATGTCAAAAACTAAAATGAAAATAAAGAAAACTATTTCCACCTCGGTGATAATATTCCTACCGCGGTGGAAATAGTTTTCTGTATTTTCATTTTAGTTTTTGACCTTTTCGTTTTTGTTTTTGACATTTTCATTTTAGTTTTTGACCTTTTCGTTTTTGTTTTTGACATTTTTATTTTAGTTTTTGACATTTTCGCTTTACTTTTCAGCGATTCAATATCTTCTTTATACATGATTAATCACACATTTGTATGACAAATAGTGTTAATTTGCAAAAGGTTACGATAACAGTAAGTGAAATATCAAAATATTGAAAAACAGACTCCATGTCCCTTATGGGCCACCGTAGAGGAAAGTGAAATAAACATATATAAGGTTTTCGGTAGTGTTGCAGTTTGTACAGTGTCCATTGTTGTGTCTGTTTTGTGTGTTAAGTATAGAATATAGATTTTGTATGCAACTAGGAAACCTTGAAATTATTTTGTCCAAATGGGTCGAATTCGAAAAGTTGTGGCATTTGTTTATCAATTAGCACAATGGATGGTTCTTGACATATTTTCAGCATATATATCTTTGATCATATCCAACAGATAACATTGTTAATCTTGGCTTATTCCATCTAAACTTAGCCTTACTCTCATGGGCAAATTAGCTTTAACCTTCTTTGAAAAAGCTGCTTCTACTATTACAAAAAGTAAATTTCCTTTATTGTTTAAACTAAGTGTAGGGGTATTGGGGGTATGGGCTTGGGCATGTAGGGGTTGGGGGAGACAATCGCTGTGCTGGTAATGGGTTGTAATCCCATGTTCTCCCTGACTGGAGAGACAGCACTATACACGTGGTCTGTGGTGTCAGTGGAGTTTGTAAACCTCTACGGTCTTATCACTCTTTCAGATCTACAAAGGTACATATACACGAATGTTGACGTGTTTTGACTGTTGGTATGAAGTTCGGGTCATTGATATGTCAATACTATTAAATGTGAACTTAACAAATATGTTGCCTTTCTCTCCGTTGAGAGCATAATCTAAAAGAACACGTCAACGCTGACGGACTACATCCGAACACCTGGAATAAATACAGAGTTGCAGCTTATGACCACTGAGACAATATATATTTTTACTCTGGATATTTGCGTACCTTTTCTAAATCTGAATTTTCTACACGTTCTTGAATGCCCTCGCTTCATTCAATCCTCGTTACCGTGACGGCGTTCATCCAATATGACCTTCAGTTAACGAAGGTTCTTTCCAATAAAATCATACAAAGTGAATGCATAACTTCTTAAATGCATACCTATTCCTAACCAAGATGGAGTAACTATGAACCCTATGACAGTTTCAATCATATAACGGACAGGCGGTGTAACGATGTTCAAATTTTCAGCGGTAGATGACACCGTCATCCTCGTTTCTGACTGGTCCGTTCCTGGAAAGGTCCAAAGCGTCAGCATGCAGCACATGAACTTCTCCACCCTCCCCATCATCAACATCTCCCGACCTGTTGCCATTGACTACGACCCGGAAGCACACGCCCTCTACTGGACCGACGTCTTCCTCAAACAGATTCGTCAGACAAGTCTACATGATGGGACGGACCTGGTTCTAGTTCAGCTGAACGACTGTAAGTTTAAAAGAAAAAGATCTAAATGATTTCCGAAGCTCTAATTCTGTTGACCTCTGGGGCTACTGTATTTTACCGGATGCCTATCCGCCGTTTTTGGTTGTTGTTACCGATATAGCCGCACGCGCCTGTGTTAATATTTATATAAAACTAGGACAATGAAGCTCACTATGTGCAGAAACAATAACATCGCTTAATATAATTAACACTCGAAATTGAATATCAAAGCAGTTCATTAACATCGAAAATTGGACATAAAGAAATAAAAAATAATCGCAAATAGAAGTTCCATAATGGTTTGCAAGAATCCGTCGGGGACACATTTCAACAAACAGGTTCTAGTATCGTTTATTAGCTTTGATAACAAACAATAACATTTACTTACGAAAGTATTTAATTGAAGACGTTGTATGGAGAAAAAGCACCAAATCCCCTGTTATTTGAGCGAGAAGGCTGAAAATGGTGTCTGAAAAACTTAGAAACCGTTATTAAAGAAAGAACATCCTTACTAAAATGACGGGAGGTGTCCGGTAAAATACATTCTTTCCCTGATATGAATAACGTACATTAAATGCATATTCAAATCGTATAGAAAATTAAATTACATCTGACAACGGGCTACTTGGAAAATAAATGTTTACATTATGATTGCATTGTATCATTTTCCTTTAAGCTGCAACGCCGGATGGAATTGCTGTTGACGTCACAGAGAGGACGGTGTTTTACACAGATGCTGGTAATGACTTCATAGGCAAGGTGGACCTGGATACTCTTGAGAGTCATGCGTTGATTGATACCAATCTCCATGACCCGAGAGCCATCTATGCATACACAGAAAAGCGGTGAGTTGTGTAAATTGATACTTTGCGTTTGTTGCATCAACGCTGTGCGTTTGCGTGATTAATGCGGTTGGTATTCGGAATTGAAACTGTACGTTTGGGGAATTACCATAACTTACCACACTGGTATCTCTTAATATTCACGAATGATTCCGCAAAAAGAGGTAGGTACTTATGAGCAGTAGTGTACATTTTATGACAATAATCACTTTGTTTGAGTTGACAATAATCACTTTGCCAACACAATGTCAGCTATCATCACACAAACTGAAGTACCGGGGGTAAAAGTGTTTTGGGGCTCAGCATCCTTCTACTGTTTTGTGGACATTTCCGCCACTTTGGTGTGTAGCATACAAATGTTTGTTATTGCATGATGTGAAATTACTCTGATGAATATTTGTTTGTTTGTTGTGTAACGCCCAACTCAGCATACTTTGATGAATAATATATACACATTAAAAATATATCCACAAAAAAATGGGTTTTATTTTTAATCTATATGTGTTTTAAAAACGATTTACTATTCACTATGATTTGTATGCATTCATTCATTGGGACCATGTTTTCTCGTCCGTTGTATGTACCACGACAAGCTTTCTATATCATCTTAACGGCTTTATATGACTTCAACTCTTAATATGCCACTGTAATGTTTGAATTTTACCGCAATAGCAACATGTCACTGTAACATTTTATTTCACTGCAACAACAATATACCACTGCAACAACAATATACCACTGTAACAGCAATATACCACTGTAACAGCAATATACCACTGAAAAATGATTGTATATGTCACCGTAATAGCAAAATACCACTGAAACAGTAACAGATAAACTGAAACTAAACCTGTAATATCAATATACCACTGTAACATGTATATGTCACTGTAACAGCAATATACCACTGAAACATGGAGGTTATATAATGTAGATATACTCTAATATACATCGCTATGAATATGACCTGTAGAGCCAGTGTTTTCTTGTATAGGCAGTTGTACTGGACTGATTGGGGCGCCTTTCCCAGGATAGAGACGGCCAGATACGATGGGTCAGACAGGACAACACTTGTGGCAACTGATCTCATCTGGCCAAATGGAATCACGCTGGACAAACCGAGTACGTATTAGGTCTCTTCGGTGTATGTCCCTGAAATAAGAGACCGCCTCCGTGGTCTTGTGGTAGAGCGTCCGCCCGGAGAGCGGAAGGTCCAGGGTTCGATCCCGGGCCGCGTCATACAAAAAGACGTTAAAAGATTGTACTTGTTGTTACCCTGTCTAGCGCTCGGCATTAAGGGGCTAAAACAAGGACTGGTCGGCTCGGAGTCAGTATACTGTGTCTGAGTAGGGTATTCATGTTAAACTGCGGCATGGTATCTCAGTGAGCTAGCACTATAAATCGGCATCAGTCCGGACTAGTACAAGCAGCCACACACACACATACACGTGCATGCACGTCGCTATATAAGTGCAATAATCTTGGACGCGACGTTAAACCCAATTTCACCTCACCTCACCTCACCCTGAAATAAGTACGGTACATGGTCGGGTCGAAATCACACAACCACCGCTGTAACTGATATCTTTGAATTCCGTCGTACTCGCGGGTGAGAATCATACTTATTTAGGTATCGTAATACGCAGTATCCGCACACTTCCGGGTCAAAGTGTCTCAGTACATGGCCTTTAGTAACCCTGTAGAGGGTCAGAATAGAGTTTCTGTAGCTTGGAAGTTTATACTTAACTATCTCAGTCACACATTCATTTTTACTGCCGTCCTTGATGGGACCATCCCCGATTAAAATTTGTCAAAAGTCTGATCAAGACCCTGTGATTCGTGGCGGGAAATTCACAAACAATCAGATTTTGTTCAGGCGTTTTTAGCCAAATTCGCCCCGATTCTCCCGTTCTCAATCCGAAACTGATCCGATGTGTATCTTCCGCATGGTAAAAAGACCGACCGAATCGGTCCCGACATTGTCCCGATTCTCCCGAATGCCATCCGACAGAGATCCGACAGTGACCGGACAGTGAACCGACAAAAAAGGTTAGCATTCGGCAAGATCTGGACGCAGTCTGGACACGATCGACAAGAAACGGCAATGAACAATTCACGCCCGTTCATCGCGACAGCGTCCCGACCCACAGGACACCGTCCAGACAACACAGGACATTTTTACGATCTTGATCCGACACAGCAGAATCGGTCACGACTGTCACACACATAATCCGACTAGACAAAATCGGCAGAGTTTCCCGAATGTAACGGGACGCACCATACTGTCGGGAGTGCTTGGCCGACCTCTCTAGACCTTTCCCGATCCGTGGGACTCTGTTATGAAGGTATACGACTGCGTTCAGACAATGCTAGGACATTCCAGATCATTGAGGATAGTAATCCGACCTTTTCACTTTTCGCGTCGTAGCGCTGTCTGATCTCAAACGGGAGTCATAATCGGCACTGTGTTAACCTGGCCTTATATAGCGACGTGCATACACGTGTGTGTGTATGTGTGTGTGTGTGTGCCTGTGTGTGTGTGTGTGTGTGTGCGTGCGTGCGCGCGCGCGATTGTGTGTGTGTGTGTGTGTGTGTGTGTGTGTGTGTGTGTGTGTGTGTGTGTGTGTGTGTGTGTGTGTGTGTGTGTGTGTGTGTGTGTGTGTGTCTGAAAGGATTTCTCAAGTACCATGCAAGTCGGTTTGCTTGTCTGTACGGACACCATGACATTTATTCGGACGTCATGTCTCCTTGTCACTTCCTAATTGACCCTTTTCATATTTGAGTTAACATGCCGACCCAACTGGCGCTCGGAAGGCAGATCTGATATTGTCACACACACACATATTTCAGGATTTGACTTGCTGTACGTTCCAGTACACCCTCGAGCTTCTGTCTCGTGATGAACGTTCAGCTCATAACATCCCGCGCATATCGCTAGTGATACATGCAACTCAAGGCGTACAAATGTCTTGTAAAAGTATCTTTGACGTACCAGCCTCTGCTGGCCTTTGCTGCGAAGACCTGCCCTGATTATGATTAGTAAACCAGTACGACCTGCGTTACGCCGTGAGATACTGTTCAAGTACTTGCTGAAGCCAACTCAACAACTCCCTCATTCCCTCGCATCCCCCAACTGGTTGCACTCGCCTACCTTCTACGTCACAACATTCACTTTCCGATTTGCCCTCAGTGGGAAATTTGTCATCAACATGTCCATTGTATGTGGAAAGTATGTCACAACGACAATGGCCCAAATCACAATAATGTCGTGGCGATATGTGAGTGTCCACAGCACAATGGGTTATACTCTTCCTGAATTGGCTCATCTGGGATAGATTAATTAAATATTCGGGAGGGGGTGCGAGGGGTTGGGGGTGGGCAGGGTTGTCGGGCGAGGGGGTGGGGTGGTGTTCGGGAGAGGGTGCTATGGGAGCGCGGAGGGGGTGGTGGTGTTGTACTGGTAGTGCTGGAATTTTGTTGAAAAATCGTATTTTTGCCTCAAGATATACCAACCAATGTGTTAACTGGATGTGCTGGTTGTTATATACTGTTGTGCCGTCATGATGTGAGAATTTTTTCCTGTTATATAGATTAGATAAGATGCTATTGTGCCGTCATGATGTGAGAATGTTGGATGTTACATAGATGAGATAAGATGCTATTGTGCCGTCATAATGTGAGAATTTTGGCTGTTATACAGATGAGTTAAGATACTATTGTGCCGTTATGATGTGAGAATGTTGGCTGTTATACATATGAGATAAGATGCTATTGTGCCGTCATGGTGTGAGAATGTTGGTCGTTATATAGATGAGATAAGATACTATTGTGCCGTCATGGTGTGAGAATTTTGGCTGTTATATAGCTGAGATAAAATACTATTGTGCCGTCATGGTGTGAGAATGTTGGCTGTTATATAGCTGAGATAAGATACTATTGTGCCGTCATGGTGTGAGAATGTTGGTTGTTATATTGATGAGATAAGATACTATTGTGCCATCATGAAGTTAGACAATGTTGTTAACATTAGATGCTAGTGTGCTGTGGTAGTGTAAAAATGTCCGTTGTTTGACAGATGGCCGACTATATTGGTGTGACGCCAAGCGGAAGGTCATAGAGTCGGTGTCGCTTGATGGCGGGAGCCGGAGGGTGCTGTTGTCTGAGACCAAGGCGCACTACTTCGACATCTTTCACCACCAGGGACGCCTCTATTTCACAGACTGGCACAAACAAAGGTAGCACCCCTCAGTATGTACCCATGTTATTCCCAGTGATCACGCATCATGTCGTTTAGTAGGGCGTGAACCATGTATTAGGGGCACGGATGGCCCAGACGTCTGAGACGCAACAGCTCGCAGTGCACAGTTGCGTCCCTTAGGCGTGCCGGAAACCTCCGAATCCCGGGATCGCTCTGAATATGTTTCTTGGTTTGTCAACACCAAATCCATGCTCGTAGGTTTCACCAAAGTGGTAAAAGTCTTCGAGCTGTATCACTCTACATGCTCCTGACATTCGCGCATATTGTTTTCTATTAATGTATATTATGTTGATAATTGAACTTGTAAAAGTTTTAGTATGAATAAACCTTCACATACATGTATACCCTTGAGCCCCTCTTGTCTATTTGGGAGCGGTTGGGTAGCCGAGTGGTTTAATCTTTCGCTCGTCACGCCGAAGACCCGGGTTCGATTTTCGACATGGGTACAATGTGTGAAGCCTATTTCTGATGTTCCCCGCCGTGATATTGCTGGAAAATTACTGACAGCGGCGTTAAACCAAACTCACTGTTATGTCTTTTTGGCGGAGTATCCTCCTTCTTTTAATATCTGTGTCCGGTTATCCATGTACTGGCTGACCACGAAGCAGCATCCACACTGAACCACTGTCCTATCTCAGGTCTATTCTCTACATCCCCGTGTCTGGCGGCAATGTCAGCTCCCTGGAGTCCCACGGATTCTCCCACCTCGCCGGCATCCACGTCATCTCTAACATCTCCTCACCGTCAGGTACGGCATCGTCAACAACACAGATGTAGCTCACTCCGGTTGGCAGACAAAGGGTTGAATCGGCGTTGTTATATATCTGACCAGTATTTATTAGCGAGGTCCTACATGTGACTGTCGTCCAAAAGAAAGTTGACAAAAAGCAGTAACAAACTGTACGAGGGTTGTTTAAATCTCCTGTTTGACTGTTTTGGTGAAAGAAAAGATGTTTGACTAGGCTTATCCTTGGATACAATGTCTCTGGACGCTATTGGAGAATCCATCTTAGGCTAGAAGTTTAATGTCAGTAAATGTTGAGTCGAATCCCCATGAACGTTTGATTATTTAGTAACAATACAGTAACATTTCATTTTGTAATAATACATTGTCAGGAACCAAGAAAAGAGTAAATATTATTCAAAGTTAACCATGTCAGAGAAGTTTTGAAAATGCACGAAAAAAATGATTGATCATCAGTAACGCTTGCTTTTAAACAATGTATTCATCAATCTTTGGCCACAGAAAAATATAAACATTCACGAATGAAAGTAATACATTTCCAGATTATAGAGTATGTTTCCGTTCCATGAAGACATGACAAACCTGTGATGCAGCCATGTCATGAATTCCCTTAGAATTTCGTTTGCTGTGGTATATGTTGTTGGTGTTTATATTGATATGTTTTATTCTTACCTAGGTGAACAATCAAAAATACCTCTATATTTTCAGTTTCTTCGGTAACATCTTCCACCTATGTGACTGTGGTGGCGCCTGCGACTTCAGATTCGCACATCGACGTGGGGGAGGAACATTCGGGTAGATACTTTTACCATTATCAACAATGCTGAAAAATTAAATCCCGCTATGGCCTTGGGGTAGCCTTGTGGGTAAAGCTTTCGCCTGTCAAGTTGAAGGCCGGGGTTCAATTTCCTACATGAGTACAATGTGTGAAGTCCATTTCCCTCGTCGTGATATTACTGGAATATTGCTGAGAGGATGCTCACTCAAGCACCAATATTCCCCTCATGCACTAATGTTTGTTGCAGGTTCCAAGCATGACGCGGCCCAGGACGAGCATATGACCCCTGCAGTCGGGGCTTCAAGTGTCGAGGTGGAGTCGGGAGTACACTTGTCTTTTGGTGAGCCGTTCAGTTGCATCAAACCCCCAACAAAATCCGAGTTAAAACTGGTCTTCAGCAACCCGTGCTTGATGTACGACGCGACTAACAAGTGGTCAGACGCGTTGACTTGATTGATGCATGTCATTGTATCCAAATTGCGCAGATCGGTGCTCATGATGTCAGTCACTGGATTGTCTGGTCTAGACTTGATTATTTACAGACCACCGACATATAGCTGGGATATTACTGAGTGCGACATTAAGCAACAAGAAACTTTATATAAAATTATACGTCCATTGCAGTTCGTCCATTAAGCTTGTAAAGATGTTGCTTCATTATGTTGTAACACTGTTTCCATTGCTGTTGTTGCTGTCAGTGCAAACGATGTTCGTGGCGCTGGGCTGTGTGTCGGTGTTCCTCCTGATGGCTGTCACGTTCCTGGCCATCTTCTACCTGCTCAGGTAACTAGTCCACCCAACTCCCTGTCAGCCGTGTACCTGACCACGTGGTGCTTTGTGCACAAGACCGAACGTTTTAGTATCAGCAGAACGTTAGGTGCACCTCGATATATCAATTAATCTGAAAAATAGGTCAGGGGTCCGTTGGATCCATTGCAAGCTTACGCCGAGGCTTTCTATCTACATGTATGTGGTTTATGCAACGGTCGCATCCTCAATAAGGTAGGGCCTGCAATATATATATATATATACACACACACACACACAGGACCGCCTCCGTAGTCTAGTGAGCGTCTAGTCGGAAAGGTCAGTGGTTCACATCCGGTCGCATCATACCAAAATACGTTAAAAGATGGTACTTATAGTTAAACCCAGCCTTTCGCTCGTCATTAAGGCATAAAGGTAATAAAACAAGGACTAGTCGGCTCGGAGTCTGTGTCGGACACTGTTAATTTGGGCCATGGTTTCTCCGTGGGTTAGCACTATAAAACCGACATTAGTGCGGACTAGCACACTCACTCACTCACTCACACACTCACAAACACACATGCACACACACCTTCATTCACGTCGTTGTATAAGCGCAATAATCGTGAAAGCGACGTTAAACAATCCATATGCAATCTTAAGCCCATTCTACAACGACACTTGTCATAATCAATGAGTTTCCCTACCGACACATTATTATACCGAAGATTATACCTGAATCTTCTGATTTACAGACGCAGAAGAGAACATCGGCAAGAAACGTATTGCTACTTGGACCGTCAACGCGAGGGGCCGTTCACGAACAACATGTATATGGAGATCGGAGCCAGTCTGGATGACAACACGGAGGTGTATCTGGTACCCTGTGACGAGCTGAAGAGAAGCAAGGAGGAAGACCCCATCTACGATGAAATCGGAGACGCAAAGAAATACTGACTGTGAACTTCACCGTGCGTGTGTAACATATGGGCTGATGGACGATGTTGAAGTGGATGTACATTACTGATGATTCTGGAGGAGTCAGAGCCCGTTGGCGTGCTGTCGAGAGTCGGGCCTGGATACGTGGTGTTCAATAACCCGTTACTCACACGTACACGGAGAAGGGTCCGTAGAAAACAAATAACAACAGTGGGTAAATACCTCCCCCTGCAAACCTGATATCCTGCTGACAAACTGTATATCATTGCTTGAAGCGTTGTATTCTACAAGCTGTGTCTAATCAGGCAGACTCCCAAATAACAACAGTGGGTAAATACCTCCCCCTGCAAACCTGATATCCTGCTGACAAACTGTATATCATTGCTTGAAGCGTTGAATTCTACAAGCTGTGTCTAATCAGGCAGACTCTCAGTTCACGTGATTCGCATTATATGCTGAAACAGTGAAAAGTTATTTGAGATATACGGTGTTTCTCCTGCCCTCGTCTTGCGTAGTATGGAAGTTCTGGAGCCACAGACCTGATCGGCAGAGGATGTAGATCAAATCTACAACATTTTAAGTTTGAATCAACGGATACGATATTTAACATTCGCCTTGGTTTCGCGTAGGCAGTAGCCATACTATTATACCATTGTAGATTTTATCTATATCGTTTCCTAAGAATAGTATACTCTGTAATGCCACCAGTTGTCGAGTGGAGTGTAAAATCAGCCATGTTGGAATCGTCTGCATCTGTCTGTTAAAGGGGAAGTGTACACGCAAAAATCACTTTCTTTCTTTTTCTAAACAAAACGCAATTTTAGAATTAATTAGTATCTGTGCTTGAAAATATACACTCATTTTTTTCACGGTGAAAGTAGGAAGCTCACAATAGTGTGAAAATGATATGCCGTTATGAGGCCTTCGTTTTTCGAGCTAAACAGGCCTGAGTTATCCCCCTTAGATTATGACGTAATTGGTGCCAATTCAACTGGGTCCCTGTCTATTCTCAACGCAAAAAATATCAAGTACCAGTTTGCGGTAAAACAACATGGCCTACGACACACTCCAGCGCAGTGGTGACTCAGCATAACACTATGCTGGCTGGCATCTGAGACGCTAGAATCACACACCTAGACCTACATCACGTGAAGCGGCTCTAACAAAGCATGATGACGTCATAATGTTTATCAATTGGCACCAATGACGTCATATTGCAAGGGGCATAAGCCATGGTGTTTTTGTTGTGGAAATAGAACACTTGGTAAATGTGAAAAATATAAATCGTTTTAATGCGAAAAATATGTTAATTAATTGTGATATCTTTATATTTTTGTCTATGACACTTCTAGGTTCACACTTTTAATGTGGAAAAAGTACAAGAAAAATAGGTTAATTTCCGTGTGAACTTGCCCTTTAAGTGTTTGCCGTGGTAATGACTTTAACATCATAAAGTGAGGTCTATTTTTGAGTTTGTAATTGCAAAATGACTGTAATACATCTAAATGATCGATATCACCAGTCAGCTATGTGATATCAGTGTAGAATATGAATATGAGATATGTTGTGAAAACAAGCGAATAGAATGTCATACCATTGCATGTTTTCGAGATGAGGCCCTCATTTCAGAATAGAAAGGCACAATGTACATAAAAGCCATTGCTGAAAATGTCGTTTCGTTTATGTAAATACAGGCTAAAGTTCATCCATTAAACCAAAAAAATAATAGTGTGTGCGTTTGTAATTTCGGATTCAAAATAGCAAGTGTTAAAGAATTCTTTTTTTCTTTGGTCACAAATGTTTATACAGGACGCTTCAATGTACTTTTGTACTAGTCTGTTCATACTATAAGCAAAGTAGAAATACATTTATTCCTCAATATTACCATAAACATCCTTCTCGTCAGAAATTAATTGAACTAATGTCCTCTACAACACATTCAACAATCAAAGGTCTTGCTTTGTACCTAAAGAGAACTTTGAAAAACACAAGAAACAAACAAACATAATTTTTGTATATATTATGTATTACGTCACATATGATGGGAACATTGTAAGTCAACTGTGTGAGATCCACACATAAATTAGATATAAATGTATTGTACTCTGGGCCACGAGGCCTCCAATACTGAAATAAAGAATCTCTGAATCTCTGAATCTCAATGTAACGCAAAGTAATGATCACTCATGGAACATAATAGGGACATTCACTTGCTTCAGTAATTGTATTTTGATAAGTGTCATCTTTTATGTTCATGCAACATCACTTCCCTATCAGCTAGTTCACTGTCACGCCCAATACAATAGCTTTGGTGCCGCGTTTCATTTTCATGTTTCGATCGCTCTTATTTTACTGCCGTTACCTCAAAAGAATTACTTTTCGGGAAATAATGCAACCGAGGAATATATTTCCATGAAATGTAACAGTGGGGTCGAAAATGTGAAACGTATCACAGGACCAAAAGCCGGGATTTGCACCACTGAAACCATCGCAAATACAGTAGGAAATGTATGCTAGGACCGGATTACGTATGTTTCCCGATATAAACGGGAATTATTCGGGAATTATTTCATATGAAGCAAGATGATCATATGTGCCCAACATATGAAATATTGGGTTAACCTTAGTATATATTATTCACTTATGCTGATACCGTTACAATGGGACCCGTGAATATCCGGGGTAGAATAGGTCTTCAGCAACCCATGCTTGCAGTAAAAGGCGACTATGCTAGTCGTAAGAGGCGACTAACGGGATCGGGTAGTCAGGCATCCGAATTGGTTGATACATGTTATCGTATCACAATTGCGTGGATCGATACTCATGATGTCAGTCACTGGATTGTCTGGTCAAGACCCGATTATATACAGACCGTCGTTATAAAGCTGGGATATTGCTGATGGCCCTGTCACGCAACAACGTGTAGCAGTGACGTATTGCGACGTGTGAGAAGTTTTGCCGAAACGCCGGCAACGCTGAAACACCCTATGGATAAGTTAGGTGTACGTTGTATACGTTGAAAGCACGCTGGTATACGATGAGAGTACGCCGAGGCTTAAAAACATTTTTGTGCTTGCACAAAATTTTCGGCGTATGGGAACGTATGAAGGTAAGAATTATACGGTAGGCAAACGTTAGAGGTACGCTCTACATAAGTTTACATACGCCAGATATACTTTACCCATTCGGCCCGTTTTAGGCACCTTTCCACAACGCTGAGCGCGCTAGTCATACGTTACTCATACGCTGGGCATACGCTGGCCATACGTTGAACACGCTGGACACACGCTGGCAATACGCTTTAATACGCTGCCATAAATTATGTATAAGTCAGTGATACGGTACTAATACGTTAGACATGAGTTACATATACGGTAAACTCTCGTTATGCATACGCAATGGATACGCCAATATTATGGTTTTTCTATGAAAGCTCGACGTATGACAGCGTACTAACTGTCTTTGGCACACTAAATGCAAGTTACTCTAAAACGTTGTAGTGTGACAGGGCCATGAGTGCGGCGTTAAACAAACAAACAAACAAACAAACAAACGAACAAACAAACACACACACAAACAAACACACAAACAAAACCTTTGGCATCAAGGCGAACATGACTTCATTAACCTTATGACGCTAGGGGCCTGGCTACGCAAAACACTGTTTTGCAAGCTGACACTTTCCCATTAAATCATCACTTAATGCCAGTTCTTGAGACAACTGAGTGGGAATGGGAAAGTTTGTTTGGATATCAAGTGCATTATTAATCTCTTCCCGTCTAATGGACTTTGCAAACCAATAAGTGGACATTTTAAAATTATTGTCAAATGAACACTTCATTACATTGATAGGGGGCGATCGGATAGCCTGGTGGTTAAAGCTTTCGCTCGTCACGCCGAAGACCCGGGTTCGATTCTCGACATGGGTACAATGTGCGAAGCCCATTTCTTGTTTCCCCCGCCGTGATATTGCTGGAATATTGTTAAAAGCGACTCAATCACCCACTCACTCACTTATTACGGTGATACAATTTGCAGTTAGCGAGGTGTTGCACATTTATGCATTACTCACTGCAGTAGGCTTCTTGTATACACGATGGATGCATCGAGTCAGTAAGAAAAGATCTGCAAAAACATCTGTGAACGCAAGGCGACTCAAGTGGGTTATGGTGATTGACAAATGTAGTATTCCTATGTCACAGCTTACCTGGATATGGAGCTCTGGGGAAGCATGTATAAAGTAACATCTTGTACAGACACATCCTCTTCTCCCACCCCCACCCACCTCCCCACCTCCCCACTCTCCTACCCTATGGATTATAGGAGAATGTATCACAAGAGCACATCGCATATAAAAATATACATGCACACATGGCAGCCTTGATTTATTCCATGAAATCAAGCTCTTATCAAATATCAGAAATACATGTTGATCATTTTACATACAAACAGTATAGTATTTAACAATAGGATTTATGTGTGTGTCATTTCACTGATGACGATAACAATCTACAAGATAACGGGACGCTCATATTCACTTCCCTGGTTAAATGTGAGGCATTATCCAAGGGAACAATAGCTAGACGATTGTTGATGCGGCGTTAAACAATATTCACTCAATCACTCAAAAGAAACAGATATATTTAATTGTAACATCCTAAACAATACAAATATAAAACATGTGATAATTGCTTCTTGTGATTTTTGCAGTGTATATAATATACCACACATTACGGGATAAGAGACATGTAATATGGTATGATTGGTGTAGTTTTATATTTGTTTTAACCATATTTTATTGTCCAAACGTGCACCTCTTATTGTCGCCTATACAATTAAACATAACATCTCGCACTGGGAATGAACAATTTACACGTGAAGCTTGACATTGTTGAAACACAGTGCACAATATATACTCTTCAAAAAAAGAAACTTGACACTGACTTTCAAAATGTAATACATGTATAATGCGATTGTTTCAAAATAGGACCCAGAAACCATAATTGAAACACTGTTTGAAGATCAATGTACACAATGTTCAAAATATTAATCGTGTCACCTAGACAGACACACGTACACGATACAGTTAATGTCACAGGGGTACAGAAAATGTCAGTATCGGTTGTGCCCACCACGCGCATCAATCACCGCTTGACACCGACGACCCATAGATACAATCAAGTTGTCAATAACACGCTGTTGGATGTGCTGCCATTCATGCTGAAGTGCATCAAGAAGCGCCGGAAGTGTTTGGGGCGGTGGATTCCTTCTGCGAAGGCGTCGATGCAACTCGTCCCACAGATGCTCAAGCGGGGACAAATCTGGTGACCGGGCTGGCCAAGGTAATGTCTGGATGTTGTTGTGCTGTAAGAAGTCCTGACAAACACGTGCAATATGCGGTCGAGCGTTGTCCTGCTGGAACTGTCCGCCATGAACGTTGACGTGAGGAAGAACGTAAGGCTGTAGGATCAAGTCTCTGTAACGCACACCTGTCAATGCACCTGCCACATGCACGAGAGGCGTCCTACCACCGTGATGAATTCCGGCCAATACCATGACACTCCCGCCGCCAAATGGGACAACCTGCTGCACACGGTTGGGGGCGTAACGCGCCAATCAGTACGTGTGAGTAGGAAACGGGACTCGTCAGTAAACAGTACATTTCTCCACCTTGCACGTGCCCATCTAACCCTCTGTTGGCACCAAAGCAGACGGTCCGCCAGGTGACGTGGGGTCAATACATGACGTCGAACAGGTCTTCGTGCAAAAAGTCAAGCCTCCCTCAGTCTGTTGCATACCGTTTGATCTGATATTCTGCGTACCCCAGGGATCTGTGTGGTTGTAGACGTGGCTGTGGTAGTGCGGTCTCGGAAGTGTCGGAGCCGGATGTATCGATCTTGTGCTTGGGTTGTCACCCTTGGTCTTCCTGACCTAGGTCTGTCGTCAACTCTGTTGGTGTTGTTGTATCGGGTCCACAGTGCGGGGATTGTCTGTCTGGATACGCCAAAGTGCCTGGCCACTTCTTGCTGAGTTGCTCCAGCTTGTTATCTCCCAATGGCGTTGTTCCGTTGAGCTGCATTCAGTCTTGGCATTCTGTCACCGCCTCTACTGCCGTTATAAGGACTGTATGAACAGCCGTTGATGTGGATTTTTATACCCATTCAGCAGGGGGGCCTGCATGCCTAAATGCAGGATCCTGTGCTGCACGTTTTTTACAGGCGGTTGCGTTTGGATGAAGCTGTAAAATTGATCCCCAAACGCTACGTTTATGTGCTTTGCATGTGTTTTCGCGAATTATAGACACATCATCTTTCTGTTTGACTTATTTGGTTCTCATTTAATGTAATTATTTTAGATATTTGGCAAAAGTGGTTTAACATCTATGTCAAGTTTCTTTTTTTGAAGAGTATATATATCTACGCCCAATGGACATCTTTCGGCGGACATGACGTTCAATATTTACGAATGGGTATTCTGGTTGACGTTCAATATTTACGATGGGTATTCTGGTTGACGTTCAATATTTACGATGGGTATTCTGGTTGACGTTCAATATTTACGATGGGTATTCTGGTTGACGTTCAATATTTACGAATGGGTATTCTGGTTGACGTTCAATATTTACGATGGGTATTCTGGTTGACGTTCAATATTTACGAATGGGTATTCTGGTTGACGTTCAATATTTACGAAAGGGTATTCTCGTTGACGTTCAATATTTACGATGGGTATTCTGGTTGACGTTCAATATTTACGATGGGTATTCTGGTTGACGTTCAATATTTACGATGGGTATTCTGGTTGACGTTCAATATTTACGAATGGGTATTCTGGTTGACGTTCAATATTAACGATGGGTTTTCTGATTGACGTTCAATATTTACGAATGGGTATTCTGGTTGACGTTTAATATTTACGAATCCGCCGACTCAACAAAATGAAATGTGAAAAACAATGACAAGCAGTGTATTCGCTATTAAAACCTTTAAAAAAATTTACACAACGAAGTATGACGAATCGCAAGAGGAAGTATAAAATAATTTTATTTTCTTCCATCTAGCGACCTCAATTGTCAAATATCCGTTTTAAAAAATATCGTATATGAGTTCTGATACAAATCTGCACGTCCCCTTGCTACCGGTTATACGATAAGTTGTTTTTCCCTGTGTATTGTCAACCAATCCTGAATGAGATGGGCGAGACACATGTACGCGTGTCCTAGATTCATGTATCACACGGATGATAAATCAGTGTTATACAGTCAAGTCGCATTATTCCGACATGGTTTCTTTGTGTATTTTGATATTGTGCTACGACTAGCATAAAGCCCATGACACACGAAGCAATTTATATTTGGCAACATCGATCTGGAGACACCATAAGGTCTGCCGACAGATATGTGTGTATTCTGATATTGTGCTACAACTAGCACAAAGCCCATGACACACGAAGCAATTTATATCTGGCAACGTCGTTCGGGAGACACCACACGGTCTGCCGACAGACGTGTCATACGCACAGAAATAAATCCCCATACGTTCCCGCCATCTGGGTTGTTGACAAGGAAACGCTACTAATTACCTTTCCAATGTAACTTGGCAGGATAGAATGAATATTTGAGAATGCGTTAGAGAAGAAGACAGGCAGAGGTTACCGAAAAAGATACATTGTTGGCTGGACATGGTGTTACGAAACGTTTTTTAAATAATTGTACAGCTACTTCATTCAAGGGGGGACGGTCGGGTAGCATAGTGGTTAAAGCATTCCCTCGTCACCCCGAAGACCCGGGTTCGAATCCCGACATGGGTACAATGTGTGAAGCCCATTTCTGGTGTTCCCCGCCGTGATATTGCTGGAATATTGCTGACAGCGGCGTAAAACCATACTCACTCACTCATTCAACGGGTCAAGTTACGCGTTTTGAACGTCTCAAACCCCAACCCCAACAACTCCTCAAAATATTAAGTGGTAGGTCCCTAAAATTTATCCAACAGTTTCTATGCAACATTGGCTGTTACAAGTTTATTTCCATGGTGTTTGTTTCATAACGGATCTTCATGTAATGAGATGAGCTTGCAGAGTCAACTTCCATTCTTCCGGGCATACAATGTGCAATGTTTCCAGAGCGACCCAACATGACTACCTATAGTGTTTCAAGTTTCGATCTGGCTTTTGCCTCTGTGATCATTGGCCGAAACCTCTTTGTTGTTGGTTTGTTGGTTTGTTGTTTAACGCCGCACTCAGCAATATTCCTGCTATATGACGCGGTCTGTAAATAATCGAGTCTGGACCAGACAATCCAGTGCATCATGCATCAACCAAGTCAGCGAGCCTGACCACCCGATCCCGTTAGTCGCCTCTTTGTGATTTGTGTTGACAGTAAATCCCATCTCGCATTTGTGTTTAACATTAGTCTTCTAAATGTTACCAGTGTTAACCGTCAGCATCCCCTCCCCAGGGGGTCCCTGGTCAGAGATTGCCCCCAGCACCCTGTTGGTGGTAGTAAAGGGTGTCACAGTTGGTTCCGGTGGCCAGACTGTCGTTCTGCAGATGACTGGGTTGTCCCACTGGTTTGCCTAGTCTAGACTCGATTATTTACAGCATGCCGTTGCTTGTGTAATGCTTCCTGCCACGGAAGGCTGACTCAAACGCGGATGTAGTATCATCTCTTATCAATTTATGCGGTGTCCATCGCCACTGTGAGTGAGTAGGGTTTATGCTAATTGCCCCACTCTGATCAGTGTTTACCTTCAGCCTCTCCTCTGATCAGCGTTTAACTTCAGCCTCCCCTCTGATCAGTGTTTACCTTTAGCCTCTCCTCTGATCAGTGTTTACCTTTAGCTTCCCCTCTGATCAGTGTTTACCTTCAGCCTCTCCTCTGATCAGTGTTTACCTTCAGCCTCCCCTCTGATCAGCGTTTACCTTCAGCCTCTCCTCTAATCAGCGTTTACCTTCAGCCTCTCCTCTGATCAGCGTTTACCTTCAGCCTCTCCTCTAATCAGCGTTTACCTTCAGCCTCTCCTCTGATCAGTGTTCACCTTTATCCTCCACTCTGAACAATTTTCACCTTTAGCCCCACTCTGATCAGTGTTTACCGTTTGCCTCCCCTCTGATCATGTTTTACCTGTTTAGCACTTTTCTCACTACTCGAAGCTTTCACGCTGTGACATGAGGTGGGAGGTGACATGAGGTGGGGTTTAAGGTGGCGTTCATGAATGTTTCACTTTTATAGTGACCCGAATGCACGTGTGTGTATGGCTGCTTGTACTTGTCCAGATTTATGTCGGTTTTATAGTACTAGCCCACTGAGATACCTTCACATGTGTAGCCAACTCAGAGGCATTATACTGTCTTAGAGGCAGCCAGCCCTTGGTTTTTCCCCCTTAATGTCGAACGCCAGGGCCAAGGGATCGAGCGACCGTCCTTCCGGCCTCCGGGGCAGACGCTAAAACACAGTGCTTAATACAACGCCATTATTCGGTATTAAAATGAGGCGATGCATGTAGGCAATAAACTGAAAGGCAAGATAACTAAAATGCATCCCTGGCAGACATGCATGATATACGCAACATCATCCCGATACACTTTTATTAAACCTCTTCAGTCATATCAGACAAATAAAGAAGTAGCTGATATCGTATCACATGTTGCTACTTCGTGTAATGCATAACGTCAGGGACAATAAAACATCATATTCTACAACTGTAACTAGACCTAGAGCTATAGATATTGTCAATCAATAAAACATCTTATTCTACAACTGTTACTAGACCTAGAGCTATAGATATTGTCAATCAATAAAACATCATATTCTACAACTGTAACTAGACCTAGAGCTATAAATATTGTCAATCAATAAAACATCATATTCTACAACTGTTACTAGACCTAGAGCTATAAATATTGTCAATCAATAAAACATCATATTCTACAACTGTAACTAGACCTAGAGCTATAAATATTGTCAATCAATAAAACATCATATTCTACAACTGTTACTAGACCTAGAGCTATAAATATTGTCAATCAATAAAACATCATATTCTACAACTGTAACTAGACCTAGAGCTATAAATATTGTCAATCAATAAGACATCATATTCTACAACTGTAACTAGACCTAGAGCTATAAATATTGTCAATCAATAAAACATCATATTCTACAACTGTAACTAGACCTAGAGCTATAGATATTGTCAATCAATAAAACATCTTATTCTACAACTGTAACTAGACCTAGAGCTATAGATATTGTCAATCAATAAAACATCATATTCTATAACTGTAACTAGACCTAGAGCTATAAATATTGTCAATCAATAAAACATCATATTCTACAACTGTAACTAGACCTAGAGCTATAGATATTGTCAATCAATAAAACATCATATTCTACAACTGTTACTAGACCAAGCGCTATAAATATTGTCAATCAATAAAACATCATATTCTACAACTGTAACTAGACCTAGAGCTATAGATATTGTCAATCAATAAAACATCATATTCTACAACTGTTACTAGACCTAGAGCTATAGATATTGTCAATCAATAAAACATCATATTCTACAACTGTTACTAGACCTAGAGCTATAAATATTGTCAATCAATAAAACATCATATTCTACAACTGTAACTAGACCTAGAGCTATAAATATTGTCAATCAATAAAACATCATATTCTACAACTGTTACTAGACCTAGAGCTATAGATATTGTCAATCAATAAAACATCATATTCTACAACTGGTACTAGACCTAGAGCTATAAATATTGTCAATCAATAAAACATCATATTCTACAACTGTTACTAGACCTAGCGCTATAAATATTGTCAATCAATAAAACATCATATTCTACAACTGTTACTAGACCTAGCGCTATAAATATTGTCAATCAATAAAACATCATATTCTACAACTGTTACTAGACCTAGAGCTATAAATATTGTCAATCATTTTAGCTGTTGAAATATCAAAGCCTTCCTGCAGCGGCCTTGCTTTAAATACAGCATCCTGTATGTCCTTTATCGTCTTCTAGTCAGAGGTCCATGTCCTCCATCTCTGACGTCTGTGTCAGTGTAGCGCCACCAGGTGGCGTCTTCCTCTTCTACGTCGTCGTCGTCGTCGTCATCGTCATCGTTATAGTCTTCGAGATCGTCATAGTCTATCCTTGAATCTGCAACAACGCTCCCAACTTTCGACTGTATCATCCGAGACCAGATGCTCCCCTCTTCTAAACCACTACCTTCATAATCCATGTAGTCTTCGTAATCATCGTAGTCTACGTAGTCCTCGTAATCATCGTATTCTTTGTATTCATCGTAGTCGTTGTTGTCGTCTTTGCCATCGTAGTCACCATCGTCATCCTCGTCATTATTGGCATAATGACCCTTGTCCTTCTTTCCCACATATTTCTGCTTTTTGCCCGATGGGCTGTCCTCACCATCTTTCATAAAAAAGACATACTGGGGCCATGTGTCAGGCTGGTCGTCCAGCAGAGTGAAATCCCTCCAATAGCCATACGATCTATATCCGCGGCTTTTCAGAAAATTGAGGACGAACTTGTCCTGCTGTTTTTGGAGTACATAGTGCCAGTTTACATGTACAAACACAACATCCACTACATCGAACAGCTTTACACCTCCTGCCAACACGCGGGTCACGTTGTCATGAGAGCCTATCTGTATCCCTGTTTTCGTCATAGGGAACTGATCGAGCAACTCCGAGAGAAGAATCGTGTTCGTCGTGTCACCTTTTCGATTTGGGTATGGCAATACCTTGTAATTGTGATTAAATTTTCCTAAAGCTGGTGTCACTTTAACCATTCTGTTCGAATCCCATAGTGCGTTGGTGACAATGTAGCATCTGCCAACCAAGTCCGAGTCCAGAATTCCTTGGCAGAACCTTGGAATATTGTCACGGAATGGTTCAATAGCAACAACGGGGTTTCCAAGTGCAGCTACGACCAAACTGCACAGGCCTGTGTTGGCACCGATGTCAATGAAACTCATGTCTTTGTTCTTCCACATGAGTTTTAGTACAGGTGTCAAGATCTGTTTATCTTTCTGCTCATACGCAACTTCGTCATCTTCATCATGTACATACATTACGACATTTCCAGCAGGGGTGGACACGTTCACGGGTATGAGAGTGTCATTTGTGGCACATAGGCTGTCCAGGACGTTCCAGGTCTTCATCTGCCGTCTCATCACCATCCCTGTGCCCAGAACTGACCAGTTGCCTTTCGACCTTTCGGACCAACTGGGGTCATATGAGTTGGACACGTCTTCATCGTGAAAGGTTGCAGTAGACGTGCTTTCGTTGATTACAGTAATGATGAGAAATATGCCCAGGACTGTCAGCAGTATGAAGAGTAAGCGATATCTGGATACTTGACAGGAAGTATAGATGTCCTCCAGTCTGGATCCGGAGGTGCGCATGGTGTCTGAAAGTGAGTGACTTGGGTTTAATTTCACTTACATCACGATGTATCAGCACTATGTTGGAGGAAAGCCCTTCTGTGAAACCCATGACCACGGGCACGGTGCTGACATGTCGGGCGAAATGATACTACACAGAACACCATTTGATCGTCTAAACAACAGGAATATGAACGAGAATGTATGTATTTCGGATATCTCAACTCTGTGGACAATTATTATTATTGTTTTACTATTTATCAGTGCAAACATTTCTCGGGGCATTAAAAAAATTGCTTGTAGAATCAATGTTGAAAAAGGACATTGCTGTCTTACCTGCATCAGGTGTCCTAGTACCTTGTGCGAGTGTGTCGCGTCATGTACATGCCATGCTGCTGGCGATAAGGATCGCCTCATGGTATGCCCAACAAAGCGTATGTCGAGGCTGACATGGATACCTTCATCGGCGTTATTGAATACTTAAACCACACCATGTGTACATGGACCTGTGTGAGCTACGCGTGTTTATCTATTATTATGATTATTATTAAAGACAATCGTCATGTTAATCACAATTCAGTCACGAGAGAAGTATTATTTCACTCTCGGATATTGCATGTCGGTTCTGGTCTCATGCTGAGTCGTGTCATGTCCCCAGATAGCGTGTCTATCACCACCCCCCGTTTGTGGGCTATAGTTTGACGACGCAGACTCATATCTAGTGTTTCAATGGATAGGTGTGCCCCATACTTCCAACAATACAGATGTGATTCAGTAGTTACACAATGAGATTTACTTATTTGATTTTTCTCTTTTCTCGAAAACACCTTCAAAGGTTACTGCTGTATTTTAAAATAATAAACTGCCTTTTGCAGAAATTATATAAGGCTATACCTGTACAATGGAAATAATGATCTAAGTCTTGATCTGATATCGAATCACATTAAACGTCAATGAATTACTTGGGCACGTGCATTCACGTGCAAAGTGAACAACATGGTTATATCATCACGTTCACAATAGTGAGTGAGTGAGTTTGGTTTTACGCCGCTTTTAACAGTATTCCAGCTTAATGTGGGAGGAAAGCCCGAAGTGATGCAGATATCAGACGTTTACCCCTTCGATGAAACCCACGAGCACGGGTATGGTGCTGACAAACCTAGAAACATAATCGGGGCGACCCGGGATTCGAACCCACAATCATAGGTTTCTGGCGTGCCAAGGGACGCAACTCTGCACAGCGAAACGCAGGGCCTTAGACGACTGGGCCACCCGTGCCCCCACGTTCACAATAAGTGACTACAAAAGTTTCATCGGAAGTGGGAATCGAACTAGAGTTGTTTCATTTCGAATTCCAAAAAGTTTATATTGAATGCGCAAGTCATCAAATTTAGTGAAATATTATATATTTGTGATACACAAAAACATTCTGTTTAATGGAATACAACAATCATTGCGTATACTCAAATAGAAATCAACATAGCATTTATTGAATATCTCAGATCACAACGATCGACCATGAATGTTTGAGTAGTAATCATGATCACAAGGTCATTGAGTTTATGTCTAATTCTTATTGAAAAAAACCCTTTATACTGACCTCGCTGAAAAAACATCTGACGAAAGTTGTTAAATAAACAAAGGGAACAGTTCAACCAGACATACGATACAACGACACGTCCTACACCCTGGTTTCTTGTGTCAAAACAAACGATTTGCAGATAATGTATTAATATTTTATTAAGAAATGATATTCTGCAATCATATGAATCAACTGAATGTGTTTTTTTGTTGTCATTACTATAACCTCGCCATATTTAAGGGATTCATTCTGATGGCCTATAATTTCCCTCTCGGTTAGTGTTAGAGTGATGTGAATATACCCGAACACCTAACAACATCGTCGGAGTAACTGCACCCGAGATACTCATGCATGGACAATGTAATACTATGGAAACCTTTTATTTCACCAACACGACGCACCCTTTTCAAACGTCGTAAAACCTGCTATTGCAACCCTATTATTTTGCCCTTTAAATATATACGAATAACGTTTTTGTGTGTCTAGAGATTGTGGAAAGCAAACGTACTAGTTTAGGATAACGAGTTTTTTGTTAAATATTGGCTATGTTATTTCTTTTGTATATCACTGAAACTGTCGCATATTTCGCCAAATGGTAGTGGGTGTTTATTGAAGTCGGTGGAGACGTTGGAAACATTCATTCGCTCCACGAGACATACTACGTATGAGTCTTCCGAAGGTGATCTTGGAGCGCCTGACCAAGTTCTGCCAACGTGGTCGGCGGCCTATGACGTTGATGCACACGTCTCCCTAACATGTCCCAGTATGTTGTCCCGATTGTGTCGACCGAAACTGCGTTTGGGGCTTAAAGAGAACCTATCCACAGTTACCTAAACGTATTGCCGTACGGTGCCGTCATGGTCTGTGTACGCCCTGGCTCTACAACTCGCCTGGTATCGAGGGGTCAAGGAGTGATCTCCGAATTGCCCTCATCAGAATTCATGTACCGGACCATACACACAAAGGCTAAACACAACACGAGGTTTATTCTCACATACATTTACTAATCTTCAGTCCATCGCTCAAAATACAACTTCTAAACAAGACAGGGGTGGTCTGGTAGCCTAGTGGTTAAAGCGTTCGCTCGTCACGCCGAAGACCCGGGTTCGATTCCCGACATGGGTACAATGTGTGAAGCCCATTTCTGGTGTCCGCCGTCGTGATATTTCTGGAATATTGCTAAAAGCAGCGTAAAAGCATACTCACTCACACTAAACAATACAGGGTAGGCTCGTAACAGAGTAGGAAAACGGAGTAGTAGCGAGGTTTTGTGCAGCACATTGATAACGTCGCGTGCACCACTACATGGAGCGTGCGTCTGTGGGTAAGAGAGAAGAGAGAATCTATCCTGATATCTGCCATGTTAATCAAAAGCTACCGTCTAATCTCGGGAAACAACGATAGTCATTGATGGCCGATTACGGTATGGTTGTATTGTGGGAATGCTATCTATTACCAGTAAAACTTTAAGGCAGGCATATCACGTTGCCCCTGTTGAATGTAAGAGGACAGTCCCAAATGACGTAGATCGTTAGTGTTTATCCACGTTTATCACAAATGGTTCAAATCTACTGCCACAACCTCGTCTCCCTTTCACCCTCACCCTCTATCACCCTAACTCATCCATCCCTTCCCCTCCCTAATCCTACCTCCCCGCCGCACATGGACCATTTCAAATACGATGCTGTGTTAATACGTGCCTTTAATTCAGTACAACCCACAAGCTTTGATGATCTAAGTGAGTGGGTGAGTATGGTTTTACGCCGCTTTTAGCAATATTCCAGCAATATCACGGCGGGGGACACCAGAAATGGGCTTCACACATTGTACCCATGTCGGGAATCGAACCCGGGTCTTCGGTGTGACGAGCTAACTCCTTAACCACTAGGCTACCCGACCGGCCCTGATGATCTAAGCCAGTACATGACACATATAACTGTTAAGGACCTCTTCGTTTCCAGATTACAATTGAAGACCAATTAAAGTGGTCCTCTATCTTAAGAGCGTTATCGAAGTCGCTCTTGGCGTAGGGCAACATACCGTTGTCAGTCAAAAAAAGGCAAATGTACTTCCCCTTGAAGTCCTCATTCCAACGCCAGTCCATATACACAAACCTGTCGTCTACTTTCGTAAAAAATGCTTGCCCTCCCTTCAAAATCCTGTCAGGATGGTGCGTTGCTGGTATTCGCAATCCCGCAACAGTAATATTAAATTTTGTCAAAAGGTCGTCTAGCAATATTGAGAATGACATGATATCTTGTTTTCGTTTCTTTTTTGAAGTCATAAGTGATTTCATTGCGTACTTTTCTGGTGCAATTTTGTCAGTGGTTAAAGCCAGATCCGTATGGCTGCTGTAAAGTGCATTCGTCACGATGTAGTTTCGTCACCGAAGGCCAGATGCAATAATGCCTCTACATAAACGTCTTTGTTTCCTTGTATGTCTTGGTCTGTGTTTGATTCACTGTTCCGTCACTCTCTGAGGCGTGGTTGTACAGAAAGAAGGATTTGCGACCCGGTGTTACTATATGGCAGTGAAGTTCTCTTCTGACCGGCATATATCATTGTGCTTGGTCCAGCTTTTTTCCATCATATGGAATGCAATCCCTGACCATGCTGGTGGTATCCAGTAGTCCTTCAACGTGAAACCCCGTGATCCCTCTGATCCCTCTGATCCCTCTGATACCTCTGATACCTCTGATCCCTCTGATACCTCTGATCCCTCTGATCCCTCTGATACCTCTAATACCTCTGATACCTCTGATCCCTCTGATCCCTCTGATCCCTCTGATACCTCTAATACCTCTGATCCCTCTGATCCCTCTGATCCCTCTGATACCTCTGATCCCTCTGATCCCTCTGATACCTCTAATACCTCTGATACCTCTGATCCCTCTGATCCCTCTGATCCCTCTGATCCCTCTGATACCTCTGATCCCTCTGATCCCTCTGATACCTCTAATACCTCTGATACCTCTGATCCCTCTGATCCCTCTAATACCTCTGATCCCTCTGATACCTCTAATACCTCTGATCCCTCTGATCCCTCTGATACCTCTAATACCTCTGATCCCTCTGATCCCTCTGATCCCTCTGATACCTCTAATACCTCTGATCCCTCTGATCTCTCTGATACCTCTAATACCTCTGATACCTCTGATCCCTCTGATCCCTCTGATCTCTCTGATCCCTCTGATCCCTCTGATCCCTCTGATCCCTCTAATACCTCTGATCCCTCTGATCTCTCTGATACCTCTGATCCCTCTGATCCCTCTGATACCTCTAATACCTCTGATCCCTCTGATCTCTCTGATACCTCTAATACCTCTGATACCTCTGATCCCTCTGATACCTCTGATCCCTCTGATCTCTCTGATCCCTCTGATCCCTCTGATCCCTCTGATACCTCTAATACCTCTGATCCCTCTGATACCTCTGATCCCTCTGATCCCTCTGATCCCTCTGATCCCTCTGATACCTCTGATCCCTCTGATCCCTCTGATCCCTCTGATACCTCTGATCCCTCTGATACCTCTGATGCCTCTAATACCTCTGATACCTCTGATCCCTCTGATCCCTCTGATACCTCTAATCCCTCTGATCCCTCTGATACCTCTGATCCCTCTGATCCCTCTGATACCTCTGATGCCTCTAATACCTCTGATCCCTCTGGTAGACTAATGATGTATTGCGGAGTCGTGATGAATAGTGTGATGCTGATGTGTAATTATAACACGATTGACCACAGCATCACAGACAGCAGGACAAGACAAACATCGCAGCAGGAAGTGGGTTTCAGTGGCATCATCTGAAATTTAATATCAGTGTAATAATAATAATAATAATAATAATAAGAAGAAGAAGAAGAAGAAGAAGAAGAAGAAGAAGGAGGAGGAGGAGGAGGAGGAGGAGGAGGAGGAGGAGAATGAGCTTTTAGCAATATTCCATCAATATCACGGCGGGGGACACCAGAAATGGGCTTCACACATTGTACCCATGTCCGGGATCAAACCCGGGTCTTCGACGTGACGTGCGAACGCTTTAACCACTAGGCTACCCGACCACCCCAGAAGAAGAAGAATAGCAGCAACAACAAGAACAATAAAAACAATAACAATAATAAAAGCGACATGCATGATGAACAATTTGTCGACTGTTTTATAGAAACAAGCATTGGACTCGCGTGATGAACGATGTATCCACTGTATTTATGGAACAAGCAATGGAATAGCAAGATGAACGATGAATCAACTGCATTTATGAGACAAGCATTGGACACGCGTGATGAACGACGTACCAACTGTATTTATGATAAGCAACGGACAAGAGTGACGAATGATGAATCAAATGTATTTATGAGAGAAACATTGGTCTTTCGTGATGAACGATGAATCAACTGTTTTTGTACGATACAGTAACCTCAAACAGTATGCAAACATTATTTAGGACGATAAAGAAGGTTGAACTTACAGCGATATTGTAACTGACGTTGGGGCACAGTTTCCCAATCTTGTTAAAGTTTGGACTGATGAAACTTACCTCGATCGTGGGATAACTTCAGCGTGATCTGGTTCAAGCGTCAGATTAGAGATGGTTTCATCTTTAAAAGTTATCAAACAATCAGGTTTCAAATATCTTGCTAATTTCAAACACTTATCTATAGCGTGCCATATATACATATTGATGTCAGCCAATGCTGGAAAACGACCAACCTGTCAAGAACGATCGTTAATTGCTAGAGAAGTTAAGTTTTTGTGAAAAAATAAGATTATTTTTGTGCAAATGTGTGTGTGTGTGTGTGTGTGTGTGCGTGCGTGCGTGCGTGCGTGTGTACGTGTGTGTGTGTGTGTGTGTGTGTGTGTGTGTGTGTGTGTGTGTGTGTGTGTGTGATGATGAAGATAATGTATGTTATCAGTGATCAAATCTATGTTTTGTTTGTTGTTTAACGCTGAACTCAACAATATTCCAGCTACATGAAGGTGGCCTGTAATTAATAGCGTCTGCACCAGACAACCGAGTGATTGATATCATGAGCCTTGCAACTGGGATACGATGATATGAATCAGCCAGGCCACCCAGTCTGACCACCCAATCCCGTGAGTCGCATCTTATGACAAGCATTGTCGACAAGCATTGGTTACTGAAGACCTATTCTACCCGGATCTTCACGGGTTCAAATATATGAAACCTCCTTAACAACCGTTCAATATACGTCAGCTAGTATTCTCAACCATTGTCAGCTTCGGGTATAACTGATAATTACGGTTTGTTTGTTTGTTGTTTCAGTACATGATCGAGGCTGGACTCGCCATGCCACGGAGTCCATTATCGATACCACCCGAACTCATTATGTGGTCCCTTACAACGACTGAGTGCAGGTAACCTGACAGTGTTCTAACCCATGTCCTCTATAGGCATGTATAATGTAGGTAACGTAAAAAACGATTGGTAGCAGAATAACCCAGATCCGATACTAATGTATAACGATGGCAATGACAGCCCGACATGAATGTATAACGTTGGTAATGACAGCTTTGATACTAACGTATATCGTTGGTAATGGCAGATTCGACACTATTCTATATCGTTGGTTACGACAGATCCGATACTTTTGTAAATCGTTGGTAATGACAGATCCTTTACTACTGTATATCGTTGGTTACGACAGATCCGATACTTTTTGTTTATCGTTGGTAATGACAGATTCGTTACTTCTGTATATCGTTGGTAATGACAGATTCGTTACTACTGTATATCGTTGGTAATGACAGATTCGACACAATTGTATATAGTTGGTTAGGACAGATCCTAAACCACTGTATATCGTTGGTATTGGCAGATCCAACACTACTGTATATCGTGGGTATTGGCAGATCAAACACTACTGTATATCGTGGGTATTGGCAGATCAAACACTACTGTATACCCTGCATCTGCGATAAAAGTGCCAGATTTCACTCAGTTAAGTACACTGTAGCGCACGTATAATTTCCGTTAAAACAGGAATGTGCTCTGCGTCATTTTACCGTTGTGATTGATGTGAGTTTACCTTCAGTTACTCGTTAGTTGTATACGCATGTATCTTTCCCCAGGGATAAATGTGTTTGAACTGCATCACACGTCTACCTACGTTACTGATGATATGTCAGGAGTTGTAGGAGGTTTTTTTTATCGCACGTATTATTTTGTATACGACACATGGCTCATATACATATTGAGGGCATATACTTACAATTAGTCGTAAACAAATTTACTCTTCCAATAATGCATGCCAACTGGACAGAAAATTAACAAGCTTGTCAATAGCTGTATGTATGGTATGTTATGATATGATAATGGTATATGAAATAATACTTTATGGTATGATCTTATAATAATGATACAATATGATATGATGTTATAGAATATGTTGTATGATATAACAAGTTGTGATATGGTAAAATAGAAATTATGAAATTACAGGGTATGGTATTGTACTGTATGTGTGAAATTATGTGACTGTGTTGAGATGCGATGTGGAATGGCGTGAGGTGATTTGGTGAGATATGTACATAAATTGTATAAAATTGTATATTCTTCAAATTGTACTATAGGCCTGTGGCCTCTTCAGTACGTGAAATAAAGATTGACTAGCTGTTGCTTTTGTAAATATATATTGTTTGTTTTCCAATTGCATTTTTGTGAAGTTTAACATATATTTTGTTAAATGGAGATGAATGAGTAAATCTTTAATTATTGTAATAATAGTATTAATAGGGTCATTGTTTGGGGGAAAAGAAGAGAAATTCTAGTTTTGGTGAGTGTTATTTGAATAGCAGCTTTTCGATTGTCCACTGTTCAACATGATTGCAAAGAGACTTGAAATAGGGCCAGTCCCTAAATAGATGCGAGTTGTCACATGATAAATGTTTTCAGAAAGAACACATGAGCGGGACTGCATATGTTATTTTATGGAGAAAAGCATTACCTGGTACAGTGAATTAGTCTAAATTTGAACTACCATATGTGTGTTCTATCAGTAGATTGAAAGAGTATATGTTAAGTAATGCCCAAATCGGTGAATTCAAGGAATTAATGTTCTCAGCATTAATGTTCCGATAACGACGAGCCCACACCTCGCCCCGGCTCCGGCACATTTTGAATATAAACAACCCAGCAGCTTGAAGTTTTGTTGAACAAATTCTACTTCCGCTCTTGTAAACGATCATTCCACGCTCCCTCTTTCCTTCTTTAATGTTGTTTATAATATATCTGACACAAACCTACCCCTTTCATCTTATTAAATATTTTATATAACCGATACATGTCCGGTACAATACCAAATCTATACTTCTTAATTATGGACAGAATTGATATATCCAGGGGTTGTCTCAGCATCACAACACAGCAATTAGCTGCTTTTGGTCCATGGTCTATTGGAAGAGTGTGCCTATAGTCACTGCATATAAGGTTTCTATATATATATCCCTTGTTTTATAATCGAGTCAGGTGGAAATGAAGTCGAGTATATATTTCTTCTTTATTTAGGTATTTATTCTGTCATCGGTTATTTTGAGTTCAGTAGTACAACCATAATGTTGACATAAAAACTACTTTTTATAGTGAGATGGCTGAGAACACACCGCCTTTATGGAAATGACGAATTGCTCTCCTGCATGTTTTTAGGGGTTCTGAATTTAGTTCACCGTTCATCAGAACATTGACACATACTTGACCTGAAACCTACATTACTACAATGTTTATCTGTATATCAGCGACGGCTGTTGTGACCATACTGTCAGCTGTTTAAAGCTGGAGGCTACTTCCTGTTTGACAAAGCCACGGTGGGGATACTGCTACTGGACTGTTGCCGGAGTCATAGTTTACATTGTCGTTGCTTTATGTTCTGGATATATATTATACACTACTCTACTTTCAATGGGACACATTTATTACTTCTTGATTCACCACACGTACTACTATGCCATTACTGATAATATGATAGTGTAGAAGTATGAAATGTCTAAGGATGCATGTCATCGAATCCCAAATGCGTGGATCGATGCGCATGATGTCAATCACTGGATTGTCTGGCCAAGACTCGATTATATACAGACCGCCGTCATATAGCTGGAATATTACTAAGTGCGGCCTTACACAACAAACAAACAAAATGTCTAAGTACCATTATCCAAAGTTGAGTAGTGTATGTAGGAAGTAGACTATCAAGTACAACAAAATAAGGACATCATATAATTGTGAGATACATATACCAAATGACAAATGATACGCATACCGTCCATTTCCTTTGGAGCGAGGAGTACATATAGACGATGAGGTGTGACAGATCATGCCCTAGACAAAGATAGCTGCCCATCCCACAGAAACAAATAGCTGTCATGCACAGATTCTGGTATTTATCCATGTCACTGAAACATGTGGATTCCGGTTTAGAATTGGCCCAAGCAATCTATTCTGCTCAAATAACCTATGCGGGTTGTAAGACGCGAGATAATGGACCTGTGGTAAGGTTTGGTCACTCGGTTTTCACATTTATTACGGAATTACAGATATCTTCAATTGTTTTAAAGATATCTTGAAATGAATTGAAGATATCTTGAATGGAATTGAAGATATCTGGAATGGAATTGAAGATATCTTCAATGGAGATAATTGTAGATATCTGCAATAAAATTTAAGATATCTTCAATTGTTTTAAAGATATCTTGAAATGAATTGAAGATATCTTGAATGGAATTGAAGATATCTTGAAAAGAATTGCTGATATCTTAAATTCGATTATTGATATCAAAATATGATTTAAAGATATCAAAATGGCATGTTCTGTTTTGATGTCATTAATTCAATTCCTGATATCTTGAAACTAAATAAAGATATCAATAATTAATTATTGATGTCTTCAATTGTTGCCATTACTAAAGATGTTACATTAATAATGTTACTTAAATTAGATAACTGATATCATTAATTGATATAAAGATATCATCAAAAGGATTAATGATATCTTTAATTGGATGTTTGATATCAGTAACGGTCAGAATTCATGATATCTTGAATTGAATTAAAGATATCTCTAATTGAATTAAAGATATCTCTAATTGAATTAAAGATATCTGTAATGCATTTGTGGATATGTATAACTTATTTCAAGATATCTTGAATTGAATTTAAGATATCTTGAATTTATTTCTAATATATTTATGTATTGTAGGATGGTAATTGTTTAATGATATCTTAAATACATTTAGAGATATCACAAACTAATTTGTTGATATCACCGTAACATTTTAAGATATCAGTAATTGTATTATGGATATCAGAAATGAATTTAAGATATTTTTAATTATTTTTTGATATCTTAAAAACATTATTGATATCTTTAAATAAAATACCGATATCTTTAAAACAATTGAAGATATCTGTAATTCCTTAATAAATGTGAAAACGGCTTGCCATATCAACGTACGGCGTGGATCGTTGGTCATAATATCAATCACTGGATTGTCTGCTTCAGAGTCTATCATTTACAGGCAGCCTGCATATAGCCGCAAGTATGACGTTAAACAACAAAGCTACTGTAGGTTTATGTTCATTATTCAGCCTCAGGCAGTGGTGTTCAATTACTGCTGGAACGTAAGTGAACTTAATATTAGAAGCTTAGCAAATGATTGATAAATGTAATGTCAGAATATGCATGTCAAGCGCGTTGACACAAACTGCAGATTTGACAGGTTTATGACTGGTATGATATCAGATGCATACTCTACTTCTTGTATGGATTTCTTTGTTGTCTGAAATATTCAACAACAATATTGGTGCAGATTTAAGGTGCTAGAGGACGTTGGCGAATACGCCGGCCAGGTAAATTCAGGTGAAGCCTGTTAGTGGTGCATTGCAGCACCAGGATGTTCCCATTCGTAAAACAACCAATTGACACACACGATGTATATGAGAGGACGGTATCCTGTTCAAATCCTGTTCAAACTGATTATCAATCCTACGTTTAAACGTTCCACGATTGGTTTCAAGACCTCATCACGTTAACGAGTGAGTCGACCAAGACGGTGGATGAGGTCTGTACTGTATCTGTAGGTGATGCCAGGCAATCTTAAGATGTCTCCAAAGAGACCTTCTCCGGCCTTCTGTAAACTCAAGAAGCAACCCAGTCGTCTAAAGCGCCGCGATTTGCTGTGCAGAGTTGCGTCCCTTGGGTACGCCAAATTGTGGGTTCAAATCCCGGTTCGCCCCGTTTATGTTTCTAGGTTTGTCAGCACCATACCCGTGCTCTTGGGTTTCACCGACCGAAGTGGTAAACGTCTGAGACCTGAATCACTTCGGGCTTACCTCCCACATTAAACTGACACGCCGCGATATAACTGGAATACTGTTAAAAGCGGCGTTAAACCCAACTCACTCACTCATCTTCGGTTTGCACATCGTGTCACAAAGTTGAAGCGCACGTACAACCTCCTTTGACTCATCTACTGTCTACATCTACTTGCAATTTGGATGATTGTGGTTGTTGTTACACAATGTGTCAATATAATCGCTTTATCACAATATTGGTGATGCTATGGGTAAGTATGACTCCCTGTGTTTGCATATCAAAGATGAATATGACCTGAGATCACTGCGGGAGATGCTATGTGTATGCATGACTCCCTGTATTGTAGTGCTATGATGAATATTTCATGCGATCAATATCGGTGATGTTATAAGTAGGTAAGACTCCCTTTTTTGTAGTGTTAAGATGAATATGTCATGAGACCACTATGGGTGATGTTATAAGTAGGTACGACTCCCTATGTTGTAGTGCTAAGATGAATATGTCATGAGACCACTCTGGGTGATGTTAAAAGTAGGTATGACTCCCTATGTTGTAGTGCTAAGATGAATATGTCATGAGATCACGCTGGGTGATGTTACAATGTATAAGTAGGTATGACTCCCTTTCTTGTAGTGCTAAGATGAATATGTCATGAGATCACGCTGGGTGATGTTATAAGTAGGTATGACTCCCTATGTTGTAGTGCTAAGATGAATGTGTCATGAGACCACTCTGGGTGATGTTATAAGTAGGTATGACTCCCTACGTTGTAGTGCTAAGATGAATATGTCATGAAATCACTCTGGGTGATGTTTTAAGTAGGTATGACTCCCTACGTTGTAGTGCTAAGATGAATATGTCATGAGATCACGCTGGGTGATGTTACAATGTATAAGTAGGTATGACTCCCTTTGTTGTAGTGCTAAGATGAATATGTCATGAGATCACGCTGGGTGATGTTACAATGTATAAGTAGGTATGAATCCCTTTGTTGTTGTGCTAAGATGAATATGTCATGAGACCACTGTGGGTGATGTTATGGGTATATACCACTCCACATGCTGTATTTCTCAGACGAAAATGAAATGGGATTCCCGTGAGAGATGCCGTGTTTACATACCACTTCCTATGTTGTATTTCTAAAATGACTTAGGTGTTCTATTGGTAATGCTACGATTACAAACCAAATACATTCCCGTTCAGGTAACCAGCATACACTGTTCTGGCAACACACGTAAAACGCAGTATTTGTTTGTTTGTTTGTTGTTTAACGCCGCACTCAGCAACATTCAAGCTATATGACGAGGTCTGTAAATAATCGAGTCTGAACGAACAGACAATCCAGTAATTGACATCATGAGCATCGATCCACGCAATTGGGATACGATGACATGCATCAACCAAGTCAGCGAGTCTGACCACCCGATCCCGTTAGTCTCCTCTTGCGGCAAGCATTGTCGCCTTTTACGACAAGCATAGGTTGCTGAAGACGTATTCTACCCCGGATCTTCACGTGTAAGTATTTCTTTGATGCAATCCCTTCCCTAAACGTTAAAGCAGCATTACGTCATCCTTCCAAGAGTCCGCAACTAACAACGAACAAAGATGTCAAGTTCCATGGAAATTTTAACAACTGTTTACTCCAAGGAAGGTTCACTCAGCCGATGATGGACACATATGCATGTACTGCAAGAAGAAATGAAAGAGTTTTACGAAACGTAATGTTAATTAACGCTATTGAAACGTGGAGGCTTACTGGCGAGTCGTCCGTACCTGTGAACAGTCGGTTGTACTTGCTCTTCTTCGGGGGAGTCCAGGACCCCACTTTAGCACAGGCTGAGGAGGACCCGGAATGATGTGAACTGCTCACCTGTGTGCATGTGCATATTTATATGAAATTATATACAATTGCTTCCGAGAAATGTTTTTAGGTTTATTTAGCTACAACAGTAATTGCACACCGCTTAACTTGACTAAGGGACTAAGGGAGTCATTCGGTTGCTTCATTTACTATACTTCCTTGATATTCATTGTGCTACAGATTATTGTTCCAGCACAACGAGGAACTTAAGTGATTATTTGCCAGGGCAAGCCACTCTTATTGAGACACATATTTCATAGATTTCATGTCACAATCAGCAACAAGCAAGTCCTGGTTGTCTCTAGGTAATCAATCCTAAACCAGGAAAGTCTGTGGTTAATATCGACCCATGCAGTTAGGGTGACGATGACACACAATCAACAGGCTATACATAAGGTGTAACGTCTTTGATAGGCATTTAGAAGTTGGAGTAATAAGTAAGGATCAGAATTTGTCGATGAACAACTTCTTTATTACAATTTATCACTTGCTTGATAACGGTGTTAGAACCTACACCGAAACGTCGCTCTTAATTGTAATAAAGAAGTTGTTCATCGATAAATTATTATCCTTAATAAGGTGTAAACTTAAAAAGGCATTTGATGGTGTTGGGAAGCTACGGTTATGTTCACGAAATGCAGATTTGAAACTGGTTGAAAGGTCTTCATGCGGACACCAGCCCATGTTCTCGTTGTAGTAATGATGTAATCAGCGGATCCCAGTAGTATTTGGCACTTATGACACACATTTGGTACTGGGTACAAATTCTGCCATGGAACTCATACAAGTTTTGAGCACAAAATGAATACGTGTGTTTGTGCTGACTGAAGCGGGTTAGTGGTAAGACTCAAACTCATCTCCAGGCCGCCTTGATGTGGCGGGTATATTGCTGACACTGATTCACTACATTATATTACTTGGTTATACTAATTTAGTTTGGCCAAATACAGACGTTATACAGACATCACATAGGCACCATACATATATCATGCTGACAGTGTGCATGTATAATAAAGGCAGAAAACAGGCATCATGACAATCATATTAATACATGCTCTATGAGCGGCAATGCCTTGATGAATCTTGTGTTGATATCATGCAGGTCATACGTGTACTATTGCCATGATATCATGAAAGCATCTTGCTGGTGATACTTGTACCCTTGTTGTTACATTTGCAAGCATCATGCAGGTTATACTTGTACCATTGCGGTGATATCATGCAAGCATCATGCAGGTCATGCATGTATCATTGCCGTGATATCATGCAAGCATCATGCAGGTCATGCGTGTACCATTGCTGTGATATCATGCAAGCATCATGCAGGTCATACGTGTACCATTGCTGTGATATCATGCAAGCATCATGCAAGTCATACGTGTACCATTGCTGTGATATCATGCAAGCACCATGCAGGTCATACGTGTACCATTGCGGTGATATCATGCAAGCATCATGCAGGTCATGCGTGTACCATTGCCGTGGTATCATGTAAGCACCATGCGGGTCATACGTGTACCATTGCCGTGATATCATGCAAGCACCATGCAGGTCATGCGTGTACCATTGCCAAATATCATGCAAGCACCATGCAGGTCATGCGTGTACAATTGCCGTGATATCATGCAAGCACCATGCAGGTCATGCGTGTACCATTGCCGTGATATCATGCAAGCATCATGCAGGTCATGCGTGTACCATTGCCGTGATATCATGCAAGCACCATGCAGGTCTTGCGTGTACCATTGCCATGATATCATGAAAGCGTCATGCAGGTCTTACCTGTTCCCTTTGCGTGATATCATGCAATCATCATGCAGGTCATGCGTGTACCATTGCCGTGATATCATGTAAGCACTATGCAGGTCATGCGTGTACCATTGCCGATATATCATGTAAGCACCATGCAAGTCATACGTGTACCATTGCGTTGATATCATGCAAGCACCATGCAGGTCATGCGTGTACCATTGCCGTGATATCATGCAAGCACCATGCAGGTCATGCGTGTACCATTGTCGTAATATCATGCAAGCATCATGCAGGTCATGCGTGTACCATTGCGGTGATATCATGCAAGCACCATGCAGGTTATACGTGTACCATTGCCGTGATATCATGCAAGCACCATGCAGGTCATGCGTGTACCATTGCCGTGATATCATGCAAGCATCATGCAGGTCATGCGTGTACCTTTGCCGTGATATCATGCAAGCATCATGCAGGTCATACGTGTACCATTGTCGTGATATCATGCAAGCATCATGCAGGTCATACGTGTACCTTTGCCGTGATATCATGCAAGCATCATGCAGGTCATACGTGTACCATTGTCGTGATATCATGCAAGCATCATGCAGGTCATACGTGTACCATTGTCGTTACATCTGCAAGTATCACGGAGATCATAAGTGTACTATTGGCATGGACATCATCTTCCCTCGTCTATAATGACAATGATGATGACAGTGTTCACAAAATGTGCATCCACTGCCGTTATATTCCTGTTAGTTTTATCACGTAACTATCTTGACTCACGTGCAGGGTGTGCTTCAGGTCATTGAGACCTTCAGAGTAAACTGGCACTCCCCCAGTGTTGGCCAGGAGGACGTAGTAGTCAGACTCGTGCTTCATGATCTTGTCACCAATAGCCAGGTACAACTGAAGGATTGAAAGGTTACTACATAAATTGACAATGTAAAAAAATACATATAAATGTTACCGAATTAAGTAATGGAGAAACCATGACACCGAAGGAATGGTATGATTGTATAACCGGGTAGGCACAGTGCCTACAGTGCCTTCTGTGCCTACCCGGTTATACAATCATACCATTCCTGAGGTGGAATGGTTTGTCCAACTTATAAAACGCTATCCATTAATCTATGTATTTTTTTGAGCTTATATTTACGCGGTATACGGGTCGCAAATAAGCGCGGTATAACGAGACACGCTTTATAACAGTTGTTATCGCGGGCCGCTGCGCGGACTGCACGTGCAGAAGAGGGCTGTACGTGCAGAAAGAACCGCGTGCGTCGTACCACATGGCATTGTGTCGTTAACTGTTCACAAGAGAGGATGTCTGACGATGACGATATTTTCCTTACTCAAAGTAAGTTAATTGATGAAAATTCTGCAGAAAAGGATGAGGATGACTTTTGTTCCCTTTTAGGTGACCCTTTGTCAGATGATGAAGTTGCCAAAAAACTGCGAAACAAAATTTCGGAGCGAACGAGAATTAAAAACGATTGGGCTCTTGGTGTCCTGAAAAATGGCAAGAGCAGAGGAAGCAACGTTCTCTTGTTGACAATTTGTCCTTGTCACGAAGTTGTTTGACAGAATCTTTGGTCGAAATGAGTGCAAAAAATTGCTCCCCAGGTTTTACAATTGCAATTGTAAAACCTGGGGAGCAATTGTAAAACCTGAGGAGCAATTGTAAAACTTGCTGAGTGGTCTTACTACAAAAGAAAGGTCGTCTGGGAGATGGTTACAACACCATGATAGGTTTATAAGGAGACATACAATTCACATGTCTATTATGTTCTTGCACCGTCAGAATTAGCTGCTAGGTATGAATAATGGTATGAACGTACGTAGTCTCGTATGATATAGCCTAGCTGGGATTATATTGAGTTGTTGACCTATTAACCAACATTACTAGTCGTTAGATAATGTTGACTGATATAGAAAGTATGTGTGACATTATGAGGTAGCGATTGTGTGCTGTTGCTAAACCTACATCATACTGCCCAGCTGGGATGTTGGTTGGGATGTTGACAGAAGTAGCAATTGTGTGATGCTCATTGGGCTGCCATACTCGAACATCAACACTGGTGATTGGGGTACCATAATATTTTCCACTGAAAAAACACAAAACACACGTAAGTCTTGGTATGCTGTAGAGATAAAATATTGTGGACATAATCCTTTCTGCCCTTTACATGCAGGCGGAAAACCACCATTTGAATATATGAAAATGGAGAAAAACAACACTGATGTAATAGTGGCTTTCACTTTCTTTAACGTGGCCTTTGCCTACCTGGCCTTGTCATGCATGACAAGAGTGACATCCATCTCCTTGACTGGGGCAGCAAAACCGTCGTTAGTGAGAGTGAGATGGACGCAGAAGTCTGCTCCTTTCTGCACGCTGTCTGGAAGGATCGACTGCACAGAGAGCATGGCCCATGAGACATGAATGGGTTAATGAATGCGTGTCTTGAACAGCCTGCGATCAATTGGGATCGCAATAATCAGATGATTATGGTAATGCCAATAAGAAGCTTGAGGCAAAGGATGGGCCAATTGACATGAATTCGTTGCTGAGTGTCTTGCTGAGTGGATTAGATCAGTACGCGATGGCATTGGTAAAGCCCACAAACTGAAATTTAAGAAACAGAATTGGAAAGAGCCATTCTGTCCCAGCCAGCTGCCATCCAAAATCTGGCTGCCCTACTGACACTACATAGTCGGATTCTTTCGGGGCCACATATACTTAAATCAATAGGATTTTATGCCAAGACACGTCTTCTAATACAAGACATATTTCATCCCTATCGAATGGATCTTCATCTGATCAAAAGACAATCATATAAATATATATAAAGAAAACCTGGGGTTTCAATGCCTACCTCAGTCAACCGTAACCTGTAGCCAAGCTTCCTGTGGACTTCTTCGTAGCATCCTTCCCTTGCCCAGAGATTATACATATCCTTGTCGAATTGTTGATTGAGCCACGTCCAGTGGAAAGTCTTCATCTCAGACAGGGCTGTAGGGCAGTGGTCTCTATTGGTTGGAAGATAAAGATGAGACTTATTTGATATTCTTTATTCCCGAACTCCTCCTCTGAAGGAGGCCATATGCCCATGGTACTTTTATAATTAGTAGAAGTAGAGTGTATATTATTTTCCCTATATCTCATTGCATGATAACTGTACAAGTTAAAAGTCAAGTAAAATAAAGCTATTCGAGTTGTTTAACAGAGAATTGCGAATTTTAAAGGAATTGGGGTTGACAGTAATATTCAGGGATGTACTGAATCCTTAATATAGAATAAAATGGATATATAAAAAGAAAATAATATTCATCTTCAATGTCATTCAGTGCGCTTAAGTGGCAACTTCCCTTAAAATACCTATGAAGCGTCATTTAGAATAAGATTGTATTATCTTTTTGTGACATTTATATTAAATCCTGAAAGAGACAAAAAGAATTCGTTTGCTTTGCAAAAACTGACATGACACACACCAGAAACTACAGTGTTTTTATAATGATATTAATAATTGGTATGACACTCATGCATCATGTTTCAAATAGACCGTTTTAATCAATAGCTACCTATCATTTTTGGTGAGGCTGCATGTTTCTCCACCAATAATTAGGTAGCGAGTCTCGGCTGCAAGGTAGGGTCTCTCAATACTTGCGTTTTTGTAGGTGCCAACGTCGTTATCGCTTGATAGGAAACAGTCGTTGTGAGAAGCTGAAAGTGCAATAGCAACACAACTTATATCATTTTGGAAATAAACAGAAGCAGTAATCCTCTGTAGACAAGTGAAGACTCCAAGAAAGGGAAACCGATTCTAGCCTAAAATAACGCAAATATTGTTCTGTTTCTTGATTGTGGTATTCAGGTTGTCAGAAAATAATCTATAAATGCAATTACTTAATAATAAAAAAGACTGTTATACAGTGCTTTCTAAACCTGACGCATCATTGACAAAAATGATGTTCGACGTTGCAATTCACTATTTTTGACTTACCGTGGTTGCAACCAGTGGGTGGGGGAGGGGGAGGGATACACTTACCTTTTCGCGAACACCTGATACCATCATTGTTTGATAGAGATTCATAAACACATGATCATGATATCGGAAGCGTACAATTGACTTTTATCAGAGATTTCATGTGGCTATGAGAGGAGTGTTGTTGCTTTCAATGAAAACACGGATTTTGCTAAAAAAAAAATAGCAAGCAACTTTCCATGGTCAATGTTCAAAATCCAAAGAAAACAAATTTCTCCAATCAAAACCTTTTGTAGTCGGCAAACTATTTTATGGCTATATCCTATCTTCTGTAATTTTCAAAAAATGATTCATTTTATTATTTTGAATGATACACTTCATAGAGTCCGAACCCCATGAAGATTCCGAGGCAGTATCCCTTACAACATATGCTGGTGGTGAGAGGCGAAGGAATGGATCGGGTGGTCAGGCTGGGTGCCTAGGTGTCACCGTACCCCGGCAACATGGATCCTCCCTCACAATATCGATCACTGGATTGTGTAGGCCAGTCTTGATTTTTTTCACAGTTCGTCGTGATATAGCTGGAATATTTCTGAGTGCAGCGTTAAACAACACACACACAAGCAAACGAACATCATAGTTTCTGATAGTAAAGGCCTATACACTGTACTGATCACGAGGGGCATTATTATGTAGCTTTAGATCTCATGCGAACAAGTAATTATTTTATGTAGATATTACCATTCAAAATGGAAAAAAACCTAGTAGTATGTAAACTAAACATTTGCTAAACAATCAGAGAATTAAGATGACAATTCGATATTATGATAGAGAGTAGCCTACCGATCCTGGCAACGTAAGACTTGGTATTCTTGTTGACATCAGCATATGTGATGGGCTTTGTTGTATGGAACATGGCAATCTTCTGCCCCGGATATCGCAGCTGGACCTGACTGGTATAGCCGTAACATAAAGCTGTATTTAGCTAAATTGTTATATTTGATTATTCATAGAGTTAAAGCAATGTCAATGGTTGATAACGGGATCTGGCATAAGGATGACAGTCTTGAACTTACATGGACTGTGGAACAGCATCGAGAAGTGCAGTGAGGACGTTCTTTCGCCCTTGCCACTGCTGGGGAGTGTAGCCATAGTAAGGGTCGATGTGGAAGTTTCGATGCTCAGGATCACCAAAATATGTTGTGTAGTACCATTCTCCTGCAGCAGAAATATTGCCTGACCAAACAACATCCCTAATACAATAGTAAGAAAAACTAATGTCACTTGAATGAACATGAAAATCATTGCATACAACACTTACACGGGGCACACGGGACACACGGGGCACACGGGACACACGGGCACACGGGACACACGGGCACACGGGACACACGGGGCACACGGGACACACGGGACACGCGGGGCACACGGGACACAATTTGGGATGAAAGATACACGTGATGCAGGTCGTTAACGGGTATGTTGCTGCCAAGCTTTGTAAAGTCTCACGTGTCTCCAATGAACTTTGGTGTAGAATACGTAACTTTAGTGATTGTCACTCGGCCAACGTACTGAGTGAAGGCATGGTAATGATAATTGTACTCACCCCATGTACCGATGAAGCCAGCCTCTACTGAAGTGATGACCCCTTCAAAGTCGTGGAAGATTGGTTTGAGCTGCTGGATGTGCTGCAGGATCTGATGCTCTGTGGCGTCGCCATAAGGGGCATGTTGATTCTGTAGAGGAAGGGTTAACAGATCCACGGAATATCATATTATTGAATCTATTCTATATTATGTTTGCTCGTTTGGTAGGAGCTTGGAACAACTTACCCTGTGAAAGGTATAGCAGAACCGGACAACTACTGTCATACCAGCTGTGTGGACGTTGGTTAGATCTACTCGGATCTTGTGAAGGAAGTCAGCGCTAATTGCTTTAGTACGAAATGTGTCCAAGACGTATGTCCTCCATACCATCGTCATGCCCGACCTCCTACGCTCACTGTCCAGGTGTGAAACCTGTTGAAAGAGGATTCATGCCATGATACGTACACAAAATTGTCTTCTCCTGCAGGTAATAGTAATGGTTTCAAAACAACTTGATCCTAGCCCTGTGAGAAAAAAAAATGCAGCAATTAGTACCAGTTGCTAAATAACCATCCAAATACATACACACTGATCAAGCAAATCTTATTAAACAAATGTCTAAACAAGGCACCCAATTTCATTTGTACTTAATGAAGTTTGAACTGAGAACTTGAATGTGTAAACGTCCTACTATTATGTTGTAGACTTCAATGATTACCTTCCTTAACTGAATTGTAATTGGAGGGAAGACTCCAAGATTCATGCTGAGTTTTCAATAAAGAAGTTTCGGTGGTAGATACTTTTAAATAGTTTTATTTCAATTCTACCATGACCATCAACTAGCTCAGGCACCTACCTCCGCCCTCCTAAAAAACACTCACAAAATAACATAATAAAAACAACAACATAAGACACAATGAACAAACTCCCAAATATACACACCACTATATTGACGCCACAAATCGACAGGGACTCAACAGTGTGACTTCAAAATTTCTTCGATATTTGTTTACTATTAGTAAGCATTATCTCAGCGTGGGTTCTTCACCCTTTACATGAATTGCGACAGATGCTCGACCACATCTCCCTGTGAATACATGATACTATCTGAGAAGTATATTACATATACATATAGACATCAGTTAGTAGACTTAACGTGACAAATGCAGTTCCTCGGAATACATACTGTGAGTGGGTCGAAGTGAGAAGCAGTTCCTACGATTTGATCAACAAAGCCCCGGTGAGGATTCTCGAGATGGTCCATACTGCTGCTATAGGTATGCCTCCTGTTACCAGATAGTGATAGATGACAACATTATTCTGTATGTGTACACCTACTACGTCACAAAGGTGTTACATGCATAATAATCGATTACACTGGCAGTTCTAGTGATAAATCATTGTTTCGAAGAGAAATGTTGAGCAAAGAGTTTATTTTATGATAATATATTGAATGGTTCAAGCAGAATTGCAGGATCACAGAAGCAGTTACATCTATATGCTACTCATGTTTTTAAGGTATGTGCCGGAAAAGACAAGTTTACGGTAGAAACACATACCGTCCATTTCCGCTAGAGCAAGAGGTACATGCAGACTCGGCTGCAACAAGAATGCGTTATGTCTCACACATAAGCACAGCTGTGGGCATGTACACCATCAACACAAGTTATCCATTAGTGGCCACGTCACTGGCACGGTTGGGGCGGTCGGGTAGCCTAGTGGTTAAGGCGTTCGATCGTCACGCCGAAGACCCGGGTTCGATTCCCGACATGGGTACAATGTGTGAAGCCCATTTCTGGTGTCCCCCGCCGTGATATTGCTGGAATATTGCTAAAAGCGGCGTAAAACCATATTCACTCACACTCACTCACTGGCACGGTTAAATATCCATATTACATATACAAATAACTGTCGAAACCATAAACACAAACAATAGTCCAGTCCGTAGAAACAATTTATATAGATACATATACCTATATTAAAGAGCGTTAAATTCCACATTCCATTCCACATTCAATCCAGTTTGGTTAGGATCATAGGATTATATGAAGCGTACATTTTATTCTGTATCATTACATGTTGAAGTGTACAGGCAAACACCATGTAACTTCATAAGGTATGTGCTGAAAGTGATTTGTAAATGTATCTTAAGTTTTATTCTTCGGCTGATTATTTGAAAAAGAAGCAATTATAGTCTTACCCAGGTGCCATAGCACCACCGTCAGTGCAAACACTGTCCATCCAGTCATAGTTGTTCAAGCCTTCAGGAACACTGAATGGAGTTCTGAGAAGCCTCAGGTGCGAGAAGAAAATGTTATCTATAAGCTCTCTAGGTGTTATCGTTTCTGACTTTTTGACCTTGGACATTTATAAAAAGGAACTGACTGGCGTTATTTAGCTTTTAAAAAGAAGAATAAGTTGTTTGAGTACTTAATAAAAGTAGCCATATGAAACAGTTTAAAGTCCCATGACTACTGTATGTACTGTAATGGACGCTCCCGTCGCTGTCCATATTCTATGCTAAGCAATTCACCTTTGACTATATAATTTTCATCTGGCAAATTGTCAATTGTCTATTGTCAATAAATTGAAAAAAATCCTAATTATATATCAACTAAAGATAGTGGGTACAATTCAGTATCGCATACCTTCGACTACGTGGAATGATGTTAGGGTTATTTTCCCTAATCGTTTGTATCCTGATGTATTTATCATATTTGATTACGAATTCCCAGAAAAGTTCATTGGCCGCCGTCTTAACAACTTGTGACACAATGTAAACTGGCTTGTTTGCTAACGTAAGTAATTCTACCATGAATTTGGAAATTGCTCGATTCTGATTGGTCAGTCAGAGGCTATTTAAATCACAATAAAACCCCTCTGATTGAAACAGCTGGTTTGACGGTCGCATCACCGCGGAAGCTTATATTCGTAGAATAGTAGTCATTTTCGGTAGGCATATTTAAATAATTGCAAAGTTGCGGTTACTATAATATTCATAGGAGGTGTGGCAAAACATTTCGTGCAGAAAACAAGATAGAAATCTACAATGAGAATGTAATTTAAGTTTTGGGGACAACAGAGAGCTCGGAATTTGGCGCTTTTCTATTTACGACTGTGACGTCATACCGTTTGCGTCACAATGTGACGTGCGGTGTAGAACGAAAGCTTTACAAAGCTTGCTTAGGGGTGCCCACCTTATGTTAGCTTTCCAAGTTACCGTGCTTACATGCTTTCAAAAGTGCTTTCATGTAACCTAGCTCTACATTAAAACAAATAATGTTTATCTCCTAAATGAATCATTAAAGCGCTAAACGGTAACATAAGCATAAGTAAGTCCTTTCTTTGGTAATCAACCCTTTAAAAGACGTAAAACATAATTTTTGCAAGGATCTAGTTTGACCATATGCTCGGACAATTCATCCTTTTTCCTGAAATAAAATGGAACATGAAAATGACTGTCAATTGTTCTCTAATTCTTGGTATATCGGCATGTCATATCCGCATGATAGAAATAAAGTTCTGTTCATGTCTGACGATGTGAGACACCACACCATCTCCACATTTCCGCAAGGCAGAGACAATTTAGGGATAACAACTTCTTTATTTACTGTAAAGGCGACGTTTCGATATAGATCCTATAGTGAGTGAGTATGGTTTTACGCCGCTTTTAGCAATATTCCAGCAATATCACGGCGGGAGACACCAGAAATGGGCTTCACACATTGTACCCATGTCGGGAATCGAACCCGGGTCTTCGGCGTGACGAGCGAACGCTTAAACCACTGGGGTACCCGACCGCCCCTATAGATCCTATACCGTTGTCAAGCATATATCGTTAACGACCCGGTATAAGGATTTATATCGAATCGTCGCCTTTACAGTAAATAGAGAAGTTGTTATCCATAAATTATCTCTACTTTGTCATCCGTAATCTTATAGGTAATGCCTATCAAACAATCCACATTTCCGATTTGTCTTCAGTGAGAAATATGTCACCAACATTTCCATTGTATCTCGAAAGTATGTCACTGTGACAATGGACGTAACAGATTTATTGTCGTGACATGTGCCAGTGTCAAAGCACAATGGGTTTTACGTTCCTGATTTGATTCATTAGGAGACAACTATATATTTCATATGGGCATGAGGATAGGGAGGCAGGACTAGTCATTTCCCGAATCGTGCACGTAGTAGCATGTGGTCCTGTGCGGATGGAATTTGGATTTTGCTCATTATAAACGAACTTACTATTCTTAATCTGAATAGATTAGATTTATTAGTAGGGATTTGTGTACATAATTCAGTAATTTATTGGTAACGACTCAAAGGGGCAAAAGACGCAAGATATCTAAACAAGATACCGGTTTTCACAGTTTTACATTACAGTTATATACGGTTATAACGAACTCAAAGGGACTACTAATTTTAGTTCGTTATAACCGTAGTTCGTTATAAGTACATATGCAGCATGACTACAGCAAGTAGTCGGGACCAAAAAGTAGGTTCGTTATATCCGTCAGTTCGTTATAAGCGTGTTCGTTATAACCGTAGTTTACTGTATGTCTGTGCCTAGTTTGGCGTTTAGGCAAGAGGCACCAATTGCACCCATGGGCACCAATTGCACTCCCCTTCTTGCTGATCTGTTTCTCTATGCATACGTTCAGCAATTTCTGCTCGGATTGGCAAAGTCAAAACAAGGTAATTTGGCCAAGAAATTGAAGTTAAGCTTTTCGTGTATTGATTATCTGATATCGTTCAATAACCATCAAATAGCAGCCCTTCTATCATTCTCTTCCATTGATTTACCCACCTGAACTGGAGATAAAAGAGACTGTGGGACCGCCTCATGATCATCTCTTATATATTTAGATCTATGCATAGATATTCAGAGCGACAGAAAACTCTTCCCAAGAGTGTATGACAAGACGGATGGATGCCTCTAACTTTCCCTTCATGTCGAACCTATTCCAGCAGCTCTTGCCTTGGGGTCTACATTTCACAACTTTTGAGGAACAATCGAGAATGCTCTTTCTACGACGATTTCAAAGAGCGTCATACGACCTCAGTAGGTTCAAAACCTTTTATTGTAGACATGTGGAGGACTGATAAACAAGCAGCTGCATCTGCACCCACGTGCTTAGTTTGGCAGCTATTAGGCAAGCATGTATCGGAGAATAAAGTATTTTTAAAAGGATCATTTTAATCATCTATCCTTGGTCATAGTGGCGCGGGCACATGACATTTTTCATTGCTCAAAACTATATGTACAGAATCTCACCACTAGTTTTTGAGTTATCTTTGCCACACAAAAACACAAAACAGAATAATAAATTATCATAACTTGAATGATTGAAACACTTTGTATCCGTACGATTGCCATGGCTACAGATACGAGTAATTAATTATTCAGTTTCTATGGTGTGAACTTAGTTGACACGTTTGGAACATCAGCACCAAAGTTTGTTCCCTATCTTTGAACAGTCGGTTGTACTTGCTCTTCTTAGGGGGAGTCCAGGATCCCATTTCAACACAGGCTGAGGGGGCACGGGTGGCCCAGTCGTCTAAAGCGCCGCGATACGCTGTGCAGAGTTGCGTCCCTTAGGCACGCCAGAAACCTATGATTGTTGGTTCGAATCCCGGTTCACCCCGATTATGTTTCTAGGTTTGTCAGCACCATACCCGTGCTCGTGGGTTTCACCGAAGTGGTAAACGTCTAAGACCTGCATCACTTGGGGCTTTCCTCCCACATCAAGCTGACACGCCGTTCAGAGCGGCGTTAACCCCAACTCACCCACTCACTCAACACAGGCTGAGACGGACCCAGAGTGATGTGAACTGCTCTCTTGTATAAAATATTGAATAGCAACACAAAACAATACTCCAAACAACAAGTACTGCATTCACAAACGTTCCGTGGGGATCCCAAGGGCCAGGCAGTAGCATTTATGTATTTCTGAAAAGGTGATTAATTATTTGAGAATAAATATATCAATTTGCCAAATTACATTACAGAAGAATCCGTCCTGGTTGAGGCATATTCATGGACTCGGTATGTTAAGGAAATTGAGCTCAGTTACCTATCAACATGTGAATAGTTCCCATGCAAAGGTTTCTTACGTAGAAAGGAAGCCGACCCGGGGTAGAATATATGGGTCTTCAGCAACCCATGCTTGCCGTAAAAGGCAACTATGCTTGTCGTTAGTGGCGACTAACGGAATCGGGTTGTCAGGCTCGCTGATTTGGTTGATGCATGCCATCGTATCCAAATTGCGTGGATCGATGCTCATGATTGTCTGGTTCAGACTCGATTATTTACAGACCGCCATCATATAGGTAGCTGGAATATCGCTGAGTGCGGCGTTAAACAACAAACACACAAAGAGGAAAGGAAGCCAGTTAATCAAGTGAGATTAAAATGATCAGAGTGGCAATATATCCGCTGTTGTGCCCCCCTTCCCGACTCCTAATTATACACTTCCTATAACAGACTCACATGCAGGGTGTCCTTCAGGTCATTGAGTCCTTCAGAGTAGACTGATGGCCAGGCTAAGTGTTTAAATGGAATATTGTTCAAAGCAGCGTTAAGCTTAACTCACTCACTCTTCTATCAAGGCAACAGTAAACTACGATTATAACGAACTCAAAGGGACCACTAATTCAAATTCGTTATAACCGTAGTTCGTTATAAGCATATGTACAACATCTATACAGAAAACGGACGGCACCAAGAAACCGTTCGTTATATCCGACTGTTCGTTATAAGCGTGTTCGTTATAAACGTAGTTTTCCAAAATCACATGCTGCTGGACAAGTTTGCCCTTACTTTATATTGTACAGACGGGATGCTTGTGGGGATGTTAACCGATGAATCGATATTCGAACACCGACATTTGACATCAGTGTTCCCCAGTGTGTCACTGGTGACCATTCAACATGTATTTGATATATCAAACAGATACATATATACTGCAGTGTAGTAGAAGCAATGTACACATATCCGAGTGTAGGTCCTTATGTACATGTCATTCTGTCATCATTGTGTTGCCCCGCATCAACCATTCTGAATTTCGTTCACCTGGACCTATCGTACAGAACCAGCGTGAAATCCAGCTCCTTGATGGGTGCAGACAAGTCGGCACTAAGGGACTCAAACAATATATATATCTTACCAACGACTTTGTTTCCATGTAGACATCTTGAAATAAAGGTGCCGGTTTTAATGTCACTGATTTCACTGAAAGAGACTGAGGTAGGTCGCTGATATCCCTGTCCAGTACAAAATGACTGAGT